AAATAAAAGGAAAGGAAGAAAGGAATGAAGAGGGAAAAATTATGCTAATGTTATTGTTTTTTTAATAATATTTTGGTTCCCTATATTTTTGTGAAATTGTAAAGTAATAATATCAGAAACGTTGATCAAGAATCAACTGAAGAATCTACGCAATCGCTACCACTGTATTTGTTGTTTTTATGCGATTTGCTAGGTCGATAAGGTGATAATTGATTATTTTTGAAAGTGATAAGCCCATATTTCATTTTTGATCATTGGACTAAATTGTACGATTAAAAATTTTTGTGCTATAGCGTGCTCGCTTAGTTCGAAAAATCGGATAGAATTTTCTGTATTCTATTTTTAGAAATTTTTATATTATATGTTATTTTATTATTTTTTAGAATAATTTTAAATTTTTTAAAAAATCGTTCGTTTACGAAGAATTTCGCGATAAACTAAATTTTCGAAAAATAATTTATTAAACGAATAATTTTTAAATGAATTTTTTTTAAAGCGAAATTTATTCTCATCAATCAAATTCATTTCATGAATCAATTCATTATAGCAAAAAAAAGGAAGTTTTTTTTTTTTAGAAAAAAACTTTAATGCTCTGCTGGATAAATTTAATGCTGGATAAATTACGGTAAGAGGATGGCAGATTTATCGGATTTATACCCTTTTTTTTGCAAATCCAGAAATTATTTATTTTTGTCTTTGTAGGTTTTTGTCGTTAAAAGCGATAGAATAGTGCGAAGTGGGTTCGTTCGTTGTTCGTTGTCAATCAGTTTTCGCGAAAACAACGCTAATGTTTCGAATTTCTATTCTTCGCGACGAGTAAAGCCTATAATCTATCAAAAGTCTGGCAAATCGTAGTAATTTCTTCGTATTTTTAAGCTGCAAATTATTAGGAGGATTTTTTTTTTTTTTTTTCTGGTCCAGAGGAGCGATCTTTTAAGCATTTGAAAAAAAAGTCAATAATTTCTTTAGGCATCGACATGGTTTATTCTTATGGATCTTTGTTTTACTTGCAAATCATCATATGGGGAAACCAAAAAAAAAATTCGTTTATATTCGCTTAAACTTTGATCGCTTAAACAAGAAAAATAAAAAAAATAAAATTAGAAGGAAAGAAAGAAAGGAGGTAATCTATGTGGGTAATCAGAAACAAAGAATAGGCTTAATCTTGGGCTAGAAACGAAGAATAGGCTCAATCTATGGCGAGAAACAAAGAATAGGCTTAATCTCGGGCTAGAAACGAAGAATAGGCTCAATCTTGGGTCAGAAATAAAGAATAGGCTCAATCTATGGCGAGAAACAAAGAATAGGATAGAATAACAGAGAATAGCAGAGCAATAGTAGTGCTTCGATTTCAATTAAATGAACAACAATCCTCGTTCAATAAATTGGCTCATTGACATAATTTTTAACCAATTTTTAGTTGAAATCCACCAGTCGATCATTGTCATTTATTTGTTCTTTCTAATTCAATAAAAATTCAATAAAATTCTTTTATAAAATTTTTTGTTATAATTTTTTTGCTTTTTTTTTTCAAACCTTTCAAGCTTAAGAAATGAAATATTTTTGATATTTGATATCCAACATGTGAAATGGAAATGAAAAATTCTTAATTAAATTTGTGTTTTTTTCGAAGCATCGAAACAGGTCACCTTCAAATCGTGGAACCCAGTTAGGAGACCACGATCGTCGAATCGTCCGACTAGTTAGCCTATCATAAAATGTTCAGGAAGGGGAATCGATTTCAAGCACATGACTTTAGTACTTCACGTCTTATGATGCTTTTGGCTTCAATAGCGCTTTTTTTTTAAAGCTGAGAGCCAATTCCATTTTTCTATTTTTTTAATTTTCCAAATATATTATGCAAATTTGTTTTTGTGAATATATTCTATTCTGTTTCTTTTTTAAAGAAAATACTAATGCAATAAAAATTTTTTTTTTTAGTTTTAGTTTTTTGAAATTTCTTTGGAAGTTTTTTTAACTTTAAAATTATTATTTAAAATTATTATTTATTTATAAAAAATTATTATTTAAAAAATTTTTAATAAATTTATTATTTATTAAAAATTTATTATTTATTTATTATATAAATTTATTATTAAAATTTTTTTAATAATAAATTTTTTTTAGCTTTTTTTTGTACGAAACTATTTCATATTTTTTGCCAAATTAATGTTAATTAAGAGAAATTTTAAAATTTTCCAAAAGGAAAATACCAGAAGGAAGGGAAATGCTTGTTTTTTTTTTAAGAAACAAAGAGATAAGAGAAGAATGAGAGAGAAGAAGAAGGGGCAGAAGAGAAAACAGCAAATGTCCATTCAAACTGATAAGCATGGTACTAGACGGAAAATTTTAGTACTACATAAATGCGGTGCATAGAGCGAAAAACATTTGAGAACCACTAATCTGAATAAATTTTACCAAACTCCTTTGCTGGAAACCTGGAAACCTGAAACGCTTTTTTAAAAAATTACCTTACCTATCTTTTCAATGAAAAAAAACCAAACCCTCGATATTTTAGTCGATAAAATATGCCTACTATTCAGTCAATCGTCGTGTCCTTATAATTTTTTTTTTTGCAAGAACACTTATCATCTCGGATTGGGCTCGTTCCACTAATTTATCAGATCAAGCAAATTTTTGCCAGAGAATCACTTGGCCGTAGAAGTGTAGATAAGTCGTTAAGATATTAGCTGTATTTATTTTAGTAATAATGAATTAATGAAGAATATATAATGGAATCGAAATAAGCTAAAAAATAATTAGTCCATGTCAAAATAATAGAAACAAGTGATATGATAAATGATAGGTGGTCTTTGATCTTCGATAAATTTCAGCTGACACGTTCAATTTTTTATTTCTTAAAGAGAGTTCAGCGAAAATTCTTCTATCCAAAAACAATCCTAATTCAATCGTTGCTTTCCAATAATTATACAGTCAGCGTTTAATCTTTTGTTGACCATAACTGGGGATATTTTTAAAGAGCCTTCACCATTACGTGTCAAATTCGCACCGCTGGATTCTCATACAAGACAAATATGCCAAGAAGGCTTTCGACGATAGAAATATAAGTGAATCGCCTGCATCATCCGGATTTTGGCCAGGTTTATTCTTGCATGCAGTGGAACCTCAACGTAAGCGCTCCGAATTTGGTAGCAACCCATTGAGCCATTCTACCTTTCCTCCTCCGCCAATACGGGAGTTTCCAGCTGGTTGCATTATACTCAAATGGTCAATGCTTTGCGGTGGCTGCCAACTCATCTTTCCTGATTACGTAAGTACCATCCATAGTAACCTTTTTTTTGAATCTGATAGGTCGCTTCCGATAGGTGTGACTATTGGGCTGCATTTGAAGAAATATTATTTTGGCAATTAGCCAATTTTTTATATATTGAAGCCAAAAATAAGTGAGCGTTTGATTGGTGATTTGGTTGTTGTTTTCGTATATTCCTTCCGTTCGACCTTTGACCCGAAGTTAGTGACCTTTTGAACTTTGGTTGAGTTGTATTTTTTGCTCGTTAAACAATAAAATAAATTAAGGCATTTTAAATATATTAGTTAAAGTCTCTGTGTTCACCTTAAAAGTCATTTCTGCATGCCTTAAAAAATAAAAATTCACGAGGTCAAAAGGTCAAGGTTATTTGAGTTGTTGAGATTCGTATATTTCGTTAATTTTCCTTGAAATTTTGCTCTACTGGTTTTTATTTTTCTAAAAACATTTCTATACTTATTTCTTCTAGTTAGATATTGGACTATATAAATTTTGCTAAGAGTTCACTTTAGGGATACAAATGAAACCACTTAGTACCACTTGAATTTTTTTAAAAAGAAGATTTATTCCTGCGGAGAGTGGAACTTTACCATTGGGGAAATAAGAGCAATAACTCCACAGAATCATTCCATCCGCTCTTTTCCTCTCTTTTCAAATATAATTGAATTCGTTTTCTTTATTTTTAAAAGTTTTTTCGCGGATTTTCTTTTAAAATAAAAGAATTATTGAAAATTTAAGGCGAATTATGTGAAACGGCTTACTTGCCGAAGCAAAATGTATCAACGAACAACGACGATTGGAAAAAATTACAATGCAAAAAGGGAAAAAACGAGAGGCATTTGTAATAAAATCACCGGTATTTGTTCTTTTTCTTCGGCTTATAACCTCTCAGATTTTTTTAAAATGGTTTTTATTTAATATCACTTTTTTACGTATTATTTGTTATTATTATTATCGTTATTATTTAAATTTATTTAAATTTATGAGTTTTACATTTCATATTTTATTTTCATTTATTTTTACAATCGAATATTTTTAAATTAAATGTTTTTGATTTGAGATGATACAGAGAGCAGAAGGTGAAATTATTTTAAATAATAATAATAAAATAATAATGATAATTTATAATAATAACAATACAATAATAATGTGATAATGATATAATAATAATTATTAATAATAGATAGTAATAATAAAAAAATAATAAAAATAATAAAATAACAATAATAACAATGTAATTATAGTAATAATAATAAAATGGTATTAATAATAGTAGTAACAATATAATAATAATAATAATATAATAATAGTAATAAAAATGATAGTAATAAGCATTATAATTATAATAACAGTAGATAATAATGATAATGATGAAAGTAGTATTATAATATTAATAATAATAGTAATAAATGGTAATAAACAATACTAACAATAACAATAATGGTGATGCAGATAATAACAATAACAATGATAATGATAAAGTAATGATAAAGAAGTATTAATAAATAGCAATAAGCAATGAATAATAATAATAATAATAAACAATGATAAGATTGTTTGATATTTCGATATTTCACGTTATTATCAAGAATATTTAATTAAAATTATTTTATTGTATGTATTCGGGAATGAAAGATTTTTTGTATTAAAATTTTTTTTGAATTAAAATTTTGAATTTAGAATGCAACAATAAAGAATTCGGAACCACCAATATTGAAAAATCATTTCAATAATGGAACATTATGTACGGTGATTTGTGCATCTTTCAAGCATTTTATTGGTTTACTTTTTACAATTTTCCTATGCGCGATATTTCTAATATTTTTGCCTTTCGCGATAATTAATTATTTGCTACGATTATTGCTATTTCGAAGCAGTCAAAAATCCAATTTACATTCATCGTTAGTTTTTTTTATTAGTTTTTTTAATAGAAAATTTCATTATACTGAATATTTTAATTTATTATCGAAAGAAAAAAGGGAAGAACTGATAAAGAATCACAAAGAAATTAATTCTCCTTCTTCTAATAGCATTAATTATTTCTCATAATTTGTTTGGTTTCATAGTTCTAATTATGGAAATAAAATTTTCTTATTAGAATTGAAGTGCGGGTCACCAACATTGCACCAATTTCACTTTTAATTGCAGGTTTAGCTCTTAATGAATTCATGCAAGAACTTATTTAGTTTTTTACCATATAAGAGGTACTGTAAATTTATTTAAGTATTTATAGTATTTATATGTTTTATGTTTTAGCATTGCAATAATACAGATCTTCCAGTATCTCCCATAAAAATAGTATAAATGAAAATAAAAAAGTAAAAGAATAAGAAATAATATTTGCTATTTTTATTCGAAAATTAAGAAATAAAAGGAACATAAAACTAGTGGGATATTTGTTCTCACGAATCTGATATTTGAAAAAACTAATGTTTGTTTTGATATGAATCCACTTTGATTTGATAAATAATGGATAGAATTTTATCTCGGCAAATGAATTTCTTTAAAATTGCTCATTGAAATTTATTTCAGTAGAAGTTTTATAGGCTTGGTGACGAAATATCTTTCTCATTTACTCATTGAATAAATTAGTTTTTTTATGAGTATTTTCATAGATTTGTTTTTTTATCATATCGCATTTTGTTATCATTTTTTTCATTATGCTTCATTATCATATTTCGAAAAAATATTGTTTTAGGCAATGCGATCCATGGTGGCCTTTAAGTGGCGCTAATTCATTGCAAGCTGTTGTTAAATTGCGTTCTGATCAAATTCGGAATTCTGACGTAATTTCATTTTTCCTATTAATTTATTCCTATTAATTTAACGATTTAATATTTATAATTATTTATAACTTTTTTATGATTTGTGAATCCAATGAATGAAAGACGATTCATTATAGGCAGCACTCGTTTTTTTTACAAATGGTTTTCAGAAATTATTTTCCAAAATTCATTTGTTATAGTCAGAATCGTTTATTAATTATTCTGAAATCAAGTAGAATAGGTCCAATTCCTGCCGTAAAGAAAATAAAAAATAAACCTGTCGTTAACCGAAATGTAACTGTAGTAGAGATCCTTATAATGTCAGTTATTTTTCTTGCAAAAAGGTCACACCTTTTTGTTGCACTTTTATCCAATTCAATAGATTGTTAGCATATCTCCACCGCCATATTTTCTCGCTTTATACTATCAGCTTCAGTTTTCTTATTTGGCATTAACGAGAGATGATGATTCGTATAACTGTATTATAATTGACTGACTGTAATTTTTTATTTTTTTCATTAATTTACAGTCTTTAGCATGATTTTTTTTTCCAGTCGTTTAATTTATTTTGTGGAGATGAAAAAGGCAAGCAAGGTGTGCCCAAGATTTTGCAACGAGGGAAATCATTTCCTGTGGTAAATATTTGGGATCAAAGGTCCGTTAAAATGTATTGGAAAAGTTTAAAGTTGATGTTTTTTATTATTATTTTATTAAATTCTTATACATTACTTTCAACATGTTTTTTTAAGATAAAATGACAAAAAGAAAAATGATATTCTTTTAATTTATCCACCAGGGAAAAAATAATAATAAAATAATAATAATAATTATTTATTGTTGCAATTTAAATTGTTCTTGTTTGACTTAATTATATGTATTTTTTCGTATTTTTTGGTAATTTTCAGGAAAAGGCAGTTGCGAACCATTGATGATCTGTTGATTCTTCTAAATGAGTTTTCTTCAACAGTTATGGGAAACGATTCATCATCCTCCATCTCATATGTACCAAATTTTTTAGGATCTAATAAGGTATTTTTTTTTCATTCTTATTTTTTTATTTTTTCATGCGTCCTTTTCATGTGGCTTTGATTCTTTATTTCAGTGATATTCGCATGGTACCATCATTTTTTAGTTTTATTTTTATAGGATGATGTGGATTATTCATTGATTATATTCTCTCATTATTGTTGTCAATTTTTGTTGTGTTTGCCTCGATTTCTTTGTATTTGTAACGACGGCCAATTGATGTTCGATTTGGAACCGAAATTGGGCGAATCGTTTTCACCTCAGCCACCTGCTAACAATCCACTCATTTACGTTTGCGCTGGTGTCGTTCATATGATTCAAGTTCGATTTTATTCTGTTTTCATCATTTTCTTAATATTTCTTATTTACAAATAATAGAATCGAATGTTTTTTTCGAACAATTTTTCAATTTCCTTCTTTCTTCCGTTCTTTATTAAACAATATTTTCTAATTTTACACATTTGCAAATTTCTTCGTTTATTAATTAGTGATTTTTTATATTTTGCATCTTATTTTTTGATATTTTTTTAATAATGGCCATTTTTATTTCATTTTTTATACATTTTTTAATTCAATATTCGAGTGGTATTTTACGAATTATTTGTTGCTGAATGGAGAACGTTAAAACTACTTTCATCTCTCCTTCTTTGCCCTTTTATTCTTGGCTTTTTAAATTTATTAGGGAGTCTTCTATATTCCTTTAATTATTTGTCTTATCAAAGCTAATTCCATCCTTTTGGTCCTTTGGCGACTTTTTTTTCCATCTATCATTTTTTTGGTGTCATTGGCTTATTACCTTATGAATCTCTTATCTCTTTCCCTTTTATTTATTTATCGATTCGTTTTCCACCGAGTTCATCATGTATAATACTGTTTGATACTTATTACTATATGATGGAGATGATGGGTTCGCTATTCAGCGGCATCATTTCTGTACTTTAAATCAAATCTGAGGAAAATTTTAATTTTCAGTTCACTTGTATCGGTCCACTTTCTCTTTTGATATTAAACTTCCGAAAATCAAATTTAATTTGGAAAGAAATTGTTGCTGAACCGAAAAAGACAACGTTAAACAGGTGAGGTAGAAGTAATTATGTTTTTCGATAAAATGTATCTATGGAAAAGTCATATACTAATGAAAGATCAAAGAGTCTCTTCTCTTGGTCTCAAGAGACTTATTTGAAAATGTCTGTAAACCATGCAAAATGAATGGCTTATTTTTAGAAGAAGGAGAATCAGCGTTGAAGAAGGAATACTTATCGAAAGCTCAGACGAAAACAAGTCCATAAATTTTGTTTCAGGTTGGAAATTTTCTTTATCTTCACAAATTATTTGTATGATTAGGTTAACCAAGTGACTTCATCTTCATATCTCCTAGATTATGGAGCATATCTTCATTTTCTTTTTATAGGATTAAACTTCATGAAAAACAAATCAACATTGGGTTCACTTCCATTTCTGATCTTAAATGACTAGGCTAATCACTTACCTACTGCAATATTCTTTCTTCTCTTCTAGCAACTAGTTAAATTGACTAAAAGGTTAAAGTTAACAAATTCATAAAATTTCATAATATTTATTAATAACTCATACATTTATTGTTGAAATTTTTTTGTTTTAGGAAGATGGTTTCGTTTTATAAATATTCCGCAAACTGATCAGTTATTCCGAGCGGAACGCGTTTTACGTGCCACTTCTATTGAATTGTTTTTAGCAATTGTAGCTGGCACGTTACGACGTCATTTTCGATCTTTAGTATGAATTTCTATTCTTCTGTTTACTTTTTTTTTCATTTCGTTGAATATGTGGAAATCTACTTAAATGTTTCAGTAGATTAAATTGCAGGGTATAGCACATCCTCCGGATATTGGTACATCGCTACCCGTATCATATCGCGAATATATGCCAATTGAAGCTCAAAATCGTTGTAGTATGGTTATGCTACCAGTGATTATACCTTGTAGTGTAGAAGGTGTCATTCCAAGAATTTGGGCTATTCAGAGGAGGGTAGCTGATGCTCTAGATGGTGTTCTTCCTAATTCTTTACGCATATGGAGGCTTCTTTGTAAGTTTTTTGCAATTTCTTCACATTATAATACTAATTTATTATTTGTTATTTAACTGTGAGTTCTTTGATAATTTATTATTGCAATTTAAAAATTTTTTTGGATAAAATGTTATGTATGAATAGCTTATATTTTATTATTGCAGCGGAATTTTCACTTTCCCCGGACATTACTCGCTCTATATTTTCATCTTTTCATGGTAACAGTTCTGTAGTAGTTAGTTTCTTTCGTGCCTGTGGCAATTTACACCTCGATTCTCGACGTATTCAGTCTATTCTTATGTTTCCATCTTTACCGGATCATATAAAAGCTGTTTTCACGTTTGTTCAGTGTGATCAAGAATTGATGCTGAGTATGTCACTGAATAAACAATGTTTCCCTGAACCTAAAAATTTTCTTTTGCAATTCAAGGTATTTTTTTGTATTAATCTATATTGTTTTTATATTCGTGATTTTTTAATAGAATTATACGTTCGGTTGTTTCTGTCATTTCAGAAGCTGGGGTTTTACACTCTGCAGAAGTAAACTTCGGGTAATGCTGGCGACTTATTCTGTCATCTTGGTAAAATTTATCTGATTCGACAATCCAGCGGAGCGACTATAATCAGAAATGGCCTTTAGGAAAAAAATTCCATTAAAATTGCCTGTGAAGTGTTAATCCTGAAAGTTCTTGCATTTCTCATATCTGGATTTGGAGCCGCATGTTTTTATTATTTTAGCCACTTTTTCGAGGCTTTTGGAGACGATTCAAGCCCGAAGATATGGATCTCGAAGATGCCTCATGACTCTTAAGTTCTTAAGTAGGTTGCTGAAGGAATTTGTGCAGGTTGATCTTATAAGGAATCGTGCGATTTAATGAGGTTGTTAATGAGTTATAATAATGATCTAATGATCTTTCTTGGTCAAATTTCACTCTTATTGAAAAATAGAAAAAGGTTGGCGAAATGGTTTGAAAAGAAAACTTCCTCGATTCATGCCACAGCCCAAATAGAACTATGATTGATGGTCGGCTGCAGAGTTGGTTCACCATAGCTTCTTAAAACTTGGTGCAGTAATTACAACTTTGTAATAAAAAATGGAAATGATCTACCGAATAGAAAATATGCCAGTCAGCACAAGCCATCAAAGAACATCTCGTCATTCTGAAGATCTCAGCATGACCAAATGTCGCAAGAATATTTTGCAAAATTTTCTCAAAGTTCTCGAAGTTCTCTTTCATATTCCTTTATTCTATATTCCCAGCCTTTTAATCAATAGACTTTTTTCTTTTAGCTTTAGGCTTTAAAAAACACTTCTTCCATCAACTTTATTAGGGAGAAAGTTTTAAAATTCATGTAAATGGAATAAATGTACTTATATCAAAAGTGCATTGATTATAATGGTGACTTTCATTTTATAATCATGCAAAATAAACGAAATAAAATAGGTATTTAATGGCCTATTTACTAGCTCATTAGTGCATAAATATTTAAATAAACAACTTCGCATTATTTCTTATTCACTGATTATTCTGAATAAAAATATGCGTATTTCAGATGGAAATCCGTTGTCTTCTCGATCAACTTGCAATGAGACTTTTAACATTAAGTCAAGCAACATTCCTACCGAACCAAGTTCCATCTTTTTCTGTGCCGGTAAATACTAACCAAGAATTTTCGGTGACTGATCCATGTTGCGATGTTCATAAGAAGCCCGTAGGTATTTAATAAGGATTATATTGCTCTTCTAAATGATAATTTAGAATTATGGATTTTCAATAACTTTTTGAATTTTCATATTTCATCTGAACTTTTTAAGCATTTGTCGAAAAAATGAGCAAATATTTTTATTCAGAAAATGAAATAAAAAATAATAAATAAAAATAATAAATAATAAATAATAATAAATAATAAAAATAAAAATGAAATAAATAAAATAAATAAAAAGTTTTTCACTTATAGATTCATCCAGAATCGCATGATATTGATGAACTTCAGCTTCTACTTAAAAATGTTCAAGATGAATTGGATAATTTAAGAAATAGTCCACTGGTAATATCTTTTCTCTTAAATATATAAATTTTATCTAAATTATTTTTAGATTTGTATTATAGCAAGTTTCGGGACAATTGACGATTAGCTAATAGCATAAATTATTTAATATTATTGTTAACAAAAATTTTTGCAAAATATTTCTGATGATTTACGCATTTCTGCAGATCAGCGGAATGGATTATGTCAAGAAGTTAACAGAATTGGAGAAACAGTTGGTTGTTTTCCATGATATCATGGCTAGTCGACTTGCTTCACCAAGTTGTGCTACAGTGAAAGAAGATGCTAAATTAGTGTCAAATGTAATTGCAGATTTACTTGCGCCATATAGGCAAGAAACAGGTTTGTTTTTTCAAATTTAGGAATGCGCTTTTTTGAATTCATTCTTCAATTGATTCATTCTTTATCTCTAATTAACTGATCAAATTTATTTTTTTTTAGCTTTTATTAATTTTTGTTTATTTTTTCCAAATTTCATTATTATGTAGTTTTGAAATTTTTGAATTTCTTGCAATATGGCTTTGCTTTTTTTTGTTTCTTTAGAACAGCAATTAATTAAATTAAATATTTTTCTGCATTTTTCATTTGTTTTTTTTTAAGACAGTTTTTGGTGCAATTTAATATCAATTTTTTTAAGCTTCGGGTGTGCGTCGTTTTTCTCGCGAATTCATTCGTTTGGATCTTTTCCGGTAACATTCAATGTACAATGGCAAAAATCTCAGAAAAGGAAACATTTTTCATGTGAATTTCTCAGTTAATATTTCCCACTGCTTTTATAATCATTTGTATTGCCTTTTAGATTTTTTGTTCGAAATAAGTTTTAGGTTTAAAAAAACCATTAAGACTGACAAATGTTGTCTGTTTGAAAGCTTTACTTTTTATATAAATTATTTAGTGATTACTTATATAAGCAGTTATTTGAAAGCTGTTTTATTTTTCTGATTTTACTTGTTTTTTATGTGTTTTTTGTGAAAAAGAACTGCGATATTAATTGATTTCTGCTCTTATTTAAATATTTAAACAAGTTCGACTTAGAATACTCAAGTAAATTTTTGTTTTTGAAATTTTTGCGACAGAAATTCTGTCAAGAAACCCTTTTTTTTTGTAATTTTTACCAAATTTTGCAAAAAAAAAATTTGTAAATAAGGAAAAGTTTTTTAAAAATTTTGGAATCATTTTTTATTTTTTATCTTTTTATTTTGCATTATTATTTCGATTATTTTTATTATTTTTTATAATGTTATGGAGAATTTTCTCGAAGATCTCTTTTTTTCTTTAAATATTTCACTTTTTTATTTTGCAAATTTCACTGTTTAAAAATTAATTTATATTTTAATTTGGAAAAAGTTGCTTTTTTTACGAAAATGTTTGTATGTATTGATTTTAAAGTTGAAAATTGTTTTAATCGAATATGGATTTGTAATTCTAATTATCAGAATATTTCCTTATTGTTCTTTTTTGATAAAATGGCCAAAATGTCGCCAATAAATATAATTTATAATAGCAATGATGATAATATAACTTGTTTGGCTTTGCTCACATTAACATAAGCCTCGAGTGATTTATGGTACCTAAGCTATTAAGGTCGATTTTTTAGGAGATAAGGGTACAATCGTGAGATTTATTTGTTGTTCAAAGTCATTTTTTATCATATATAAAAATGATATGATAATGTGATGAATTAAACTTAGGATTGAAGAAGATGGCGCGACTTTTGATTTGCTCAGTTTGGAACTCGCGCTCTCGTTTGTCACTTTTCAGTTTGTTGTTAGCCTTATTGAATATTTTGGTTCTACTTGTAGACGACTTACCACAGTTGAATACTGTGGAAACGTTTCGGGATGATATCGATTATGTACTTGAGACTTTTCAATATATGAATGATCTCCAATACGGTAAAGCTGCGGTGCGATCTGTTTTTGAAAAGGTTTTTTTTTTAATACTAATTTTGTTATTTTTATTGCTATTGTAATTCTTTAATAAGTTCCTACTGAATTGAATCAATTTAGTTTTGAAATTATTAAATTGCAAATTGTACGGTAACGAATTTAATCGGATTGACTGCCTGAGGGCAATTTGAAGTGTATCATCTAATTTTATTATAATCCACGATGAATTCTTTCAAGCAGTATGCAGCGTCTAATTTAATGGGTTGGGAAGTTATTTAACAGGCAGTAATCTGAGAATGGTGATTCTTAGATTACTGGGGAAAGAGGGGATGCTTTCCACGCATTAGCCTCGTTCTATTTTCAACAGCAAATAGGTTTATTCGTGCAGAGAGAAAATAGCACTGCGTGCAATGAAGATAATGCAGTAAATACAAATCGGCTCGATTATTTTATACGAATATTAAAAATTTTAAAAGTTTTAGGCTCGAGATGTACGAGAATTTTGGCGATGTTATTTGAGTTGGCCAAAAAATTTCGTTGAACAAGGTTGGATAAAAAATGATGATTATTTCTTGTTTTCAGCCACGTATGACCGCCGATCTAATTCATTATATCCATCGAACCATGCAATACAAGTAATAATAAATTCATATTTTCATATTTCCATATTTTCCGGTTTATTTATCGTTTGAATTTTTTTCTTCTAATAACAAATTGCGAACAATACTCGCTAGGCTGATTACGCGCAATACAAGGGTAAGACATCAAGTCTCCAAGCTGTTCGGTCCATTTGAATTCTAGTTGGTACTTCTTTTATTTTCTAAAAATTACGAAATGTCTAAATGATACTGGTTTAAATGAAGAATAAATAAAAATTAATAATAAAAATAATAATAATAAAAAATAAAATTTGAAAAAAATTTCTCTCTACTTGTCAAATTAAATTTTAAATTAAAAATTTTTAATTTTAATATGTAAATTTCTTCGTAATTCATTATAATTTCAGGTAATTTTCATGTCGTTTCGAACGATTCCTGTTGCAGTTGAAGTTTATTGTAATATCTATAATATGAAAAATGGTAAATACATAGTAGTAAAAGGAGTTGTTCGAGAAATTTGGCAACGTGCTTGGGATCCTCGAGATTATTTTTATATACCCAATTTGTTGACGTGTCCACTGCCAAATCGCTTCAGTAACAATAATCACTTAGCTGTTTCGATAACAGTAACTTTATGCAATTCAAACTCAAAAGCGTTGTTGGTGAGAGGAACAGAAAGATCCAAAACGACTCGAAAAAATGGAATCGCAATATGCGTTAAGGTAAGTTTCTCTAAAGGAAATTTTTTTAGAATTTTATCTTTATTATTTGTCACTTTTAAGGGAATGGACTTCTTGGATGATATTTCGCAAAAACTAATTGAATGGATTGAAATGCAGTTTTTGTTGGGCGCTGATACGATTACCGTCTATACTTATTATATTCATCCAAAAGTTCAAAAAGTTCTCGACTATTATAGTACTAAACGATTTCTAACTGTGGTATTTCTAATTCTTTTTTTAGTTTTATATTTTAATTTTCTAAACTATCTCAATTTAAAAAGAGTTATAATTAAAGAAGTTTTTAGTATAATTCTAATATAAGAATATAATTTCTCACTTATTATTGAAAGATCAACAGTAAATGCTTTAGGTTCCTTTAGATCTTCCTGGAAATTCACCAAATCAGAATTACATACGAAGTAAATTTATTTGGCGAAATAGGCAACAGAAACGTCGGCATGAATTAATACCCTATAATGATTGCCTTTATAGGTAAGGTTTTCATTTTTCATTTCATTTTTTTTTTCTTATTTTAATATTCTTGTTTTTTTATTTATTTAAATTTATACTTTATTTTTAATATTATTATTTTATTTTTATTTTTTAATTTAAATAAGTTTTTAATATAAGAATTCCAATATAAGAATATAATTTCTCACTTATTATTAAAAGGTCAACAGTAAATGTTTAGTAAGGTTAACAGTAAATGTTAGCGTTTTTTTTCTTATATTCTTATTTAATATTCTTTTTTTATTTTTTAATATATTCTTATTTCGTTTTAGTTATTTTTTCTTATTTTAATAATTTTTTCATTTCTTTTTAATAATTTTCATTTATATTTATTTGCATTTTTAAAAAAAAAAAGTTTAATAATTTTAAAAATTCTAAAAAAAATTTCTTGAACAAGATTTTTATTAAAAAGAGAATTTTATTTTAGGCATATAAATACTCATAAATACATCTTAATTTTGGATATTGACGAAGTTATTGTGCCTTTAAAGCATATGGACTGGGAGTCTTTTATAAGAGAAGTGGAGAGGAACAACACGAAACACGATATCACATCCATCTCGATAAGAAATGTTTTTAAATTTCCATTAAAACAATCGAATACCTCTTATCCAGAATATATGTATTTGTTGCGTAATCAAAGAAGATCGGAAACGATAAGCAAACCCGGTGATTATGGCAAAAGTTTTGTTAGGTCTATTTTTTCTCCTAAAATAAATCTGTCCAAAAATCCGAGTGATATTAGTTATTCATTTATACTTCTATGGACACAAGGAATTTCCTGGCTTATTTGCTAGTGCGAGAAGTCAGTGGAACCACTCTAACCAGTAAAATACCTCTAATTATCTCTTTTTAAATTCTATTTTCATTGTGGTATTTTTTTTTAGTACCAAATCCGTTGCGACAGTCTTCAATCATTTCGCATTACATCGTTTATATCAAAATGTTTCGAAAACGATTTATATAAAAGAAGAAATTGCACTAAAACTTCACTATAAAAATGAATGTCCAATAGAATCGCGTATGGAATGTTCACAACTAAAAACGATTACTATAAATGATACATCGCTTGATAGATTCGCTGATAAACTAATTGAAAGCGTTGAAAATACGCTTAATGATCTAAATCTTTGGAAGAAAATATGAGCAAATATTTTATGATTTCGTAAAATTATTGCGAGATTTTAAGAATTATTTCACTGCACTGCCATTGAATTTGAATTTAATAATTTTTCATTTTTTTTTTTTTTTTAGTTTATTTGCTTCCTTTTATGTTTCACTTATGTTTTTATGAAATTTTAAATTTTCTCTATTATCAGTGCAATTATCAATTATCACTTATCAGTTTTCACATTTTGGATTTATTACAATCACGCTAAAACACTTCGACAGAAATTATCATTTTCGTGTGAGTTTCTACCTTCCACAAACCTTTACTCTTCATTTCTCAATATGCATAAAATTGATAATAGATTACCACAACACCCACTCAAAAGTACACCACCTTTTGCAGTTATGCTTGGACGCAGCTACTGCTTATTATGGAATGAGCTGCATTTTAGCCCATCTCTCTCTTCTATAACACCCTCTCATATAATAATTGTATCAATTTTGCTCTTCCCCATCTAGCACTCTCCTTGTGCTTAATTAGTCACTATTGCATCTCTGACTCTCTCCCGAAATCAAATGTTATTTTCTAAATGTAAATATGAATTTTTCCCCTCTCTCCTCGTTCTCACATTCTCTCCATACAAATAATTTGTAATTATTTCGTAAATTTTTTTTATCATATTTTTCTATTTTGTATAAAATATTTGTTGATTGGAATTTTTAAAGTTGATAAAAAAATTGAAAATTTGTTTCTTTTTTACATAAAAGATGCATGCAAATTTTTGCCTCAAAATTGCTAATTTGATATTTTTTGTCGAAAATCTTCTTTTCGAAGAAAATTTCGATCTTTTAAATGATTTTTAGGAGGAATAATTTAAGAAAATAGTAGAAGGCGAAAGAAACATTAAAGAAGGTTCATTTAATTGTCGGTTTTTAGCTGTTAAATATTTTAAATGTTTTGAAACGATTTATTAAATTTGCGGTACTAATCGTCGGCTTCCATTTTTTGTGAGATTTATAAATTGCAATTTTTGGTGAATTCTATGGACTGCGGTTACGATGAAATGTTTTGCGGGCGATGTTGGAGAGGAGCGATTTAAAGCTATATTTCCTTAACATCACCGCTAACCCTTATATTTCTTTGGAACCACTGCGAATCCCTATATTTCTTTAGCACCGTTGCTAATCAAAGTTTTTCCTTAGCACCACTGTGATTCATTATGTTTTTTTAGCATCACCATTGTATTTCCTCCTAAATTTTGGCAAATCTTTCGCTTTCACTTTCTTTTTCATCTTCTTCTTTACAGATTCGATGATTTTTATAATTCTTCGGTAAATTATATAATTTAACAAATTATATAAATGTATAATTGTTTAAACGAAATTGTATTATTAAATGTAAATGTAAACATAATTATATAAAAATATTTTCAGTAGAATTTAAATGGTGTCATATATGTAAACAAATGAATAAAATAAATATATATAAATAAAATGAAATATATTATATTTATTATATTGTAAATATTAAATATATTATATTGTAAATATTTATAAATATTTACAAATATTAACAAATATTTCCGATTGCCCTGCATCTGTTGATAGTGGAAAAATAGCATCAGTTCATCAGTTATACCTTGAATTGACTAAAATATTTCATACTATTCAGTTGCTAGTCACCGTCAGTCGTTATGGCATTATAGGCAGCTTGTATAGCTGGACAGATTATTTAAAAGACCAGCTGCACCGGCTATATTAACGATTTTGTTATGACGAAATGCAAATAATGCTAAATAATATATCTGTGGGAATCTCTGGATCAATGTAAATAAAACGAAAATCTTTTTATCTTATATACAAAATTCTGATGAAATATGATGAAATGATACCTAGTTTTATCAATTCATTGCATGTTGAGGAAATACCCGATTTTTTGAATTATTTATCTTGGATCCACTCTAATATCGATTGGCCAGGCAAAAGACGATATTATAGTCCAGATCACGGCAACTAGAAATGCATTCTTCCGGTTGATGAAATCTTTATGGATTCGTCGTGAAATCACCATAAAAACGAAAGTTCGCAATTATATAGCTGTGATTCGTTCGATCTTGTTATATGGTTCTGAGACATGGCCAAGAGTGGAGGATATTAAGAAGTTATCTGCATATTTGACCACTCATGTCTAAGGTTAATTTTACAAGTCCGTTGAGTAGATAAAATCTCATATGATTGCCTCCATCTTCATTTACACCACTTGCATTGACAGTATCATCATAGAGTGTTGCCTTTGCTGGCTAGAGAATGTTCTTCGTCGTCCACCACAAGAGTTGATACATATTTCGTTTCATGCCAAATCCTGTGATGGGTGGGTGGCGTGCAAAGCGAGGTGGGCCAATCAAGACCTGGAATGATACGGTGAGAAAAGATTTTGAACGTATTGGTGGACCAGTAATATATGGACTTAAAAGATGGAAAAAGGAGTGGCTTCCATTACTGTTCAGATCGCGTCTCTTGGAAGCGTCTTACTAACCAGTAATGGTGAGAGCTGTTAGAAGAAGAAGAAGAATTCCACTGATATACTATCTTTTGTGGTTATATAATTTTTGCGATAAGAATTCGCTGCTTAAGGCAGGCGTTTTTTCGTCAAAATTATCAGATATTAAAAAGACTTATTAGAGTGGTTTGATATTTTTGAGTTGTAATAGTGTTTTTATGCGTGCATACATATCTTTGCATTTTTTTGCGTTTTTTTTTATCAACTTAAACATAATTGGAAAAATTCCACGCTTTCTGCATAAAAACGCATGTCCACTCTTCATTGGCACATCGATGTGACGAATATTTGAACGTAGCACTTTTCGAGTAGTTCTATAGGACGATATACATTCTCGCGCTTCATTTGAGAATTTCAAGTTATTTTTTGATGTAAGTAATTTTTGTTATAATATAAATTATTAATATAAGTAATTTTTGTTTCTAATTAATTTCGTCTCCTAACTTATCATTTTTAATGTTTGCTAACATGTGGATTTTCATTTAATAATTATAATTATTTGAGGTTAAAAACAATTTATCAAATGATAAGAATTGAGCCTATAATATGGACGTCAACCTATCACACGAATATTGCATCTTTTATTCCTATATATTAACTTTGTTTTATTTGATTGTACGATAATAAAACAATGTTTTGCTATTTATATATATATATATATGTTTACAGATGGGTACTCTAAGCGTTCAACCACCAACGGGAATGATGCGAAATATCACCGAAGTTTTTATACTTTTGCGAAATAATTCATTTCAAAGTAAATTCATTAATATCAATGAAACTACGGGTACAACAGGTTTGCTTTTCATTTCACTTCTTATTGTTTTTTTCAAAATTTTCAAATTTTAAATTTTTAAGTTTTAGTAAAAATTTAAATTTAAATTTAAATTTAAATTATTGGAAAAATTCCTTTAATTCTTTTTTAAAATCAGTTCTACTAATAATTGGTAAAATTGATAATTGAAATTTTTATTGAATCTTTATTTTTTTATTTTAAAAGCATTCACTATTACTGGTTAGACTGGTTCGCTTCGCTCACTTGTCGCACTGGACAAATGTGCCAGGGAATCCCTTGGTGATTGAAGTAAAGTTGAGTTACTAGCATCATCCGGATTTTTTGGTAAGTTTACTCCCGCCGGGAATAGATTCGCAGTTTCGGCGCTTATTCTACTATATTTTCTCTTCCCTGTTAGATTAAAGTTTATGAGTGGTACATAGGCTGCTTAGATTCCAAACCTTGGTCCTTGATGGCAGTTCTCTTCTCACTGAGCCATTGCTCACTGAAATTCTATTACATAGCTTCTAAATTATTTTTAAACCTGAAAAGTTTGAAAAAGAAATTTAAGAAATTGAAATTGTACTATTTTATTTTCTTTTACAGACGAAAAAATGTGTTTGGTAAATCTAGATGAAGAAGGAGAAAAAGCAGTTGCTGGAACGTTTAGGTCTTTACCACCCGATTGGATTAATTATTTGGATGAAACACAGTATGAATTCACAAGGTTCTAGTTTTTTTTTAATTTAATGAATTTACATTGAGATTTTTTACTTTTTTGTCTATTTTAATAATATTTCAATTGTTCTAAAAATTGAATTCATTTTTCATGACTTTTCGATTACGAAGTATTAATATTCATATTCATTTTCTAATATTCCACTTTCTTTAAGTAATAATTTTTATCGTTTTCAGAATCCGTTCACGCCTAAAACAAATAAGGGAAATGCAGCAAAATCATATTGCTAAACCATGTTTTATCGAAGATTCTGAAGTTCAACAGAAAATGGATATTAGTACCGATGAAGTCACTCAGATGTTCTCACATTGCCAGAGGCTTATCGGGTTTGTCAGTTTTAATCACTTTTCAGTTTTATATTATTTTTTCATTTATTTCAAAAATTCTGAATTGTGATGATTTCTAGGTTTATTGAGAAATCTAACGTTCCTGTTGGTACTCAACAATACATTTTACGTGGAAATGTAATGAATACTTTGAGATGTACATTAAGTAACATGGCAAATGATTTTCGAACAAGTCAAGCGAAATATCTGAAACACACTCAGATGTTCTCACATTGCCAGAGGCTTATCGGGTTTGTCAGTTTTAATCACTTTTCAGTTTTATATTATTTTTTCATTTATTTCAAAAATTCTGAATTGTGATGATTTCTAGGTTTATTGAGAAATCTAACGTTCCTGTTGGTACTCAACAATACATTTTACGTGGAAATGTAATGAATACTTTGAGATGTACATTAAGTAACATGGCAAATGATTTTCGAACAAGTCAAGCGAAATATCTGAAACAAATTGAATCTCGGAAAGAAACTGTAAATTCTTACTTATTAACTCCTTCTAGTGGCTGGGTCAATATGGAAATATTGGATAGTGTTCCAGTTGATAATGCAGAAGGTATTAGATTTTCTTTTGATAGCTGCAGAACATGCGTCCTGTGATGCACAATAAATCTGTTTTTTTTAAAAAAATTTTTTTTAATGATTCGTTCGAGTGAGGAAAGATCAATTTTATTTGAGAATTAACGATGGAACAAATCCAGTTGTTACTTCAAAATGCAGATATCGTTAAAGAGCGTGAAAAAGATGTTCTTAGTGTTAGTAAATCAATTGTTGAATTGAACACAATTTTCAAAGATCTTGCATCACTGATAACAGACCAGGTCAGTATAACTATTCCTTTTTTTTCAGATGTTGTTTGATTATTTTAATTTAATTTTATTATAGGGAAGTATTCTTGATCGTATAGATTTCAATGTCGAACAAACATCGATTAGAATCCAGTCAGCTTTACAAAATATCGAAAAAGCCGAAAAGTATCAAAGGAATGATAAAAAAATGCACTGTATTGTTATTTTATCAGTAACGATTATTATTTTGCTTTTATTGTTAATTATTGTTAAGACTTAAGGCTTTTTTTAAGATTTCAAGATTTTTAGATAATATTGCTAATTTTCCTTGATACCGTGATTTTCTATTTAATACCAAAGGGAATTCCATTTCATTTTTATTTAAAGTTATTTTTATTATCATTGTATTTTGTATCAGATTTTCATTCTAATTGTGATATATTCTGGTGATCTTTTCTTAGCCAAAACATCAAAGTTATTGAAAGGTAGGAAGAGAAGAAAGAAAAGCGAAAAAGAGAAAGTTTGGTCGTGTAATGTGATGCTGTGAAATGGTATATCATCGGTTTGGTCCAATGCGCTCAGGATATCACCTTAAATTTTTGTAGCGAAAATATTGTCTTAGAGTATTCGTCAAAAGAATCAAAGATTATGAAAGGAGAATACAGTAAATTACGGGTCCTTGACTGCACATTCAGGCCCAGCAAGGATCACAGCTTTCTTCTTTTCTTTTTTTATTGATAGATTTCTTTTCTTTTATATATTAATTTTATAATAAATGGTGATCCATTTTCTGTCGTTTGCCATTTTTGCCATATAGCCATTTTTAAAAAATTTTCGGTACTTATAAATAATTCAGCTTTTAGTTTTAATTTTTTAATAGCTTTTCTTCTTCTTCTAACAGCTCTCCATTACTGGTTAGGCTGGCTCCAATGGCTATAAAGGTAAGACGTTCCAACGCCATCGCTAGTGCACTACAAGCTATTCCTTTTTCTATCGTCTAAGTCCATATATCACTGGTCCCCCGTTCAAAATCTTTTCTAATTGGTACAGGTTTTGATTGGCCCTCCTGGCTTTTGACGCCAACCATCATAGAATTTAGCAAATAATGAAATATGCGCCAACTCCTGTGGTGGAAGACGTGCCCTAATCAGCGAAGGCGATGGTATGTGATAACATTAATACAGGTGGTATTAATAAGCGAAGATGTACTATATATACAATCATTTGCGATTTTATCCGTTCGGCGGATCCGTATCTCAGACGAGAGGTCAAAGGCTGATAGCTTCTTAATTCCTTCACTCTCATTGGCCATATTTCGCAGCTATATAGCAAGATCGAGCAAGTTACAGCTATATAGATGCGGATTTTCATCTTTATGGTGTTTTCGCGATGGTTCCATGAAGGTTTCATAGTCGTTATCCGGGTTACGATTTCATTCTTCGCCTGGCCATTTAGAATTAGAGTACATCCAAGGTATTTAAAATCCGGCAATTCCTCAATCGGTAATGAATTGATAAAAGTAGGTATTTTATCAGCATCTTGTATATGAGACGAAAATACTTTTAATAGCTACTATTAATATCTATTAATATTGAATGTTTTTTATTCGATCTAAGGAGAAAAAACCTATAACATTCTTTTATCAAACTGATAATTGATAATTTTTTCATTAGTCATATTATTATTATTGTTACAAAAATCGATTATTGTTTTTGAAGAAAATTTTAGAGTTGATTGTTATCTTGGATGTTTCGAGATTCATTGGTGCTAATTGATTATTAAATACCTTTTTGTGCTATTTGAAATAGTTAGCAGTTTGGTGGAGCTCTTTTTATGATATTCTGAACAATATAAAAGTAAAACCCACTCGATTAGGGTAGAAAAATTATATACGAAAAATATTCATAACTGAAAGAAATTTTAGGTCTATTAGGAATAAGTAATAATAAAACCATGGAATTCGATGTATGGTGTGAAATTCAAGCCTAGCAAACAGCTTTTTGGGGATTTATGGGAATTGTTGAATTTAAATCGTTTAACCTCAATTGGAACCCTCAGTTGGAATTGGGGACCTGAGGTTCAATTCCCTGCAGGAGTGAACCTTTACAAAAATCCGGGTGATGCTGGCGATTCATCTGTATTTTTATGTGAAAAGACTCTTTAGGGTGGCATGGTGTAGATAATTTTTAGCTGTTAAATATTAAATGTTTTTATACTAAGTCTTGAACCGATTTTCCAAAGTATTACTAATCTTCGGTTTAAGTGGACGTCAATTTTTGGAGAGGCAGTCTTGACATTTATTGATACGGGGGAGACAGAGGTGGGTGGTTTAAATAGCGAGTGGGGGTGTATGATGGTTTCCAGTTGCTTTTATGTTAAGCCTATGAATATGATCGTTTTTGAAGTTATTAATCAATAAGGTGAAGCGAGGCGTGAATTGTTCGATTTTGAGGATTATTTTTCAGCGAAAATCTAATTTAGGTGGTGAAAATTTGGTTGTGAATGGTGTGAACGCTGTTTTTGCTCTCAAATAAGCTTCTAGTCTCACTTCAGTGATCAGTTTTTTTTAAACATTCCTTACCATTACTTCTTAGTCTCGCTCCACTAAGTTGTCGCACTAGGTAGATATGCAGAGAGTCTCTTGGCGATATCAATACAGGTGAATCACCAATCATCCGGATTTTTTGGGCGAATTTCCTCCTGGTACGTCAACATCGTCGCTCCGAATTGTCTAACAATCCACTATGCCATTTTACTCCTTACTTCGGTGGTCTATCTGAAACCACTCAATCCAGAAACACTATATATGAAGTGAGGAAAAGAAATGATTATGCCATTTTACTCCTTACTTCGGTGGTCTATCTGAAACCACTCAATCCAGAAACACTATATATGAAGTGAGGAAAAGAAATGATATGTTTATGAAATATTTTTCTCGTTTTTTTAAATCATTTTTTACCTTTTCTTTTATTTTATTGTAGAGATAACGTTAGTTCTTATTTTATTTAATTATTTTTCTTACTTATTTATTTTTCAAGATCATTTACTATTTTTGATTCGACTAGGGTGGTCCTACCGGCTTATTGAACGATATAAATTTTCCATAGAGAGTAACTTGGCAACAAAAATATAGGTGGATCACCAGCATCATTTGAATTTTTGAAAGTTGAAATCCTGCAAAGTATTGATTAGCATTGGCGAAATGATAGCGATAGCTTATTGAAGTATTTCTGATTTTTGATTGATATCTTCTAACTGAAAAATGATTCTGAGCTTTATTTTTTATATCTCTCTTCCTTTATCAGCATTAATGGTTAACCTGGTTCTACTATTATTCGTCTACTAAAAGAGAATATCTTTTGGTATACAGTACAATCTTGCATTACCTTGATTTAATAACATTTTTTATGACAGATTTATTCTTGTCATGAGACAGGGAATGATGCTATAAGTAAACATCGCGCTCGACCAATTTTTAGCCTATTGTACTTAGCCGAATATATTATTTTTCATACTGAGATTCATATCAGATAAGGATTGTCTATCTGTGTCATTTGTAAATGAATATTTCTCTTTTTCTTTTTCTGCATTGTAGCTTTCCGGAAAATTTTTTGTTAAAAATTTTTATAGCTGGTAATTTTATTCTTAATTTTATTTTTGTTTTATATCATTATCTTTATTAATCAATCGTTTTTATCGTTCATTATCGATATAATGGTTCTTTTTATTATTTTCTTTATGTCGTTTTGTGAGGAGGTGTGGGGGGGGGGGGGGGGGGGGAGTGATTAGGCAGTAGAATGGCTCAATTAATTGTTTCCGTTTCGTGTAAACTGATTTATTGTTATTGAATTTGTCGTGAATCATTCAAAACTCGTTTCTTTGAATGAAATTTGGTTTATGGAATGCTTACATTTCAATATTATCGAATTGGCGAAAGCAAAATGCCATTGAGGTCGCAACGCATGATACCAACAAGAATGAGATGGCAGCTGGATAATAATTATCAAATGACGAGTGGAGAAGAAAAGTGTAAAAAAGCTGCACTAAAAAAAACCTTTGATGTTTTGAACATAGAGCAGAGAATGAGAAGATAGGAACCCAAAAAGATAAGAAATGTTCAAAAAATAGCGTTTTGCTTTCGCTGTTTCGACTTCGTAATTTTCTCTTCGCATGATTGCCATAATTTATTGTGAAAAGTGCCATTATGCCTGGATATGAAATCTGCTGATAATGGATTTTTTCAGTCTTTGGAGTCGTTTTGGAAATTTTTATTGATATGGATGATAGAAATATTTCTTCGTGCCACAGTGATACGGAAAACAAAGGAGAAGACAATATAAATATTGGAACAACTGGTGAAGATATTGGGTACTTATTTATTTTTATAATCAGTAATCTTTTCCTTCTTTCATATTTTATGGACCATATTATTTGGTCATTTTTATTAGAAAATCCGAACGATTATGTCGGATTCAATTTCGTAAGAAAGAAGGGAATTTTTTCTTTTTCTTATTTGCTGGCGATATATTTCTTTTAACGATTTTTAAAATTTTTTTTTTCAGTGAAGCTGCTTCAATGTTTCGTAGGCCTCGAATCAGCGCTGATGAGAAAAAGCGCCATTTGACATCTGATGAAAGTCTAAAAAATGATCGTAGTCTTGGAAGAATTTCGACGGATAGATGCAGATCTCCTCTATCTCATGAATTCAGAGAAAAACATGGGTCTGATAGTGGTAGTGAAAGTGACAAAAATATGCGAAAACATCTTGGTTATGATTATGAGCGAAGGGAAAAGGAATATCGATCGCGAAGAGAAGATGAATCTTCGCGACATCGCAGATCATTTCGTTCGAACAGTCGGAGTCGTCTCGATAAAAAACGATATGATGAAGATGGAAGGAATTATTCAGATAGAAATTGGAGGGTAAGATTTTAATATTTGTTATCTAATACTTTTGTAGTTTCTATTCATTCGTCAATGGCATATTATTTATCTGTTAATGATATGCAATGGTTTATGGCAAGAATTTATATATTTTGGGAATATTATATTTTATGAAAAATGATATTAAATTTTTTTCAGTCATCTGGAAATAGGAAATATTCAGACGAAAGGGAGCATCATAGTAGCAGATATTATCGCGATTATGATTCGCATCGTCGCAGGTATTTTCCAAAAATTATTCATTTTATGCTGTAATATTTTGAAATTTTGAAATTTTAATTCCTTTTGCTAACTCTTCATTGATTTAATGTAAGATAGACAATGTTTCTCAAATGGGAACTAATCAAATATTGTTCAAACACATCGGCTTAAACTGGATCTTACGTCGAAGTTTGGCAGAATTGGTATATTAAATTATTTCAATTATATTAACCTGAAAAAAAATCAAATGGGCTTGGCTTTGAATTCTTAATATTTCCTAATATATATGGCTCTGTTTGACTTCTTTGCATAATATATATTTTTTGATTATTTGTCGATCCAGAATATATTTTTTTGTAAATTTTAGTAATTGCGACTTTTGTTATTCAATAATTATGATCTTCAGTTGCCGATTATAGTATTTATTAATAGTATTTGTTTATTTATTTATATAGTATTTATATAGTATTATTAAGTTCCAATGCCCTGTTGCATTATTTAAGTAATTTTTAAGTAATTTAGAATTTTTGAGATCAAAAAAATCGTTTAGTGGTCATCGTAGAGATGATGATGAAAATTCCGAAGGCGAAACAAGTGAGAGACCAGTTTGGGCGACAAAGGCTGTGAGAAAGCGCGCAGAAGAGATTCAGCAAAGAAAATTGCTGTGGTCGAAACCAAAAGAACAGTCGGTAGGCTAAATTCGGATTTATTTTCTTCAAATACCAATAATCAATTAATTTAATTTCTTTAAATATTTCTAAAGTTCTAAATTTTATTATTTAAATATTTTAAAGTGTTCTCAAGAGAAGGATAATGAAATGACTAGTGCATCAATGACAAGTGCAGCGACAGATAATGCGTCTCGATCTTCAACCGTTAAAACATGGAATTCTATTCTTGCTGCCACCTCTTCAGATTCAAAGGAGCTTGATAAGTTTAAACGGTAAATTCCTAGCAAGTTTAGATATAAAATTTCCCGCTGTCTTTTAGTTGCTCGTTTCTTAATTCTTAGTTTCCTAATTTTTCATACGGAACATATTTTTGTTAAAAATAATGTTATATATATTTATAAAATAATTTTATAATAATGTCATATATATTTATAGTTTAATGGGAATAAAAAAAAATACCGAAGAGACGGGAGAAGTCGATGATGCTGCGATTGAGGCAGAAAGGCAACGACAAAGAAAGATTTATAGTCAGCTTGATCAACAATATTCAGTGGCCCGTTCAATAACTCATACAGCCAGAGGTCAAGGTCTTGGATTCCATTAGTTTTTTCATCGCGTATATATAAACAGAGAAATGCACTGTCGCTATGCTATGTATATTTTCTCATTATAGTTTCAAAAATGGTAATATAGGAAGAATTTCTAATATGGGTTCAGTGGTTGAAACTTAGCATTCTCCACTTATTAATCTAAATCGCAATGGAATTAACAGTGGCTATGACTTTACGGTTATATTTTTCTTTCTAAAATTTATTTCATACATATATGGCATTAGTAAAGATACATGTGGTTTATGTAATATGCATCGGTAAAAGGTCCGTAGGATCTATCAGATTGGATTGCCAGGGAGGTATTTAGTACGAAAATTTTTAAGGATTATTAAGGATTGTTGGTTTCTTTATATTGAAAATGATTATGATTAATTTACAATTAACCGATTTTGGAATATTTTTAAAATTGTTCTAAACTTGAAATTTTTTTGTTTCGTTTAACGTTTAATATGATTTGTCCTTTTACTACGTCTATTATTTACATTTTTTTTTAAATTTTTTGTTTAATTTTCACGTGTATTGCTGGCTAAAAAAAGTATAAACATATATGAAGTTCACGTGATTTTTTGGAAGGATCAGATTATTTGCTATGATTTTATTGATTCTTAATTTGTGTAATAGTTATATGATAAGAGTGATAAAATGATGAATTCGGTGATTTTACTCATTTTTCATTTTATTCAAATTGTCGTTTCGTCAAAATTCATTTCTATTTTGATTTTGCATATTTTTTTTATTTTAGAAAATGAAAAATAAAACAATTTAAAAAATACGATGTTAAAGAGAATCATTAAATACGATGTTAAAAACTGATAAATGATGCTGATAAGTGCAATTTTAATAATATGATTACCGCAAGTTAACGAAGGCACATTTCTGCCTTTCTGCTTGTGCCTTTTCATATTATTAAATTTTTATGGAAAATATTTAAAATTTATTTTTTTTTTATTTAAATATTAAATATTTAAAATTTATTTTTTATCAGTTAAGATAATTGACAAATGAGATGTTGATGCTATAGTTGTATTCTCGATAAGATGAGAAAGACGTATCCTTCAAAAATTTGTTGATGACTCATATTTATTGTTGTATCGTCAAGTGGCTGGCTGGCTGGCTGGCTGGCTGGCTGGCTGGTTGGCTTAGCAATAAAATTTTTGTCGGGTTTGATAAGCCATTAGAGTTATCAGCTTAGCGAAAAGTGCTTTTAGAAGAAAAAATAGCTGCGAAATAGTTCATTTCTCGTTTTTCATCTGAAATGTAGAAATATGGAAAAAATTCCGCAATTTTTTTCAATTTTTTTTTATTTAGTTTAACTTTTTGATAAATCACAACGCATTGTTGCTCGATGCAGTTTTTTTTGGCGAACATAAGTTCTATTTGCTTTGTTTTTTAATTATATTTGTTTTATTATAAAAATTTCTGTTTTTATTTTTATTTTAATTTTATTTTTAATTTAATATTTAATAATTTAATTTTTACATTTTAATAATTTTAATATTTCAAATTTTATTTTAATTTATTAGAATTTTAATTTTATTTTAATATATTTTGTTCATATTTTACTAATTTATTAATTTTAATAATTTTTTAAGTTTCTAATAAAATTAAAATTAAAAGTTATTAACAGTTTAATTTTAAATTATTATTATTTTAAATTATTAATAGTTTTATTCTAATAAAATTTTAATAAAATTTTAATAAATATTAATAAATTAATATTTTTTATTTTAATATATTTTTTTTTAATGTTCAAAAGATTTATCGCACATATTAATTAATATATTAGAATTTTTATTTTATAATGTTTTATGCGTTTATAAGAGAATTCATCGTTGTTTGGCCAAGTTTGGCTATAACTATTTTGAAAACGGAAGGAATTTAGACGAGGACGAAGAGTCTTCTTTTTGTGATCTCTTTTCTGATCCCTTTGTTGGTCCAGGGTGAAGCTTATGAGGGTTTTCTTTAGGCGATCTGCCGACACTATTGAATTATTAAAATTTTATGAAATGAAAAACTAGAAAAGCCAATGGTTGAGTATTGTTAGGGAATAGAATGGATCAGTGGACTGTGGATTGTTGTGCTCATTTCGAAGCGCTGATTGCTCGCTTTCTTCCGAAATAAATAAATCTATCCAAAAATCTCTTATCACTTTTATCACCAAAAGCTTTCCTAACATATTTGTTTAATGCAATAAACCAACGGAGCAAGTCTAATTCAGTAATGGTGATGGCCATTGGAAAAAAAAGGAAAAAAAATGAATAGAATATTGCTATATTAATGCTATTAGTCATTATTGTTGGCAAAACGCTAAATTTTGAGCTAAAAACTGACAAATAAATATTCTTTTCCTTCACCTATTTGTGATTCGTTAGCTTTAAGATTAATAGTCTCGTGAAAGAATTTTAGAAGAACGCGTAAATTTTCAAATTTCAGACTTATGGCATAATAAGAAATGCGATCGCGAAGTGGTTCTGGTGTACGACTCGATCGTTTAATGTATCTTGCTGAAAAAACAATACTCAAATATCAAAATCCCATTACTGGTTTATTTGCAAACAATGTTGAGGTTGGTTGATTGTTTTTTTTTTTGTAAATATCTAATAATGATTATAAATATAAATATAAATGAAAATAGAAAAAAAAAATCGAAGTGAAAACAAAAATTTTTTAGTGTTTTCCGTCTCATGCTTGGGTTCGTGATAATCTTTATGCTGCACATGCAATATGGGCGATGTATCGAGCTTATCAGAAAAGTGCCGATTTCGATGAAGATCTCGCTAAAGCCAATGAACTTGGACTATTATGGTTCGATGTTTTTTATTTATTTTAAATTTATCATATTTATAATATCGAAATTATAATATTATAAGTTGTAAAATTATTTATAATATTTATAAGAAACTTCGAATATAATTCATTCCTACTGCCTATTTATTGTCAATTATAAATTAATAATAATAATAATAATAATAATATTATTATTATAACAATAATAACAATAATAAACAATAATAACGATAATAATAATAACAATAATAAATGCGTATGCACCATTTTCGCACCAATTTTACTCTTTTTGCACCATTAAAAAACCGTTTTGCTAGAGAGATCAACCAAGAATGATAAGGCTTTAATATCATATAGAACAAAATTATATGCGAAATAATATTAATTTTTAGTATTAATAATAATAATTCTAGTAAATTAAGTATATTTATTAAAGGAATATTAAAAATGCTAAGGGAAATTTTTTGGAAAATTTTATTTCGAAAAATTAAGAGTTTCTTAAATACTTAATAAATTTCGAAGAACTTATTTTTATTTTATAATAAATAAATAACTAAGATCATTTTCATCAAATAAATCATTTTAGTGTAAAAATTATGCAATCGTTAATGGAATGTATGATGCGTCAAGCAGAAAAAGTTGAATTATTTAAACGTTTTCAACGAAAGACTGATGCTTTACATGCAAAATATTCTGTGGTGACTAAAAACGTTGTTGTAAGCGATCATGGCTGGGGACATCTTCAGATCGACGCATCTTCATTATTTTTATTAACATTGGCTCAAATGACTGCATCTGGTTTTTTTTTTTTTCTTTTTCCTTTTACTTTCTTGCCTATTTCAATTTTTATTTCCGCATTTCTCATTTTACATTTTACATTTATATTCTTCGATGAAATTGGTTTTTTTTTTTTTTTTTAGGTTTACAAATTGTTCGAAATTTCGATGAAGTAGCGTTCATTCAAAACTTAGTTTATTATATTGAAACGGGATATCGTACACCGGTTAGTGTTTATTTTGAATGAAAATTGTTTTGGTTTCATTATTTCATAATTTGAGTTATTTATTTATTCGTTTATTATTAATGTACATTTCATTATTCAAATATTCTTTAGGATTACGGGATTTGGGAACGCGGTGACAAAACCAACCAAGGTATTAGAGAATTAAATTCTAGTAGTGTTGGAATGGCTAAAGCTGCATTACAAGCGCTTGATGATGTTGGCGATTTATTTGGTGATGGCTCTAAAGGTGAAAAAAAAAAGGGATTAGGGTTTTCTTTAATTGTGCGCTTAATTCATTCCAATTTTACAGGATCAGTGATTCATGTACTTCCCGACCAAATTCAACAATGTTCTGCAGTTTTAACTTCTATGCTACCGAGAGAATCGTTTTCAAAAGTAAGCATTTCGGTTCTTTTTTTGAATTCTCCAATAGATTTCATTAAAATATTTTCATTATTTTTCCTCTTGTTGTAAATAAATAAATATTAAATTTTAATAAATAAATTTCATTAAATTTTATAAATAAAGATACTTCAGATATTAAATATGTTTTAGGAGACTGATTTGGCTTTACTCACCGTGATTTCTTATCCTGCTTTCGCTGTAGAAGAATATAACTTGGTTAATTTAACTCGAGAAACAATAATCGAGACTTTACTTGGAAATTATGGTTGTCGGAGGTTTTTACGCGATGGTTATAAAACAGCTTTGGAAGTGAATACTTATTTTCACCATTATTAAGAAAGAATTAATTAATATTCATAATTTTTTATTAAATTTTAAATTTTATCAAGTAAAATTTTATTAATTTTATTTTTATTAAATTTTATCATTGATAACCAGTAAATCAGCTCAGAATTATTTAATTTTTTTCAATAAAAATCCCTTTATTTTTTAATATATTATCGTTTTTTAATGTAGTATAATTTTAGGATCCTTCTCGTTTATATTATAACAATGCGGAATTGCAACAGTTTGAAAATATTGAATGTGAATGGCCTTTGGCGGTTTGTTACTTGTTTCTAGATGCGATGTTTGCGCAAGATGAAATGATGATCGAACGTTATTGGGCAATGATGGAAAAAGTAATATTTCATTTATAATAATTTATAATAATATAGAAGGTAAAAAAAATCATTAAAAAAAAATTTTTTTATTTCTTATTATTTTTTATTTATAAAAATTTATTCGGAATTTAGAGATTTATAGAATATTTCATTTAATTAATAATTAATATTAATATTTTAATATTTATACTTGCATTTCGCCAAATTACAAATTTTTTTTGCGTAATTTGCAAACTTACTTTTACTTTTTTAAGAATAAGTTGGAAACTTACATTTAAAACTTTTAGACTTAAAGCTTCAGATTAAACTTAAAGCCTTTTAAGATTATATAATATTATATAATATATAATATCGATGATAAATTTAAATATTGAATAAAGAACAGCTGAATGTATCTGTGTGAAAGATAACCAGGAAATTAGCAAATAACCTGGCAAAGAATAAATGATATTTATTTCTAATAAGATATTTTAGTCACGACTTATTATATTATATTTTTCAGAATTTAGAGGTTTATAAAATATTTCATTTAATTTATACTTGCATTTCTCCAAATTTTAATTATCATATCTTTAACTAAAATTGCGATAAGCTTTTGCGTACTTAAATTTACCAATTTATTTTGGATAATTGAATATTGAATAATACTGAATACTTAATATTGTATAACAATGTTATAAAGAACTTTGCAAATACACTGGACTCCATTTCAATCCGAGGATTTATCAATTCTAATAGGAGCCGTAACTTGATTTTCTAGGCTGATATAAAAATTCTGCACATATTTATCATATTTCTTCAGGTTATCTATTAGTCTTTCGTCATCCAAAGTATGATTCTGTGAAACTCTTTTCTATCTGATAAAATTAAATTTTTTCAATAAATTAAAATAGAAAATAAATTCGTTTCTATAACATGGAGGGGGGAAAATTAAGTTAAATTAAGTTGATAAGTTGAAAAATATTTATGTATTTTTGCATTTTGTATTTATGATAAAGTAGTGGAGATAGAGTGGTTTAGTGAGTTGTTGCTCAGTTCGGAACGCCGACACTAACGTTCTATTCCCAGCAGGAATAAACCTGTCCAAAAATCAGGATGTTGCTGGCGAATCACTTGTGTTTCTATCGCTAAGGGAATCGCTAAGGCATGTTTGTCCTCTGCGATAAAACAGCGGAGCGAGTTTAACTAGTAATGATGAAAATTCTTAAAAAAGAAAAAAATTATGATAAAGTATTGAGTAAAAAAGGCAAGGATCGTACTTTTATATTTTATAAGTCCACTAGAATTCATATTTTTAAAATTAGATATTGGCTATCAACAGCAACAATTCATATATCCTTGTATTCTTTTTTTCATGTGCATTCTGCGTGTCTACTGAGCGGATAACATGTATCCATCTTTGCTCAAAATATGCCATCTAACATTATTATCACAGAGTATAGCCTATGCTGGTTAAGCCATGTTTATATGCGAAATTGACACATATGTCATCATTTGCTAAATCCTGAGCCAGTCAAGATCTGTACTTATATAGTCAATAGGAAAAAGGAATGGCTTCTACTACGGTTTAGAGACGTTCTCTAGCTCATGGAGTAGTCCAACTAGTACTAGTGAGAGATGAAAATTCTCTTAGTCGAAATTCCAGAAATTATCTATTGATAAGTAATGATAAGTGATTTGTTGTCAATTGCAAACAATTGCGTATTTCAAAGATCATCTCCAACGAAATATTTTTTGCTGAACTCGTGATTTTGAGATGAAGCATTATTTGTTGGTCAAAAATACCATGAATTCTTGGAAGCTTAGGCGTTACATAATAGTAATAATAATAATTATTATTGTTATTACTGCAAAATACTGGTTCGTATTCAGATATCTAATCAAATGCTGAGGTCTTGCAGTCCTTTTAGTTCTTTTTTATCCCATTTTTGTGAATTTTTTAATATCAGATCCTTTGCAATATGTAGCCTTATCCCTGTTCATTTATTATTTTTATACTGGTTAAAATAAATGAGCTATAGGAGTACATTGCATTTCTCGCTTTTATGTTGATCAGTTCGGTTCCATTAAACCTCATTGGTTTGCAATTATCGTAAGATTACGATGAATAATAAGTTAGTTCTTTTTTGGTGTATTTCGGATGAGTAAATTTAAGAATATTAGAGGGTATCGGGGAAAAACTGTGAAGAGTGTGAAACAATATAGGTGAGTTCGAAGAAAGAAAGTATAACGAGCTTCGAGATGTCGAGGAATATGCCGGACTTTGAGGACAATTCTTTTCACTTGTTGGACGAATGTATATCCAACTCAGCAAAATGTGATTCTGTGAAATTCTACCGATTAATACGACGATAGTACTTTGAATTCTCTTATTTTCATTTAGACATTGCTATAAACCATAACATCATTTTAAACCCTGTTTTTACCACTTTTTTATAGTCTCTTAATATAGCCCAACCATTGTTATATTGTAGTTTAAGAAATATGGTGGGAGTTGAGTGAGAGAGAAGTGAGGATATGGTGAATGATGTAACAGAATTCAACACCAAATATCCAAGTAGCAATAATATGACCAGGTTAAAAACAAAAATCATACTACAGGACTACAGGAATGGTAGCATGAATATTTTATTAATTTATAATTTCAGATTGTTATTGTGAGGGATGGTTGTCGTGTTATGCCTGAATTATATAAAGTACCTTACGATAAAGTTGCTGCTGAAAAACAACAACGAGGAACTCAAGAAAGGCAACCAGATGGCGCAATGTTTACCTTTGATTTTGCTTTATTTTTTAAATTTCTGAATTAATGAGTGTTTAGTAAATTTTTATCGCGAAATATTTAAGGAATCCTTAAATATTAAAGCGAATTATTGCCAATTCATTGATTTTTCATCCGCATTTTTCTACGCATATAATTTTCTAATTTTAATTTCATTATTATTATTTAGCCCTTATCTATGGACTCAATCGTTGTATATTCTCTGTTGTTTACTTTACGAAGGATTCCTTACTCCTGCTGAACTTGATCCGTTGAGTAGGCGATTATCTGCTTATGAAAAAAGGCCACCTCCTGAAGTACAAGGTAAAAATAGGTTTAAAAATTCATGATCATATTTTTTTATAAGTTTTTTTTTCTCTTTATTCACGTTTTTTTAGTTAGCATCTTAGCTGAGACATACCAAGTTCAACAAGAATTACTCACTCATGATATCGAAGTCCAATGTATAGATGAGATTGATGAAGTTTTCTCGATACAACCAGCATCATCCTTTGCTAAAATCTTATCAAAGTGAGTTTCTTCTTATATTTACCATTTTTCTCAAATGCCGTATAAGAAATCTATCGAACTTTTCACTTCGATTATTTTATAGATTGGGTGAATCAAAAAAACTGAATTTAACTGGTAGGCCTTTGGATATCGATATTGGAATTTTGAGTACTAGCAAGCTTTATCAACTTGGTCAAAAATTTATTATATTCACTCCGCAGGTAATTACCGTATTTATGGAGAGAATTTTTATCGCCATTTTCTTGATCTTTCTTGCTATTTTTACAGTTTTTCTTTAAATACAGTTCATGGATCGTAGACGATCTCATCTGATGTATGATATCCGTATCTTAATGGATGAGTGGAGCTCAGAGTTGCAATATGTATATAGTTCATGGAATAGCACATGTGTGTCTGGTCGTCCTTTAGTTGTTTTAATCGTCGCAAAAAGTATGCTTGAAGCGGTGAGCCATTAGTCTTTTTTTTTATTGCTATTCAATTATGTTGATATTTTCTTATTATCGCAGTTTTATCATTTGATTGATTTTTTAAAATTTTATTAGTAATTTTTGGAAATTTATATAATTATTGTGGTGATGCACTGGTACTTTCTGCGAATTTGAAAGTGTTGGATTCTGTCTCAGGTGATATGCGAATTTTTTGAAAGATGAAGATTTTTTTTTAAAGGAAAAAGAGAATCATAGTTCAATTATATGGGAAAAAGTACCACAACTTTAGCATTTATATTTTTATCTATCAAAATTATATTAAAAAATTATATAAAAATTGAAATTGTAGTAAAAAGACTATAGTAATAAAAAATTAAGGATATTAAAAAATTTCAAGTTAAGAATTTTTTGAAACGATAGTAAAATAAAAAATGATAGAATAATATTTTAATTTAATTTTAAAAAATATATGATATTACTATAAAACAATATCTTAAATAAATAAATTTAAATCTTTATTATTTATCATTTTTTTGCTCTCTAGCGGTAGTTTTTATTTAAAATGATATTATTTATAATTTAATTGTTCAGGATTCTTCATCTGGTAAAAGTGCTTTTACTAGTCGAAGGTTAATGTCAACGGTGGTTGGTACAATCAAAAAAATCTCAAGTGGTTATATTGGTGGTGCCCGGTGATTTTTTATGACGTTGCCATAAACTGTTGACTATCTCTTCTCTCAGATCTCTTAGATCTATTTTGTTAATATTTATATCTTTAATGTATGTTAAACTTAATGCGAAGGTAACCATTTTCGAGTCATCTTCATTACCACATGCTTCGATAATATCATCACAGAATGCTATCAAGCCATGTTCTTTGTTCATCGTAAAATTTGACGCACATGTCTCTGCATGCCAAATTTTTTTTTCATCAAAAGCAAGAAAGCTTTATTGGATTTTCTAGATCAATGTTATCAGAAGATATTTTGAGCGTATAAATTGGTCGAAAAAAGTGCGTATAGTTAATTATAGGCGTGAAATCTGAATAGACCTAAGTATGTATTATTCCAGTAAATAATGGAACTAAACCAGAAATTATGTATGGTATATTATAAAATATATTATAAAATTATATATATATATTATAAAATTGTATATGATGTATTATATATGAATTATATATAAATTATAATTAAAAGAAAAAATTTTTCTCATTTTTCGTCATATATATAATTCTTAAAGTTTTTTCAGCGTCGTCATGAAGGAAATATCTGAATTCTTCCGTACCACAGCCGTCACTCAATTGGATTATGGCAATAATTATCTAAATAATCTGCAGTATTTCGATCAAAATGGTGTATGCCGTCGGAACTTGCCATCTTCGGAATCAGAAGGAACTTGTAAGTTTAATTTTATTCGCTTTTTATTTTTTTAGTATTTTAGATTAATAAAATAAAATTATAAAAATTAAATTGCATAAAATTACAGTTTCACAATCGAGTTCAGCGACGCTTAGCCGAAAACCTTCAACCAGAAAGGATAGGTATGAGCAATACAATATTGTTCACAAAGCATCAATGCAGCATCGAAATATCATGCTAGATAGTAATGATACAGGTAATGCAGGAAAATCTATTTTTTGGCCGATGGATTTGTGTCAAAATTCAATACCAACATGTTCTTATATAGTTCTCATCAAACATAGGTGCAAGGATAATAATAATAATTGAGGTCAAATATATCATGTACACCGAAAATCCTCAGGCATAAAAATTATTATTAAAAAATTAGCTCAAAATAAAACTTGTTTAAATACTCTTTCAATAAGCGCATCATCTTGCCATAACACCACCTCATATCTAGCCTATTTTCTCTTCTCTGTTGCATCTTGTCAATCTTACATCTACCCTAGAATTTTTAGAGTTTTTCACGAAATTCACTTCCTGATTCCGGATATAATCTCTCAACCTCTCCAACCTTATCACATTTCAGGAAGAATCTATTTCGATATCTTTAAGGTTTATATTAGTTTCGGAGGAAGTTATTAAAGAAGATATAGTCTGAAAAGTTGGTTTTGCAGGCTTTAATAGGATATTACTGATTGTGCAAAAAATTGAAACGATATTGATGATATTTTGAGGGATCTGGAGAGGTTTTTCAAAAGATATTATTTTTTGGGGATTTAGGTGTATAATAATAGAGATTTAGACAATAGTTATTTTATTTTCTTGTAAACCAATGAAATCATTCATTGTGTATAACGTGATTTAGATTTGGCTCAACTTCGCCTAGCTTATGTGGCTCAGAATACAATACAAAAATCGCAGTCAAAAAGTCGCTTTATGTCACCGAGAAGATTACTTTCTCCATTACGAGAGAAGCGTTACAGTCCACCACTTGCTGAAGATTATGTACAAAAATCTTTACTAAAAATTACTTTTTCGACATATGCTCTACATTTTTATAAGCAATCAAATTCACGAAAGTTTTTTTTTATAGAAAGCGGGTTCAAATAATCAGCTTATTACAGTTGATTCTTCTTCTTCTTTTAAAAGTTCTTCAAGTGAATCAGAAAAAAGGTAATTTCCTGCTTAATCTTAATATTGAGTTCTTTTTTATTTCCTATTTTTGATCATTTTTTTTATTTTTTATTTTTTTTAAGACTTCATTTTTATTTCTGAAAATTTAATTTTTATTTTCAAAATTTCCGTTTATTTATTTATTTTTTCATTTTAGACTCGACGCTAGTCATTTCGGTGAGATGTCCACATCAGATCTTTTAGAAATGTTAACTGAAACAAATCTTCTAGAAGAACAAGCATCTCTCGTACATTATCTCTGGATGAAACAGTAAATACAGTTTCCAATTATTTTCCATTGGCAATTTTATATTTATGAAGGTTTTAATAATATTATGTCGTATTACTTCCAGTGGACCACAGTACGATACAAAATTGAATGGTGTGGATGGTTCAACGGTGAATGTTCTTGTTGATGAGGTTTATATGAAGGTAATATTTCATAAATTCCTTTTTTATTTTTATTAAAAATTATCTGATCTCTTGAAATTTTTGCATTTTCCATTTTTTTCTAGACAAAATAACTATATTGTTAGAATTTTTTGTGAACAATTGCAAAAAGAAAGCAACAGTCGAATTGCCATTTATTTAAAATTCGATTTGTTACTGAAAGATATTTTAGGCTTGTGAATGTCGTGACTGGGCTCTTGTAAGACTTACGGCTGGTTTGCTGAAACGTCAGCTCGATGAACTTGCAAAAGCTGTAACTCATTTGCTCGTGCGTCAAAAGCAAGTTACCATAGGGTTGCCGTCAAAAAAAGAAGAAGTTATTACATGTCCGAAAACAAAGGAAGAGTTGCAAAAAATTATTAATCGAGTTTATTCCGATGATCCGAATTCTTTCACTCTAGCACAGGTCAGTTACTACCTTTAAAATAATTCTCTTATCTGAAAAAGTCGTTTTTCAAAGAGAATTAAATGAATTTCGACTCGTCATTTATATTTCTTTATGTTTTTATTTAATTTTATCGATGATTGCCTTTAATTGAAGGAAATTATTGTATGTCTTGGATCATTGGTGCTTACTGAGCCTCGCCTTTTTCTCGAAATGTTTAGGTTACGTGTCGGCTTAATCATCCAAGTTTGTTGTTTTTGTTGTCATTTAGATTTCTTTTTTCTTAAAAAAACTGAAACCTTTGTATTGATAAGTCGCATATCTTCTTTCGTAAATTTTTATGCTTTTTTAGATTTTTTTCTAAAAGATTGGAAGATTAAAATTTTTTCTAAAATTGTTTTCTTGTTCCATTAATAAAGCGACAAATTTTCAACATTTTCAACAGATTTCTTTGTTTTTCATGATGAACGCATTTGTTCAATTTTTCTTATGCCTTGGAAATTTATTCCTGGTTCAATTCAAATTTTTTATATATTTTTCAAGGTCTTAGCAAGTGAATTGGCTCGATTGCGTAACATCGGTGGTGAACATGCAACTCAGAGCTTGCTAAAGTTGTCTCCTTTCGAAGTCAAATCTATGGTTCTCTTATTGCTTAGTGGTAGATTATTAGAAGACTTCAGTATGGACGAAGATACTGGTGCGAAAGAGCAGAGAACTGGTATGGGTTCGATAAGAAAGCAAATCGAAGAACGAAAGGTATTTTTATGATATTTACACATATATTTAATTTACGACTTGAATGCGGTGGGATTAAACCTTAAAATTTCGGTATGGTTTTTTGGTTGGGTTGGTTTGCTGATCATAAATCGTAGAAAGCTTTCTTGTAGTTTATTTTTCTATTAATAGTATTATCTTTTAGAAAAATCGTTTTCAGTCTGTCCGTAGGTCAATGCATCTAAGTGGGCGAATCGCTAGTCCCAATTTATTGGATCCAACTGATAGTGAAGATGATGCCGATGAAAAAGATGATTTTCAATTCGGTATATGGCTTAGACACAGGCGTATCGATGGAGCACTAAACCGTGTACCACCAGGCTTTTATCAGGTCAGTCTCAATTCCGTTTTTTCAATGCTTTATTAAATTTTGGTAGTGAGTTGTAACCAAATTTTTTCGCTCTTAATGAAAGAATTACATGTTTTCAAATTGGTCCCTTCATGCAGTTTCTTGATGAATTTGTGCCTTAAATGAAAATAACTCTAAAAAATTTGTTTAGTGTGTATGGGAAACACTTCGGAAATTTCCACATGGTTTGTCGGTGAATAATATTGTGCTTCATTGGGGTCTTACTCAAGAGGTTTCACTTTCCTATATATATTTTATCTTTTATTTTTCATGAATAATTGACAGTAAGGATATTCAGAAAACAAGTAAAATTTGTTAAATATGTGCATTTGACTGAATTTTTAATTTCCTAATGATATTTGTAGTACTTCTTTTATTCCATTTACTGCCTTGAACTAGCGTGTTTATAGAAAATTACAGATGACTCGCCGTGAAATAAAATTTGCTCTCCAAGTTGAAGAAGTCCTTAATCAGGTATTTTTTGCTAGAATTGATTTTAGTTTCCTGAATAATTTTTTCAGAATGAGGCGAAAGAATTTAGATAAGATTTTTAGAGAAGTATCTTTGGACCTTTTTTCTATAAAATTTCTATCGCTAAAAATTGCAGATTATTATTATTGCATTGCAGATTGCTGAACCGGAATATCGAGAGATAGTCGTCGAAGCACTATCTTTAATGGGTAAACTGGATATTGTTTTAAGAACAGATCGCCCAAATTTTCCTAAAGAACGGCCGCTTGAAATCGATGCTATTGTTCATAAAGCCAATGAACTTTTCGTCAAACATAATGTGATTAAATAAATTTTTTATTGCACTTTTCTATTTGTGAGTGGAAAATATTTACTAATCCTATAAATTCCATTTGTGCTCTAATATTCACTTGTTTTTATGGCTTTTATTTTAGAGGGAAATGGAAACGATTGTCATGGAATGTTGTGGTAGTGGTAATAATTGTGATGGTGCTCAAGGAATGTGTCAACATTTTTACGATTCTGCTCCAGCTGGTGAATATGGAACCGCTCATTATATCATAAAAGCGATTATGGGATTATATGGCCCTTTGTAATCAGATAATTTATCTCTTGTTATTATTGTACTTAATAATGCAAATTTTTAGTTGTTTTCATCTTGTTTAGGCAAAAAGTTAGATTTTTTAATAAATAAATATGATAAACAATCGTTGTTTTTTATAATTGTTATGTAGACTATCTTGCCATTAATCTTTTTCGCTAAATCAAAGTTGTATTGTTGTAAATGTTGTTAGTAAATTTTTGTTTTCTTTAAATCAATAAAAAATTTATTCTTATTTATTGTGCTTACAGATACTTAGCAAAGGCAAAATCAGGTAAGTGGCAAGTGGCGGTGAACTGCGTTATTGTAAAATATCCTGTTGAGCGTAAATATTTGGTGAATGTGATTAAGCCTCAGGCCTTTTCGCATCGTTAATTTAATCGAGATGAAGTCCTACTGTTGCATCATACAAAAATTTTGGAAATATTTGTAACTTTAGTCTCCTAGAGGCATATCTTCTTAGCATGGAAATAATTTTATAGAACAAAGACAATTTAGACGACTTGAACAAATTTTTGAACTGAAAAAAACAACAACCTCGCTCGTCCCAAGAAAAGACCGTTTAAGGACATGTTAGTACCATCAAAAATTCAGAATAAGACAAGAATTATACACAGAAACAAATGAAGAGGCTAGAGCCTAATGGTGCTCACATTGATTTTCATAACTGATAAAAATATCGCTGTTGGCGATTCGCAGTTGCAAACATATGGTCTGACGAGTATTTCTAGGATGGTTTCAACTGATGGTTTATCGTGGTAAGGTTTGGCCTCAAAAAATTCCTTCTATTTTAAGAGGTGATTCTTAATATTCTTAATAGACAACCATTGCCATGTCGTACCATTTCATTGATTGTTCCCAGAATTATAGTTTGTGAAGAAGGCGGAATAGTTCCCTATTATCACCTGATCGAGCCGCTATCTCCATTCTCAAGGCCATCTCGCTCCAATAGCGATTTCTCACCATGCTGCTGTCGTAATTCTTCGAACCATCCCGTCTGATATTCGTGCTTTATTTTCAATCGGGCATTTGCTTCCGATACCCAATTAGCGCACTTCATACTAATGTGCCATAGCGTGAAAATGGCTGAATTTCGGAGATATTCCTTTAGTTGGCATCAGTTTCAACTGCCGTTCCAGAAAAGTCATTTATATTTATACTATTAGGGTGCTTCAAAAATTCGATTTGAAATCACGGTCGTCCCCCAATCTTTTAGTTTGCGATGGTTGAAAGATCTTGAAATAATTGTTTTTTGCGAGTTCAGCGAATGCGAATTTTGGCTCGAACCATAACATACTATAGTCCTTGAAGGTTACTAGTTTCGTCGCACCGATAGGAATGAATGAACAAATTAAATCGTAATCTGGTTGAAATTTTGGTTATCCACGTTCCACGTGATTAGATGCTATCTCCGATGCTGGGAGCATCTAATAAAGCGTTCATTAGATGAAAAAGGCCACCTCCATTGATATATTGGACCCCACATTTGCCAATTACCGAGTTTATCGTGGCGGCACTTACGCACACATTCCACTCTCCTTTAATTATAACCATATCTCTTTTCGGCAGATATGTTACAGAAGTTGCAGAAAACTTATCACGGTCTCCCGCGCTTAAAGTTGGAGCATCTACACTGATGACCGAAATATTACAGAACTTCTCTTTGAAGCAAGCCTAAGCCCTACCGTCTCGTTCATCGGCTTCCACTCAATCAGAGCGAACTTTTTCAAATATGGCAATCGCTATATCGTTTCGCCCCGAGTTATCCGAAAACCACAATGACATGATATATAGTCAGTACCTTTGTTCGGAGCTAGGTTTGGTAATCGCATGAGCTCCAAAGTACGGAAGACGGATCTCCGACAAGTAAGTGATATCTAAACGATATTTAGAAAAAGTGCAGACAGCTTGACTTGTCCACAAGCGTTCCGTGCTGCTATGGCTACACCTTGCCGCGCATACAAAGAACCGTTTTCATTGACAGGTTTCGAGCAATTGTCCTCACATGCGAGCATTTTATTTACAAGCTATGGAGTCGTCCAAATTATGTACTCATCGTATGTACCACCTGTAAGGCTGGGAGTATCATGCGCGTGGGAGGGCACGGCCGCCATGCCAAGAATATTAGTCTATTTCACAATAAGGTCAGTTGAAGATAGACTTACAAATGGATCTCAGCCACCTGGATTTTTGATATGGCTTTTGTTGAAGACAAGGATTAAATAGAAAAATTACAAAAAAAATTAAATTTTAGAAAAGAGCTTCTCGTTTGAGGTGTCCAAACGAAAAATTGTAATAATTATTGTCATTATTTTCTCCTTATATCTTAAGGAATCATAAAACGATTTTTCTGACTGATGCCAACTTAGTAACAATGATTTTCTAAAGGTTTCGAGTAATTTAATCCTGTAACAAAATGCATTTCTTTTAAAAATTTATTTTATTTTCCATCCTTCTTTAATTTCTTTCCTTAATTCTTTCTGCCTTTGGTAGGAATAAGTCGAGTGGTGCTGCAGACTGCAGTTCTATCCTCAAGTGACTATGTGGTGAAAGGTTCAGATCTTTTTAACAGCATCCAATTCCAAGCACAGTGGTACATGCGATAAGTATATAATGTATACAATATCCAGGGAGTAATTACTCGAGATCCAAACATGGATTTCCGATAGGCGATCTCCATACGTTGTTTACAAAGAGTGGACAAGATCACTTGCTTACAACGTCTATAAGCTTGCAACTTTCAACAGCTAATATCGCTTCATGTGCGTGGAGTGCCAGCGAAGTTTCATGTTTCTCTTGACTTAACAGATTTCGAGCAATCATTTTTGCTCGCGAGTATTTTCAAGAGTATTTGGGATCGTCTACGCCCAAATTATATACTTATCGCATATACCACTGGACTCGGAGTATCATGCGCGTCGGAATTTATGCCAAAAAATATCACGCTTTTTCCTCACAGAATTACTTGGGAATAGAGTTATAATAAACATAGCAACCAGGGATTTTGATATCATGACAGGTTTACCCCTTTAAAACATGTTTCAAATAGATGAAATTTAGGGAAAATGATAAAATATAAAATAGAAAATAAAAAGAAAAATAAGATAAACTTAAAACTTATTGTAGACTACTTAAGGCTAAACAAAACAAAACTTTTGGAAAATTTTTCGAGAAAATACTTTATTATAGTAATAATAATAAATAATAATAAACAATAATAAAAATAATAATAACAATAATAATAACAAATGATAATCGATTGATACATAAGGACATTCTCAGATAAATTTTTATCATTTGCAACTTCTTCAATGATATTTCTCCTGAACATTTAGAAATTCTGAGACATACTCTAAGAACTATTTCAATATACGGAAACATTTAACCATAGGACAATTTTTCCACAGTGAAATATTACTGAAATCATGTGGGAAAGCGATGATAATTTTCTCACCTTTAGTTCTTATCTTTGCATAGAAAATTGAATTTATTTTGAATTTTTCATATTCTGGCCTATAAAGCCACAGAATAAAGTCTATTACTAAAATGTTATCGAAGTTCCATATACGTATTCTTCTTTTGAGGCTTCCTGTGACTATACGAATTTTATGAATTTAAATATTATAATTTAAATATACTGATCAGATTCAAGCCTAGCGACCTCAAATGTCGCATAACCTCATTATAAAGTAACTTCAGCAATAATAAGTAATCTTCCTAAGTGATGAACAGTAAATGAAGTAAAGTGATCATCTTTTTGTTTAATAAGATGATCATCAACCAGAAATTTGAAATAAATTATTAAGAATTTTATCAAAAATGTAAAATTTATTTTTTCCACTGAATAGTCTTGCATAGTCTTTCATGAATAAAATGGAAATCTAAAAGGGGCAATGTTAAGGCTATTAAGTGGCTATTAAAATAAAACAGCCAAGCTCTGCGACTTTTTCAATGAAGCATGAGGTCTTTGCGAAGTTATCTTAGAAGATCATATAGATCACGTATCATTTTTATTTCTCCATTATTTGAAAATAATGGAATATTATTTTCACCTCTCACCTATCTTTTAAATGATAAAAGCAATTTGGAATAAATTTCAAAATTCTTGAATGGGACCATTGCTGACCATTAGAAAGTGACAAGATTTGACTGATAATGAATTCTCTTTCCTTCTCTTTCTCTTCCTTTTATTGCCGCTAAACAAAAAGATTTTTGCGCCATCAATGATTAGCATTTATTGGTGATATTAGCTTTCAGCTTTGATAAATATCCACTTTCTATCTTTGCGCAAAGAAGTTCCTTTTTCTCTCCAAAAAAAAGCGAATCACATATCGTTGAAATGTGGTTAAATAGATGAATTAATTAATTACAGTTAATGTCAGATTTGAAATAATAGAAAACCTAAATTTAAAAATTTTTAAGCCCCTTGCCAAGTTTTGCTAAGTTTTTAATGAGACATTAATTTCTAGACATTAATTTATTTGGTTCCTCCATGGCGTGAAGATAAATGAATATAATTATAAAATGGAATATTTCTTAAGCGATTTCATTCCTTTTTGATATTTCAGCTTCGAAAGTGAGAACAAAAAATCTTTATCAATTTTTAAAGAAAATTTTGGCAAATTTTTGGATGATCTGAAAATTGAAATTATCATTTCACTGAGCTCTCGCCGCTCAGTGTTTTATCACTATTTTCTCAAACAACTTACTTATAGGCTTATCATATTACTTACTGCTGGTACTAGGTCATTATCTCAGATGGTACTTCATGTTCCATTGCTAGACAAATTTTTACCACATTCTGAATAAAACTCATATTCATATTGTAGAAATTATACTTTTTAAAAAAAAAAACCACTCCACTGAAAATCCCAAAAATCTCGAAAAAAAATTGAAATATTTCATTAGTATGAAAGGCAAATCAAAAAAATAAATCCTTAAGTACATCAGAAGGTATAGATAAGATGGATAAATTTTATCAAAATTAAGATATGTTCTGTCCTTCTCAAACTTGCTTCTATTCTCAATTTTTTCGCTTTTCTCCTTCTCACTCTAAATCATCTTATCAAGGTCAATTTTCCTTATGAATGATGCTAAGGATCAAATTTCCCGGTATTTACATTTATAATTAGCTCAATCTGATATTATAGATAATTGCTAACCAAAGTTCAAGCAAAGAGACATCAACTAATAAATGATAAACTGAAAATTGGATTCGATTGATAGCATAACATTTATCAGTTAAACATTGGTGTTTGCAATGTCTTTTACTGGCTACAAAAAAATAATGCAATAATCATAATTATAAACTGCTTCGCATTTTTCGATTCCAATTTTTTGGTCGAAGCCAAAGGGATTTTCAGCTTATATCCTATTCTTTGTAAGTCACTCTCTCACTTTTTCGTACTAATACAGACTTCTGAAAGAGGAGCAATTGCTTCCGCTTTCTTTGCCGATGCTATATCCTGCAGAAGTAAACCTGCCCAAAAATTCGAGTGATGCTGACGACTATTTCTATCGCCCAAGGAATTTCCTTGTATGTTTATCTAGTGCGACAAGCCACCGGAGCGAGTCTAACCAGTAAAGTAAGGGCACTTTAAAAAGAAATCCAGCATATTCATATTAAATAAATAAGAAATTATAAAGTAAAAAATTGCTAAAAATTGCAAAAATATTAAAATGCAACAATATTTAAACATATATAAAATAATACAAAAAAATATTAGAATATAAAAATATTTGGAAAGAAATAGAATTTCACCTAGCAATTACTAAGAAATTCTAATTGAATTTAGAAAATTTCCATAAAATAATATCACATAATTGCATTTTAGTTGGACGATTTCAATTTGTTTTTATTTGATTTAATACAAGTCGATTCTTCATGTTTTGTTAAATAACTTTTTAATGCAAAACATTTTCCACAACGTTCGCAACAATATGGCCTTGCAGCTTAAATATTTATAAATTATTTTTTTATTTTTTTATATTTTCGAAAAAATCTTTAAAAATTATTTCCAACTTTCAAGAAAAAACAACCTTTCAAAAAGAGTTAATAATAAGAGTTAATAAGAGTTAATAAGTAATATAATAGGAGTTAATAAGTAACGAGTAAATAATAAATAGTGTGATTTTTTAAAAGTTTCTTTTGTAGAACACTTGGAATCACTTGCAAATCTATCAATTATCGTTTAGGCTTACTATGAAAAATAGGTTTACTCCGAGGGAAATAGAACCCAAGCATTACCGTTCAAAAATATGCGCAACAACCCACTGAACCACCATACTGCCCTCCTCTAAGCTAACGCATTTTTTAAAATTCATTTACAATAGAATTTTGTTGACCTATAATGAATAGGAAATTTGAAAAAAATTAATATCTATATTAATATAAATAATTAATATAAATAACTTAAGTATGAATGAAGATGACAAATTATATCATTATTTTTCCATTGTATTCATCATATATTTTGTTTTTACAAGCGAATATTTCTACAAATTTCATGAAGTTCTTCATCAAATTGCTTGATTAATCTAAGGCAGAAAAGAGACTAATTTTCGGTCAATAATTGGTTTTTGAATTACGAATTGATACAATTTATATTTGTATTTTTTGAAGAGAAGAATTTTATTTCTTGAAGATTTATTAGTAAATTTGGCAATTTCTCGTATTTCTTTCTTAATTTCTTCATTTGCTTGTGATTTTATTAATAATATTAGCTATTGACTTTTATAGATAAATTATCATAAGCAGTTAATATCATTAGATTAGATTAGATAACAATATTCGCTTATCAATTATTGCTTACTGAAATTAATTGAAACACTTACTACTATGCGTTTGTATATGCGCTCTAAGATTACTTTTATCGGCAAATGCTTTCGTACAAATCGTACATTTAAACGGTTTTTCACCAGCTAAAAAAGAAAGAAATTTTTAATTGAAAATTGAATAATGCAAAAAAAAACCGAAAAATAAAATGAGTAATAAATAAAAAATAGAAATTTTTCAGCATTCTTTGTTCATTTTATGCGGTACTTTTCTATCAAAAATAAATAAATTAAAAAATCGTGTGTGGTTTTTTTGTCGGTTTCACTTTTTATTTATTCATTTAATTAATAAAAAAAAAATTTTTTTTTTATTATTTGAAAATAACCTAAATATTTAGAAATATGCGTAAGTTTCTAGTGTTTCGACAAAAAATTGTCGCATTTCCACCTCATTTAGTGGCCAATACCATACAACTTTGTATAATAAAACCTAACACTAAATATCTATTATAGAAGTAGTATGAGAGAATGAAATACGGTAATTCGTCTGGAATCGCTTTACAAAATTAACGCAATTTATGCATACCTAATATTTAAGAATTATTGAAAATAAATAATTAATTATTTATTAAATTAATTGTATTTATTGCGATTATATAATATAAGATCATATAAGAAAATTCTTGAATTGAAATTATTTTAATTTGTTTAGAATATTTAAAATTTTTATATTATATTGAAGTTTTTTTTTTAAATTAACCAATAAAAGTATATATAAAAAGTATAATTAAGTAAATAACAAAATTAAATAATATTTGCATGGTTCTTTGTTGAAACTTCAAAAAATTGTTATCTTTAAAGGAAGAATCTACTTATATTTTTCTATATTTTAGCACTAATTTGGCATTTTCTGATATATTCTACGATGAATTTTTTGAAAAATTAATAATAATGATTAATAAATGATTATCATAAATTAATTAATAATGGTTAGCTAACTGTGTGTTCTGATATGTCCTTCGAGTAGCCAATTTCGAGAGAATTTTTTACCGCAAATACGACAAATACACGATGGCGATATGCTTGTTGTTGAAGTATTCCTTGCTTTTTTAGTCCTCTCCGTTATTGTTTCGTCTTTTATTAGTGAATTTTCAACCATATGAATCGGATTATTCATAGGACGATGATGAACGTTTATATGCAAGGATAAATCAACGAAATTTGTGAACATTTGCAAACATATTGAACAAAATAAAGTGGGAGCTTGTATTAATGATGATGGCATTGCTGGCGGAAGAAATAATGATGGCTGCCAAAAATATCGATAAGCTAAAAATTGATATTTCGTAATTTGCAATTTTTTCAACTCTAAAAAAAAATTAAGCAATATAATATAAGAAACGTAAGAAATATAAAAAAGGAATACCATCATTAATTGCTGATGAAGAATTCATTGGTGGATTTCCGAATGGTTGTGAAGAGAAAAAAGTGGTTGGATAATGAATGATGGATTGTGATGGCATTATTAATGATGGAAGAGAAATACAATAATTACTTTGATAAAATGACGATGTAGGAACAGTTACTGGATTCATTTGTCTGCAATAATTATAATTCAATATTTTACATTATGAGATTTATGAATTCTAAAGATTTAAAAATAAATGTGATTAAATAAGCTAATAGTCGATAAAATAAACTCTCTTTTTTGATTCTCTAGATAAAATCATAAAAATCCATGGAATCCCAGTTAATATTTTCGGCATCTTCTTTTAACGATGTTTTAATATATCGCAAAAGTATTTAATATTATTAAAGTATTTACAGTATTTCCAGGAATCTACTAATATAATGGTACTAGTTATAATTTAGCTATAATTCCCAGTAAAGAAATGAGTTTATGAATTCCAATTTAGTACGAATAATCTATTGAAACGAGTTCGATAACTTTCAAGGACCAAGTAAATTCGAAAACAAAAAGAGAAAAAAAATTTTTAATATATTTCATAATAAATGCTTATCAATGCAAATTTTGCATAATCACTTTAAAGAAATGTTCGAAAAGCGTTCGTACAAAATTTTCATATTTAAATTAATATTAATCAAATTTTGCACATTTTTCAAAAGTAAAAGTAAAATAAAAATTATTTAAATATATTATTTAAATTAATTGAAAAATATTTTTATTATTTAAATTGTCTATTTTAAATATAAATTAAAAGTAACAATAAATAAAATTGGATTTGCGTTAAGAAATTAGAATACGTAGAGAAATTTTAGAAGAAATCTTTGATAAGAAAAAATTTTTGAATAAGATCGCTGATTTAAAATATTTTAAAAATCTTACAGAAATTACCGACCTTTCTCACATAGAAAAAAAAAACTTTCTTAGAAACCGATATTGAAAATGGCCACATGCTCACCACACCAAATACTTAACCTAACTGGTTGGCTGAGTTTTTATAAAGTAATGAAAGGTCGAGAAATAAAATGTGATTAAGGATATTTTGTTCAAATGATAGGCATACAACAAAAATTCATAGTGATCATTTGATAACAATAGCCGATTTTTGACATTTTATGTTTCTCACACTAGTATATGAAATATTGTTCGGTAGCATTCATGGCATCTTCAAGTTAATTTATAAACATCTAAGCATCATTGTCTCTTAAGCTTTTATAATCATTGAGATTTATGCTTATGCTTTTCGTCATAATTATTATTACAATGAGAAAAATTATAATACAGTGAGGAAAACAATATAAACGAAATGACAAGAAAGAATTGTTTATCAAAATCATATCTCAGTTCTCATTTAATTATTAAATCAATTATTTTATTTCTCAGAAAATTATTTGTTTTTTATTTTCCTCGCTCGCCATTTCCGATTTAGACTCGTTTAGTTGGCTTGCCAGACCCGGTAAATTTTATCAACGGGTCACTCGACCATAGAAGATTAAAATATGCCGCCTTATAATCAAATTTATCAAATTTTTAAAAAAAAATTTTCGAGAATGGAATTCATTCGTTTTTAGATTATTAATAAATTAATTCAAAAATAGATAAAAATTTCAAAAAATAATAAATAAATATACAAAAAATAGTAAAAGAATATCGAATAATTAATTAAGGCTGTATTATACAATACAGTTACAGTAAATTAAGAAGAAAATTTTAATTTGGGCGGGTTTTAAAAAATTTTTGAGCGAATCGCTGAACGATAATTTATTGTTCAAAACCTCCCTCTAAATTTTTTATTTATTTAATTTTTTTATTTTTACTGTTATTCTTTTTTTCTTAAAAATCACCATTTCTGATTAGATTCACTTTATTGACTTGTAGGATCATATAAATCTTGCTAGCGAATCTTTTAATGATTTAAATAGTGATGAATTTCCAGCATTTCTGGATTTTTTGAAAAATGGATTTAAGCAAATAGAACACCGATATCAGCATTATCCTTCTCCTTTAATGGAAACAATCATCCACTGAGTCGTTCTATTTTCATCACATTTTTTAAAATTATTTTCGTTACTTTTTTTAAATTTTTATAAATAATCTTCAATACATTGCAATGCTAATTATTATATTCTAAATTCTTCATTCTATGAATATTTTGAGAATTTTTTTGAAGAAATTTATTCATTGATTTATATTTATTCATTGATATTTCTATAAGGATATAATATCTAATATTAATTCTTTTTTATGTATTCTATAAGGCAAAGAGCAGCAATCATAAATTAAAATATAACATACATTAAACTGAATTACGCACTCAGGAAAAATTTTACACTGAGTTTATGAACTGTCAAAATAAAATGTAATGAAATGATAATCCAAAGAGCTTCTTCTAAAAAGCATAAAATCTAATTTCTTGATGTACAACTTAACTTTTGTTCCGCCACGTTCTCGTTTTTCAAATATTTTCTAGACATATTATAAAGTCTTTAATTTTCTTGTAAAGCACTAAATTTCCTTGGTACCAGTTTCTTTGAAAAATAGGTCGAAGGTCCATCATTAATTGTTTTCAATTCTTTTTATTTGCACTCTCACGATAGCATGTATTCATTAGTCAACTGCCAATCATTAAATAACCTATGAATTTCTTTGAAAATATTCAAATGCTCAAATTCAAGAACTTCGATTAAATTTTTATCGAGTTTCTAAAATCACATCGAGTCATAATTTTGATAAATTGGAGAGAAATTTTATCAAATTCTTCATTTTTTCAATCATATTTACTCATATTTTTCCATTTCAGCTAGTTGTTTTCTTAAAAATATTGTCAAAGTGAATTGATATTTTTGTGGAAGTGATAATTTACCGACTTTCCTATACAAATGTACGAATAAAAAACGTTTTTTTATTTATAGATTAAATTATGAAATTAAATAAAAACTAACAATTCGAAATAAATTACAGGTTCCTTGTTCTATTGAAAAAAAAAGCTCGAAAATTTCCGGCAAATTTTCGGCAACAAAAAAATATTCGTGGCGTCTACAAAGCAATAAATTCAATAACTAATACCAATTTTCAATTATTTGCTTAAAAATTAATTGTCGAAAAAATATTTAGTTATTACAAACATATGATAGACGGCATAATTTTACAATATTTTTGCAAATTCTTTTTAAAAAAAATTTTTATCTCATTGTCAGTTTTTTTTTTTGTTTCAAATCGAAATTTTTAGATGTTTTCGGATGAAAAATTTTAATGCATTTTTTAGCAAAAATTTTCGATAATAAAATAAAAGATTACTTTAAAAGATTAAAAGATATTATGAGACGAAATTTTTTTTAAAAATCGCTTATCATTTCTGATTAGGCTTTTGATAGCTTATCAGACTAGACAAATTTTGCTAGGGAATCACTTAGCGATACAATTAAGCATCACCAGATGGCTTTATTCTATCATTCGTTGATTTTTGAATTGATTTTATTTAAAATTTAATTTTAAAATTATATTTTAATATCTTAATTTACATATTGTCGAGTCATACTGATAGAGTTAGAGTAGAGAATTTTTCGTTTTAAAAAATTATTTTTCCTTCTTTTAATCCATTTTTTTTTTAACAATTAAATTTTATTTCATTTTTCTTAATATAAATTCTTAATTCTTATTAATGATAAATAAATTATAAATAAATAAATAAATAATTAAATAAATAATTAATATAAATAAATAATTAAATTATATAAATTATTAATGAACAAAAATATTCGATTATAAGATCCTAGAAAAAAAAAAGTAGTAAAATAATTTAATTCGTTAAAAATATCTTTCGAAGCAATTTTGTATTGTTTTAGATAAAGATGTGAAAATCTATTTCCCATTAAATAATTAATGAACGAACATTATTTGGCCCCCAATAAAATATCCTTTTCAAATTTTTTTTCTTTTTTTTTTTATCGCTTTCCTCTTTTCTTTTTTCTTTTCTTTTATCAATATTCGATATAATTTTATATTATATAAAATGTTTATGGCGGAATATTAAGGTGATGAATTCGGTTAAGCTCTTAAGTTTTCTGTTTCATTAATCACCTTTTAATGATAATAATAGGTCAATCGTAGTCGTTAATCGTCTTTGGTGATAATTGCTTCACTATTGATAATTCGCTATTTTTCTTTCAAAACTTAATTAAAAATTTCTACGATAGCGTTTAGTCGGCAAATTGAGAGTTTGTTTCAAATAATGATTTATTAACTTTCCCATTAACTAAATTTTTTTTTTATTTTTTGCGCTTTTACAAGTGCATTTGCCTGTATGTGAACTTAAAGTTGTAAATCAAATTCCATTGATTGCTTATAGAAAATATCTTTAAAAAAAATAATAAAAAATGTTAGGTGAATAAAGAGATTTTCAAGTTATTCAATTTAAAATATTCTCTTTTTTCATAATAAAATATTTTTTTTTTTAGAAAATAAAAATAACATAAAATTTCAAATTTATTTTTTGCAAATTTTTTAGAAAATAAAGATGATATTTATATTTATTTTATTTATAATTATGCAATTTTTTGAATTAAAAAAAATAAACAAATTAATAAATAAATAAAAGTAATTTTTTACGAGAAATGGAAATTTGAATAAATGAAAATTTTTTTTTTACTAAAAAGCCATTTTTCTCTTTGAAAATAAGTAAACAACAAAAAAAACAAATAATGAATAAAAATAAAAAAAATACAATAAAAATTAAATAATAGAAACTCATTAAAAAACATTTTTTTCAAAACTATATTAATTAAATAATTATAAGTGATAATTGATATTTTTTAGAGGTATTATTTTATAAAAATATTAATTTTTTAAAGGTGTAATTTGATAAAAAATGATAATTTTATTAATATATCAATTTTTTTGGAAAAATAATCTATTCCAACTATTATCAGTTAAAATACCGAAATTTATTTATTCGTTTTTTTAAATTATTTAAATTTCAAAATTTTCTATATAAACATTATTTGGCAGTTATTATTTCAATTTATCATTATTATTTATCATATAAATTTGTGTATATAAAAATTTTTTATGAAAAAAGAATTATTGAATAAAAGTGTGTTCTCAGTAACAAAATAAAAAATTTGTTTCTGGTGGCCATCTAAGCAATAATTTTTATATTATTTCATCTTTACCACCTTAATAAAAAGACAATAATTTACGATTAGCAATCGCTATTATTATAGCCTCTTCATTCGTTGCAACACATATTTACAACCACTTAAAATACACCCAAGTAATTTAGCCGAAGACAATTGTTTTCTCTATTTTTATTTTTATTTTAAAAATTAAAATATCAGCTAAAAAATATTTTTCATTTTCAAGAGATAAAAAGGCTATTTTTGTTATAATAATTATATTAAAAATTATTCCACTAGTTTAATTGGGATTTGATAAATTTTTTGCTATTTTATAATAGAAATATAATTGAATGACCTAATTGAAGTATGGAAATTACTGTTAAATAAAAGAATCCTCACCATTACTGGTTGAACTTGCTCCACTGGTTTGTAACATTGAGAAATATGCCTGGGAATCCCTTGGCGATAGAAGTATAGACGAGTCGCCAGCATCATCGGGATTTTTGTATAGGTTTACTACTGCGGAGAATCGAACCTTATCAGCATCGGTGTTCCCAATTGAGCAACAACCCACTGAACCATTCTATCCCCCAAATAAAAACGAATAAAGCATCGGCCTAGCTCAATTTTTGTGATGGAGAACCGAGGATTGCGCAACCGAGGCTTACATTTCTAGACATAGTTATTATTCAAGTCTGTGGGCAGTCTTTTCATTTAAGTACTTCTTGCTTATAACTCTGATAATATTGATTATTCTAATAAATAATTCATTAAAAAATAAAAAATTTTCAAAGCAAAAAATATCGCCAGTTGTTTTTTTCTATTTTTTTTTTGCATTTTCCAATTGAATGAAAAAAAATTTCTCAATAATATTTATTTAAAATATTATTAATCACAAAAATAGCATTTATTTAACAGATCTTTGATAATTTTAAAATATATTTATATCATTGAAATCATTGAAATTAATTTAAGCAAATTATCTAAAAATTCATAGCCATATCAATTATATCGGACAATTTTCACTGAAATCATAGAATATTTCAAATTGAAATAAACAAATTACAATCAAAATTTCTCAAAAATAAAGCACCTAATAATAAATATTAAAAAATATTTTCAAAATTTATATTAAATCATATTTTTAAAACCTTAAAGAATACCGATTGAGTTTAATATAAACATTATTAGTATCGTAAGTATTACGTAACCATACTAGAAAACTATCGTAATTAATCGGATAGCATTAAAACTGACCTATCAAAAATTTAATAAATATTACACTTTCTTTTATGTATGGTGAATGAATATAAAATAAAATAAGTAATTAGAGCGGTGAAAATAAATAAATAAATAAATAAATAAATAAATTCTATGCATAAAAAGAATATAAAATATAATTTAATTAATTTGATGCAAAAAAATTCATTTAATTCAAGTTTTCATACCTTTCAAGTTGAATTAGAAAAAGAAAATACTGTTGATTATTTGGCTATGGTTATAGCCAAAGGATCCTCTAGACATATAGACTAATTCTCAGGACAGTCTTCGGTTTTTTATTTGTAATTCCATTCTTCTTCATCAAAAGACAAAAACTGAGCCCAAATAAAGCTATAGAAGACCGTACGAAAAGATTAACCATGCAGAAATTATAAAATGGTTTCAGGCCAAAACGATCAGAGAAGTAATAATAAAATGTAATTTATCTGCTCTACCAAAAAACAAAGTAAATTATATCAATCTATTAAAAATGTCATAAAAAATACAAAAATATTAACGTTTTTTATGAGAAAGTTTCAGAAATTGTGAAAATAATAACATATCTTTCTCTAATTTAACTTCAGCGGCATAAAAACCATTTTGTCTACTATGATATTTTGCTAGTTTATTACGATCTGCCGATGTTATAAATACTTCTTGTACTTCGGCAACCTAAAATTTCGAACTTAAAAATATTACTTTAAAAAACATCCAGAAATTGCTTTTTTGGTCTAAGACCAATGATTAAATTTGAAATTAATGAGCAAAATAACCTGTGTTTCCTTTGTTTCCGCATCCAGATTTGGATCTGACTCAATATTTGATATAATAGTTTCCATTTTTAAATGTCGGTCGATAAGTGTTCTGAAACAGGTTTTATTAAATGGTGTATTTGCATACTTACAAAAAATACAAAAATTAGACTAATATCCTCATAAAATTCAAAATCTCACTTATTTTCTTTCGTTTCATGACGACGCCTTGTTATAACATTACTTAAAATCTGAAAGCAAAATAAATTTTCGAAAAACTGAAAAATAACTAAGCCAGAATCCTATGATTTCTATAATTAAACATTTATTTTTTAAAGAGTCCTCACCATTACTGGTTAAACTCGCTCCATTTGGCTTGTTGCATTAAGCAATATGCCAGAGAGTCCCTTGGCGATAGAAATACAGGTGAGTCGCTAGCATCACCAGGATTTTTGTAGAGATTTACTCCTGCGGAGAATCGAACCACAGCATCGGCGTTCCCAATTGAACACCAACACACTGAGCCATTCTATCCCCAATTTAACATATTATGTATAATTTCTTAAAGATATTCAATATTCAATGATTCAAGGAAGAAACAAATACTTGGCAAGTATGATTATACAATAAATGCACAACATCGGGAAGATCAACATGATAAAGATAAATTGCACGAGAATTGGAGAAATCATTTCCTCTCGCCATGTGCTAAAATAAATGTTTAACGAGATATTAGCCTTATAGCTAAAAAAAAATAATATAGTGACTAGTTAAATTTATATTCTATAATAAAATCAACCCGCTTTAAAATAAATTTGAAACGCATCAAATCATAACAACACGATCGTGCTTCTTTCGTTGTTAACATTGCCATTTTCTCGATCTAAAACATTGAAAAAAATATTGATAATATTAACTGACAAAATCTTTAAAAAAATTTTGCCACTATTTATATTTTAGGATTTTTTATAATTTTTAAAAAAGTCCAACAATTAGTTGAATTATTCACATAAGGGGAAAGAAAAGTAGGCAAATGGAATTTTTATTAAATTTTCATGCTTTTCAATCAAAGTTTTATAAAAAAATTGAGAATGCTACTTGGTCTTCACTAAGATATCCTTTTTGAAACAACAAGTTGAAGATTCGAACTGAATTTTTGCCTAGTTTTTCTCTTATCGCTGACTGTATACGTTGTATGCATTGTATGGTTAACGCTTTTTCGTAATCTAAATAGAATATTTTAATATTTCTGGAATAAACGACAATAAGGGATCCGATCGAAATAAATTAGTATTGCTAATTAACTCAGTTCACCATGGAAAAAATATTAAAAAATATTATTATTTTCAGTCATAGATGGTAAAAAATTCAAAATAGGCCAAAAGGGAAGATTCTGATTAGAAGAAAACTTTCAGGCAAACCAAAAGAGCATAAAATTGCCCAAATAAAAAAATAGACTTATAAACCTATTGCAAAAACTATTGGGAAAGATTAAAGCACAAGTTTTTAAAATAATTAAAGCTTAAAGCTTTGATTCATAATAAATCTTACTAAGCAACTCAATTCAACCACAGCCACAACAATAAAAATATAAGAAACATAAATAATAAATTAACGCACCAATAGCATATAAGCCACCAGAACTATCGCCCATTTTCCTTATCACATTATGTCTATCAGTACTGAGCAATTTTAAAGTAGTCTCAATCTGATTCAAACTAAGCTTCATTTCTTTTGCAGCTGGAGATCGAACTATTTCATGAATCTTAAAACAAAAAATTATTCGTACAAAAATAAAAATTTTCGAATAAATAAAATGATAATAAAGTAAAAATTTAAAATTTACCGCAAATGATGATAAATGAGTATGAGAAATGCGTTGTTCGCCAACTTTTATTAAAGCATGAACTGTTTTTAAGCAATGTTGATCAAGCAAATCATTTGTCCGGTACAGATCAATCACCATTTCATCACGCATATATCGTTCATATCTTGCATAATTTAATCGCCAAAGAATTTTCCTATCACCAGCACTTACATCAACTTTCTCTGAAAATATTTTTACTCTTATCAATTTTAGCATTTTTATCAATGATATTTTCGATAAAAACGATATAAAAATTATCGAGTTATTTAAGAGTTAAGAAGTACTTGCCGAACACTCGTAACGTCTTAAGCTATGAAACATGGGAATAATTTTTGTCTCTCGACAGTAATAAAGTAAAATTAGCGTGGCTAATGGAGACATATATTTATCTTCCTATTTCGCAAATGATTATTTAGTAAAAAAGCTTCACAGACAATTAATGAAACAAGTCAAGCTAAACGAGAAATAATACAAACACTCACTGGAACTATTGAAAACTGCTTCAGGAATCGAAAAAAGATCACTACTGAGTTCAGCGAATATTGGACATCCATTTTGTTTAGCGGTAACATTTGGACATCGTATAAGCATTTGTGATTCGACTAATTGTTCAAAATTTTTTTTTGCCTAAAATTTTTCGATTTTATTCATATAGCAGCTTTCATATAAATTTTTTTTTTTCAAAAGCCTTTATCATAACTGGTAAGACTCGCTTTGCTGGCTTGTCGCACTAGACAAATATAGCCTTGGAGCACTATGCTACGAAATTCTTTAGTGATAGAATTACAGCTGAGGCGCCAGCATCACCTGGATTTTTGGATAGATTTACTACTTCTACGGAGAGTCTCAGCATCAGCGTTCCGAATTCAACAATAATGATAAAAATTATTATTTATTAATTAAAATGAATTAATTAACATTACTTCTTCCAATGAAGTATTTAAACGCGTTAAAACTTGCTGTAAACATTGCGAACACGATAAACGCCCTTTGCTAACGATTTCATCACAAATTGCTTCAGCGATTTCACCAAAAAGTGTTTTCGTTATAAGAAGACAACGAGCTGTTCTCGCTAAACGAAAAACATTTTCCACTTTTATAGAATATACAATATTTAAATTATCCAACGCAAAATTCACAACACCATGCTGTTCCATTATTACCAAAGAACGTTTTATCTATAATAATTATAATATAATAAATTTAAAGAAATTTATAAATTACTAAAAAGAAAAAACTGAAATTTCTAAAAAAAAAAAAAAAATCTAAAAAAATTGAGCTCTGCTAGCCAAAAATTAAAAATTTCTCGTTGAACCCGCTGAATGAACTACACTGTGAAGAAGGTTAACTCCGGAGAGATACAGCTATAGGCTAATAGTGCTTAGTAGTCATACAAGTTTCACTTTGGTCACAATGAAAGTTCTTGTACTGTACTTTGGCTAAAACTCTTAATTATACTATACTTTGATAAGCAAAAAATAAATCACAACTGAGATGATTTGAAATGTATGAAAATTCGCCTTAAGCCTTAAGTCTAAGCCTACGTTCTAAATCTAAATGTTACAAGAAGAATTATGATTTATGCTTGCAAATAGACAGAAGTGCAGCAAAAGGATGATGCGCTTCGTTTAACAAATAGTCCTCAGAATAGCCAAATGTGCCCTCAGGTGACAATATTAAAAAAAAAACAGAACCTACCTCATAAAATGATAAATCTGATTCGAATCGTTTCCTAAGTCGATTAATTTGTGCAGCTCCATAACTAATTAATACGACACCAACTTTAGCCACAATCGAACCAAATAAATCCTCCAATATTGCACTACACAACGATACTTCAGTTGTTGTCATACGAACTGAAATAAAAGAGATTTTGGAAAATTTAGAGACAGAATTTATGACTAAAATATGCAACGAAAGATTGCACGCTGCACAATTTGCACACGCAATAGTGCACGTCGCCACTATTATATGCACATTTAAAAAAAAAAAAGAATAAAAAACCAAATAAGAATTTCTCGAATTAAAATTAAAATTACTTTCAAATTTTACAAATTTCACATTTTTTAATTTCAAAAAATTTCCAAAATTTTTTCCAAAATAAAAAATTTTGCAAAGAAAAAATTGCATTGACAAAATTTCCGCTCGCTCTTAAGAAATGGGACATTTCATGGAATCAAGACAAGAGAGGACTTTAATATACAGTTTTAAAGGCCAATGATGAAATTTGGACAGCGATGACATGGTAGTTAAAAAGGTTAATGCTCATCATTCCTCGTTACGCTTACTCCATTGACTGTCACGATCACTTGAAAACAAAATTCCTGCTGATCCTCCATCAACAGCACGATTTCTCAGATTTATTTCTATTTAAATCTCCCCAGATTTCTTTATACTCTCTTAAGTAATTATTTTTAAGTACCATCTGACTGGTTGGACTCATTCCTCAGTTCTGAGAACCACACTGCCACATTGCAAAATCCTTTATGCTTTATCAACACCGCCTAAAAGTCCATTGTGGTCCTTTTGATATATTTTCATTTCCAATTCACCTAATATCCCCTTAATATTTACTTAAACTCTTAGCAATCTCTAATAAAAGCCAGTTAATCAATCCAGCCCAAAGCCAGCCCACAACTGAAACCAAAAAATTGCCACTCAAGCTTAAGGCTGAAATTGCGATATCGGACAAATGTTAAAGGCTTTTAAATTAATTAATCTGTTATCTTATAGTTCCTATAAATTTTTCCTCCATTACGACCGTCTTCTTTATTATTCAGCAATAAAAATAATTTTAGAGTTATACAAACCAATAATCACAAAGAGTAACTCTTGAAAAAAAAACTGATTAAACCAATGAAAAATTGCTTTATAAAATGAAATTCAATTTTTCAATTCAACTGAAAAAAAAAAGTTATTCATTAAAAATTTTCGCAAACATTTATCAGTTTTATCAATTGATAACCAGCAAATAAAAAAAATTATCAATATTAATTCAATATCAATAAAATTATGAAATGCATAGCATTTTAGCGTTTTCCGTAGAATTACCAATTTTCTTAGCAATTCTAACAATTCGATAATTTAATAATAATGAATAATCCAATACTAATGTTACAGCCTGTTTAAAATTTACAAATGATAAGAAAATTTTATTTCTTTCTAGTTGATTATTTCTAAATTTAAAATTGATATTTCAAAAATATTCAAAATAACAAAGATCTTAAATTTTGGTTAAATATATTTATAACGTTCACCACGTTAATACACCAGCTTGCTTAGTGTGATGTCGAGGATACTGTGAACATTTCACTTCCCACCTACCATCAACTCGAATAAAATAACAATCTTTACAACGTAATTTCAAAAATGCCTTCATCTGAAAATATATATACGTATAAGTTAGCAATAGGCCTGAAAATTAAAGAAAGTGTGGAAAGAAAGAAGGTGAAGTAATTTCGTAAGGTGATAACTGCAGCACCTGGAACAATGGCCCCTAAACTAAAAAAGTGGCTTCGGCGAATTTCCGGAACAACATCAGAGATCTTTGTCCAGAAGAGAGCAATGTTAGGAACAGGAAAAGCTATTGTGCAGAACCTTCAATCTTCCAGGCCTCTAATATAGGACCCAATATTGAAAATAAATATTATTACTACCCACAGAGAATGAGGGACTTTTTAAATAAAAATTTTACAAAAGTATAATAAAATTTAAAAAATTTGAAATTTAAAAATTTAAAAAAGTTCAAAAAACCTAATTTTAATTTTTAAAAAAGTTAAAACCACGAAAATCCGAAAAAAATGGGAGATTTAAAAGTTGTTGAAAAGCTAAAAGAAAAAAAGAGAATTCATTGACTGGAAAATTTTTTCAGAACATAAAATATAAAATATTTATATAAAAAATATAGAAAATTTTGAAAGACAAACCTTAAAATTTTGTGAATTAATTTCCGATGGTAATTTAGCAATTAAAAGTTTATCCATTGTATTATTCCCTTGAAAAATTGCTCTTCGCATTAAACGCCCGACTGCCAACATTCTTAAAAAAAAGGCAAAATTTTGAATTCTTTGAATATTTGAATAACAAGAAATAAGAATAACGATTAAGCATCACTGATAAACACTGATAAACTGGATCACTGATTGAAAAAACTGGAAGTTGACGTAAATTATCTTTGCCACTTGCCACTTAACATTTGGCAAATATAATGAAATAATTAGGCAAAAAATCATTTATATCAATTTTAATCAATATTTCTTTTTATTTTTTTTTTCAAACGTTAACATTTAAGTTGTTTAAATTAATTAAAATTTATTAAAATTAACAAAATTTCTTAAAATTACATTTATTGAATTTTCTTTAAAAAAATTTTTCAATTAAATCAAAACGATAATAAATATCAATTAAAATAAAAGAATAATTAAATAATTATCCGAAAAAAAACAAAAAATAATTGATAATATTAAAAAGCGATGAAATGAGGCTGATAAAAAAACTGATAAAAAACTGATTAAAAAATTGATAATTCAAAAAATCAAGAAACTATAAAAGAAAAAAATAAAATTAGTAATTAATAAAATTAAAATTAGTAATAATCAATAAGTAGAAATAATAAAATTTTAGAAAAAAAATGAATTATAAATAATTATTAAAAAAACTATGGGAGAAAATTCCCCCAAGGAAAATGAACTAAAATGCAGCCTGCGTACTGCAGACTTCACTTCCCTCATTCGTAATATTCCACAAAAAGTGGTAGTGGGGCAAATTCGATTATGCTGAAGATTCACCAATCTTTTCCAAAACTTCGTGCAGAAGGGCGATCTAATTATAATTTTTATGAAGAATTTGCATATTATATTATATGAATTATTAAAATAATAAAATTAAAAAATTAAAAGTTAATTTTTTAAGAAAAACATTTTCATACAATTCCAATTTCTGAACGCGCTTGCCTCATTGGAAACTAAGCTAATCTTATTTTGTTCCTACGGATCCTCAATTGATCCTTTTAAAACTTCCACCGGTGCCCAAATGATTTACACCGATCCGTTTGATAGTGCCTAGGTTTTTTGTAATATAGTTCGAATCTCGAAAGCTATGTGATAATTTAAACTACGAAATAGTCACTTATTAGCGAGAATTAATTATAAAATAACTATAATATTTAATAATATTATAAAATATTTATAATTAAAACCATAAAAATTTCAAATAGAAAATATAAAAAATAAATAAACATAAAAGCGAAAAAAATAAAATAAAAACAAAATAAATTAAAAATTAAAAAAAATTCTCGAAAAATGAGAAAAAAAATCCTAAATTAAATATGTAAATATATAAATAAAATAAGTATAGAATATTAGAAAAAATTAAATTAAAAATTCTAATTAAAAATTAGAATTAGAATGCTGCTATATAAAAAATTTTAGCGCTTCAATAAGCAAAAAACCTGTTAATCAAACTGACGCGTTGCGTGTCGCGTCGTGTCTCTTAATGATGACGAAAACTTACGAAATGCGTTCGAGAAATATTTTGGGCAAATAATGCGAACAGTTGATTGTCGTTTACGGGAAGGGAAAATCGCTTCGTTTCGTTATTTTTCAAATAATTTTCGTTATTTTATAAAAGTTTTTTCAAAAAGGAACTATAAGGTTTTCTTTTTTTTGTTCATGTAAAAATTTTTTTTTTAATTTTAATTTTTATTAAAATTTTTAAAATTTAATTTTAATTTTAATTTATTTATTTTTATTTATTTCTTTGAATAAAAAATATTTTAATAAAAAATTAAAATTTAAATTAAATTGAAATATTTTAAAATATTTTTTATTTCAAAATTTTTTTTTTAATGTAATAAAATTTATAGAAAAATATTATAAAAATTCATATTCATTCATATATTTATTAATAAAAAAAATTATAAAAAATTTATAAAAAAATGAAACGGAATAAAAGAAAAAAATTGAAAAATTATTGTTTTTGCGTGCGCATTTGATGAAATTTTGATTTTTTTGCGGGAACAAATAAACGTGTCATACAAAGATCCAAGCAGTATTAGCGACGTCAAACTAAGTGATTCGCTAATCTATTTGTCTGATGCGATAAGCCAGTGGAGCGAGTTTAAGTGCAAATAATGAGCGCAATTTTAGAAATTAAAAAATTTCGCTTATTTAGGTTACACTTGAGGAGTATCGCGCATTTTTTTCTCTTCTCTTCCTTTTTGTTCTTTTATTTAATCCATTATTATTTTATATGACTTGAAAATAATAGGGATCCGAGGATTACTGAATAACTTTCTAGTAGATGAATCTCATCGAAATCTTTTTTATCGTTTTAAATATTTGTGAGAACTCATAGCGTGAAAGTTTATTGTTCTTAATTCGGAGCGACGGTACTGGCGTTGTACTTCTAGAGGAGTGAACCTGTATTTTTAGATGATCGGGGATGTCTCTATACTGGTGATATGTTAATGGGGCAAGTTTAAATATATATGAGATGCGCTCTTGGAAAAAAATTTATATTTTATATTTTTGAATTATTTGCTGTAAATATATTATAAACTGTCTTAAATTTTGTTATTTTACTTATTGTATTTCTAATATTATATATAATATTTTAACAAGTTTTTTGTCCTTTGTTACTTATTTTTCGTAGATTACTATTTAACGTTAAGATCATTTTGAATAGTGAAAGTTATGTGGCAATGAATGGTATGTATTTTTAGTTTTAGGAAGAAGGTTCTAAAAATGGTTTTGAAAAAGTATTTCATTAATAATAGTGAATGTTTGATTCAATGTTTCAATGTTTGACTCACATCCAAACTATAGTAGGGACACCAAAGAACCTCCGATTATTCAGTGGAATCGGGATTAAGAATTGGTAAATTAATTGATAAACTATGAATTGACAAATTTTTGGACAAATTAAGAATAAAAAAGTTGATTAGGAGTTTTAGGAGTTCAAGTTAAAGAAGTGAAAAATATAGCACATAATATATAGAAAAATACATATAAAAAATGCAAAATAAAAAGACTTTAGCCAATTTAGTGGAAAGTCTGTTCAATCGAATGAGCAGTTATCATCATATGGGGTCGAGTGGCATGGTTGCTTCAATCTGCAGATCCATTTCATTGGTTGAGGTCACTCTGTCATTGAAAAATCCAAATTTTGACGTTAAGTACCTCTATAGCATTTCTGTGCAAAAAGTACATGTCTTTTGATATTCTTTGTACAACATGACCTCATGACCCTTTGCAATATGACCCTTGATTCTAAAGTCTCATCAAAGATGTCAATAATCATATGATAAATAACCTTATGGAACTCTTTTTTTCAATACTACTGCAAGACTTTTCATAAGAAAAACTAAACTTTTCATAGTAATTTCAATCAAAATTGTATTTCCATTTGTACAAAAAAATTTTTTTAGTCGGTTTGCCATTAACATCTTTCATTTCGTTGCAAATATTTATATCACCGTTGCAAGAACAATTTTAAATTTGCTGTTGCTACCGATCTGGGAACGTTTTTCGAAATCATTTTGGGACAGTCGTGTGGTCTATTTCGTCCATTAATTTTGGGTAATTTTTGTTTTATTCTAATTATATAATTTTTAATTTTTAAAGTAACAATGTGGCGAATCTGAGGATATACTTTAATCGCTTAATTTTTAATTCTTTAATAGCACAATTTTTTTAAGTGGGTCTACTGGTTATTGCGATCATTTGCTGTATGGTCATTTAAGAACATAAGAGTTCGTAGATTTACAGCACCTGCCGGATTTTGTTTTCAGACACATAGCTTTATTTTTGAGGTAAAGTAAAGGGTAAGAGTCGAACTTATTATCCATGCATGTATGGAAAACAACTCGGAGATTTGGAGCAAGTAGATTGTCATTGGTGTATTATCGGTATTTCATTGTTTTTCCTTGATTTTATTTAGGCAAGAAATTGGGTGATGTGTTATGCATTTTTTAAAAATTTATGTATTGATCAAACTAGTAAAATGAATGGTGTGAAAAAGATTGAATAGTAGTTCTGATTGGTGATTTTCTCAGCAACACCGATTGTCGATTTTAATTTTTTTATTGGTACCTAACGTTAATTTTAAGACTTTTCGCCGCTTTCTTTTCAAGATAATGGTTTTTAAGTAATTTCATGTGGTATTATAAGCAATCCTAGAATGGCGGACGATCTGACGCAGTTTCTTGCAAAAAAAGCTGCTAAATCACGAGAAAAGAAAAAAAAGCTAAAAGTTGAAGACGTTGGAAATGTTCTTGATCGAAAAGCTAAAAAGCAGGTTAGTTATAATTTATCTGACTTTTATATCGTTTACAGTAGTTTACAGTAGTTTTTATTTATTTTATTTAAACTATTTTATTTATAATTATCTAATTCAAACTATATTATTATAAAAATATTATAATTGAAACTAATTTAATTATCAATATAGCCATTTATTAACGAAATTTTCATTGACTTAATTGTGCTGGATAGATTTTTCCACTAAAGATTTTCGTTAATTTGGTTACGATCCTTCTTTAAATTCGTAGGAAGAGAACGATCGTACCAACGAAGAAGAGGAACGTCGCATTCAAAATGATGAAGCGTTTTTTGAAAAACGACTAGAAGATTCAGAATGGCTGGACTTCCGAGACACGAATAAGTTCGTTCTAATTTTAAAATTAATTTTTTTTGTAGGTGATTTTTTGGGAAAATCTTTAGGAGAGTGTAAGGTCAAAATTCTTGAGGTCAAAAATGTTTGCGAAATGAATATCTTATGCTATGATGGTTCTCAGATAAGTACGAATCTTCAAGGATCCCGGAGTCCTTTTCAGAGATTCCGTGGATTCAGAACCTAATAGTGATAACATTGAGATGCTAAAGATACAGTTGAGGGCAGATTTTTAGAAATTTTAAAAATGTTGCTATTCTCACTGATTTTTCTAAATATTATTTTTCGAAGAATGGAGTTAAAAATGAAACAAGTTCATTGTTTTACTTCAAATGGAAAGAAATTATAAAGCTAAAGTACAATGCAACGTTAAACCAGTTTTTTTAAATTTGATAATTTGGATCATTGCTTACGTTGGTTAACGATGTTTTAAAATGTCGTTGTTTTAATGCGATATGCTTCAATATAAGATAAAATATATAGTGCGATATGCTTCAATATAAGATAAAATATATAGTGCGATATGCTTCAATATAAGATAAAATATCGATAAATATTCTCTTTACAAATAGAAACCTTTCGGAAATATGTAATGTTTCAGGGAAATAAGTTTGGAAGAATTAGGAATAAGAGATATGAACTTAACGGAACAAGTGGAAGAAGCATTGGAAGAGGAAAAAACGATCGCAGCTGAAGCACCAAAAACATGGAATACTTCAATGGAGGTTCAGTATTTGATATATTGCTTTTTGCTTTTGCTACTTCAGTTCATCGTGGCACTTTTTGCAATTTATTTTGGCTGAGAGAAATAAAGGAGAAAACGAAATCGGTTTGAAAGAGAAAAAACCAAATCTGCTTTTTCAAATATGTGATATTGTCAATGTTTTCTTTCTTTCTTTCTATTACTTCTATTGCAATTGTAAAATGATATTTTAGCCTAAAGAATCAAATGAAATTCCTTTAATTTTGCCGCAAAAACCAGCAATATATAGACCAAAGCATATACAGCTTGCAACAGCGAATAGAACAGGACCTGTAATCAATATAAATGATCAAGAGATGTTCCCTACGTTTGAGGCAGCAGAAAAAATGGAAAAATTGAGGAAAGATGACGATAAGAAAAAGTTCGTCCAATTTTTTTTAAATAAACAAAGAACCATCTGTTTATGGTTTATACCTCATTGAACGTTCAGAAAATCTAAGATCCGAAAGACTATATTATTTTTAATTTAGGAAAAATGATGGTTTCACTATGGTTACATCAGATAGAGAAAGAGATTCAAATCCGATAAGTAAAAGCAGAAATAATATTACTAACAATGGCGGTCGTCGCGTAGGCAACAGAATCGAAGGAAGCGAGGCAATATTATCAGCTGTTCGACAAGTTGTTCTTTTGATGCAGCATTATTCTTTTTCTTGCTTTTTTCGTTTTTGCACCCATTAGCATGATATTAATTCCGGTTATTTAGGTTACATCCACTGGCAATCCCCATCCAGTTCCTCAACAATCACAAGCGCCGAAAAATCCAAAGGCGTACGTACCACCTAGTTTACGACGTGCAGAAGCAATGCAAAAAACGCAGTGATTTGCAATCTTAATATTATAATGCGATCTTATATAGAATGACTATGGAAAGACTAAAAAATGATAGCTTGTGCGGATTAAATACTTGATTTTATTTTTTATAAAAAGTCCATCCTTATACGGTATTATTAGAAATTTATTTCTTTAAAGGATGGTAAAATGTGTAAAAGCAGGCTGATGGATCGGCTTTAGTTTTTAAGAGTTAGTGCTTCCATCTTCATCTTTCTTTTTCTCTCTTCATTCTTTATTCGTTTATAGTTTATGAAGATTAAGAATTCCAATATTTTTTAGCGAGTATTTTGCGACATTTCTTGGGCATCAGTAAATTCATTCTTAAACTTACTTGATAAGCTCAATAGTCAGTCAATATTTAAAATATATTGTAGCCAAAGCTCAAAGACGTGGATTTTTATTTTTCATGCGTATTATGCAGTATTCTCAATTTTACTCTTATTTTATTTGTGCTGGAGTTTTAGAATTTTTTTTTGTTCTGTGGTTTATCTTTATGGTTGACTTGTTACTATATTTTCATTCCTAAATTTTCATGATATAACAAAACATCTTTAAAAATATTTTAATCAATAAACAATAAGTTTAGCACTTCTATTTACTACTATAACAGAAAATTTTTGTTTGTAGTGTTTGAAATTTTTTTGAATGTTGGTTTGTTATTTGTGACGCATATGGTTATGCAGATAAAATTATCATCGTAAATTGTTACATAAAAATTTTCTTCAACACGTTATCATATCAATACATATATTTTATTTAGGCCGGGGTGTGACGTATTTGATTTATATTCTCGAAAGTAGTGGAATGCCTCGTTCGAATCATTAAATGATATTGAAGATATGATATGTAGTCATTTGCAGTCATTAGTGGCTCTCTGATGAAAGAGCCAATATTGCATTTCGGTAGATGAAACCAGTCAAACCTAATGAATTTATAAGTAATCCTAGAAGATAAAAATCTCTAAAAGAAAGGACGGTCGATCTGCGTCGAAATTTGATAAAAATTTTGAAAAATTTTTTGCTGATATTTTTTATGTATTGCGATACGTTATGATCTTAATTTCGACAATTTTTAGTCGTTCGAATGCTTAATGAAATATTCCGCAAATCTTTAGTATTTACAAATGGCTTAAGAGGTTTGTGTCGATCAAATGTCGCATTCTGCAGTAGGTTAGTAGCTTTCCAACTTCCCAATTCTAAATTTTTAATGTTCCTTAATTTTTTTTGTTTCGCAAAAAAAAAAAAAAAATTAATATAAATCAAAAAATGGACATGAGTTGGTTGAATTTTTTCATAATCCTTTATTATTTTATGAATTCTTATAAATTATAGGTGGTCTGTTTCAAATTCTCAGCAGCAAGAATTGGATAGACTATTTAAGCGAATTGAATTGGAAATAAGAGGACATGATAAAGCCGTATTAAATTCTTATACGAAATACTTGCAGGTAATAGGTATCATTTTTTAAAAATTTTTTAATTCATAAAATTCATTTGTTACTTTGGAAATTCAATTGGCTTAAGCCTAAACTTGAATTCAAAAAAGGGCAAATATTTTTTTATATTTTTTTACAGATGACATGTAAGCATCTCGAAATAGAAATGGGCAAAGTTATTGTATTACCTTATGTTCGTTGGTTTCAAAATTATTTAAAATCGAAATTCGCGAAGAAGAAAAATCAACTACATTATGAAACACGAACACATATAAGAAAAGTTGATATTAAACATGTCACAGGAAGTACTGCAAGCACATTTCTCGAATATATCGAACGTAATATACCCGAAGGTGTAGCAATGAAAGTAACGTATTATGAAATAGCTCCTTTTCCAGAAACTGTGAGAAATACAATGGCTGAATTAAATGAATCAACGAAATAGATAGAATGTAAATATACGCTGATTATACAGAAAAGACGATGTTTTATTCTTATTGCAATTTTTGCCTAAATAGAAATTTATTGAAAAATTCATTCTCGTTGAAATTCTTATTTAAATTCGTCAAATTGAAAAAGATATGTCAATTTTTAAAAAAAAATAAATAATTCATACCAAATACATCGGTTCTTCGATTAACTTCTTATATATGATATTTTCTAGTTCGAATAAATTGTTATTCGCAAATATCATCCAAATTTTTGCAATCCTCACTGAAAATATTTTATTTTCAAATTTTTATAGTATTTTATTTATCACGTTGCTAAAAAAATCGATTGATTTGAAGAACAAAAATATTTTCAACAAAGTAAAAAAATTTTCACCGGTCTATTCTTCTTGAATTCTAAGAAATTTATTGTTTGAATTAAATAAATTCATAGAATCTTAAAATTCATAAAATTTTTTTTTCTGAAAAATGATTTAAAATTTAAATACCTTAGACATGCAACCAGAAACTTCTTCAAAAAGACTAATCTTTTTTCTTGATAAAATTTGAGAACGAATATGCCTAAAAGATTTTCAATTCCAAACATAGCATGAAATGGTCAAAAACAACCTGACAAAAAAAGAGGAAGCATAATAAAATATAAAAGTCCAAGCAACCCACCGTGCAACGTATAAGCGTCCATGACCACCAGTGGAACTATAATTATTTAAAAAATCACTTGCATTTTCCAACAAAGAGGGATTCCAACGATCTAACATATATATCCATGCAGTAGTTATTTCACCCGAATCCATTTCTATCTAAAGCATAAACTGTTTGAATTACGTAATAATGAAATATTCAACGGCCACAAGATGAGAAGCCTAAAGAAGCCACAAAATAACAAATTTAACGTACCAAGGGAAGGAAAAAAAGCCAGAAGCCTAATAAGAACGGTGATCAACTAGGAAATTTTGTTTTCGCGCCGTTCAGCGACAAAACTTTCAATACAGAAAAAGAAAACCTGTTCTTTTCGGCGAACATATAATTGAGGATGACTTTCAAATTCATCTAAAAAATTTAACATTTTTTCGTCGATTGAATAAATTTCGCCATTAATTCGCTGAAAAAAATTTTTTGGCATATTTTTCCAATGAAAGTAAAAAAATTATTGAATATAACATAATTAAACATAAATAAAACATATAAATCGAGGCTTCGCCAGCATATCATTCTTTATCGAGCGGTAATGTCGCCTAACGGAGAGAAGCTAAGGAAGGATAGAATGCTCAGTGGATTATTGCTCAATTTGGAACGGGCGCTGAAATTCTGGCAGAAGCAAATATACCCAAAAAAAAGAATGATGCTGGCGACTCAGGTGATCCAACTTCTACCACCAAGAAATACCCTGATATATCTGTTTAGACCGATAAGCTAGCCAAGCGCGTTTAACCAGTAATGATAAATCCTTTTTTAAAAAAAAATAATTTTAAAATTTAAAGCATTAAAATTAGTTTGAATGAAAATTAAATGTTTAAAAAATAAAGTTATTTGGCTTGAAAAAGAAACTAACATGACCAATATTCGGTTTATTTAAACAAAACGGAATATTGTAATCAGTCGCAATAATTAACGGGAATTTATTTACAGTTCTACCATTGCCAATAAACGAACAACTTCCTTTAGTTTCATCGTTCATTACACCATTATTTGGTTCACCTCTTTTCAGTGTTCCATAAACAAATATCGATAAATTCGTTTTAAACATATTCCAATTAATTTTCTAAAATAAAAAAAGAAATCAATTAAGAATGATAAGATAAAGATAGAAAGAAGAGAGTTGATAAGGCAAAGAGAATAAAAAAAAAGCCTAAAAAATTTTTATATTTATTAAATTTCATAGATTTTTTGCCTAAATTTCTTTTTCTTTTCAACTTATCTTAATTTGAAATTTTTTTTCTAATAATTTTTCTACAAAAAATCTTAAATTTAATAAAAATTTTATCAACGAGCGATCTCATTCAACCAAAATCATTAAAATTATTAAGCTAACGCAACCAGTCAAATTCAGTAAGAATGAAAGCTATTAAAAGAAGATTTTTAGATAATTTTGTGAATTTCTAAATCAAATCCAAGTTAGAATAAAAAGTTATTTTTCCTCTTCATTTTTAACTCAATTCTTAAATTCCTAAATAAAAAATTGTAAATATTTTAATAATACAATTATTAATAATAATATTAATATTGTTAACAATTGTTATTGTTAACAATAATAATGGCGTTGATAATGATAATAATAATAATAATAATAAACAATAATAAAATAGTAATAACAAAAAAAAATAAAAACAATAAAAAATAATAAAAAATAATACTAAGTAACAAAAACAACAAACAATAATAAAAGTAATGATAATGAGAATAACAATAACAATAGAAATGTTTGAAGGAGAAAAAAATTAAAATTCGAAAAATTTCGAAAAAAATAAATTTACAATAATTTTTACTAAAATAATTTTAAAATAAAATAAAATGAATAATAGTGGAAATAATTTTTAAAAAATTTTAATTTTATTAATTAATTTAATTTAATAAATTAATTTAATTTAATTTAATTAATTTCATTTTTTAAATTATTTTTAATTATTTAATTATTAAAAATTTTTTGTTTTTTAGGAATGAAAAAAATAAATAAACCTTTTTGGTTAATAGAATTTGGTGAAAATAAACATTTGCCATAAATGCACCACCACAAAGAATTTCATTATAAAACTGCAATACCGTTTCACATTTAAGATTGACTGCAAAATCCGATAAAAAGCTGCTTATTAGAAAACTGATTTCGCAGATCAGACTCAACCAAGTTTAAATTTTTGACCTTTCCGGTATTGTTTTCCCCCTTCTCTTTGGCTTTAGTTATATTATGAATATTTTTAGGAAGGCTTAAGTTTTTAGTTTTTAGATAGTTGGGTTATTGGCCAAAATTTTTTTTTGTAAAATTTGCAGTTTTGTTGGTTCAACTGGCCACAAGGAGGCTAAGGCCAAGTCGCTGGATCTAAATTAAGACCTGAACCGATACAGTTAGAAAAGATTTTGAACGGATAAGAGGACCAGCGATATATGGACTTAGACGGTAAGAAAAAGAAAATGAAGAATTGCTTCTGTCATTATCAGCTTTGGCATCCGATCGAGCTGAAACTCCACACTTACCTTATGGCCAGCGGAGTCAGCCTAACCTAAATAAAATGGTGAGAGGCTTTTAGAAGAAAAATCGATTTAACTTTTGTTTTCAGTTATTTTCTTACGTGAATTTTTACGTGAATTTTCTTGAGTTTTTCGAATTTATTTCACTTATTTATTTATATACATTTTCCCATTAATTTGCTCTTTCTAATTTTCCAGAATATTTTTATGCAGTAATTTTTTTCATTTCTTGAAATTTCAGTTCAGTTTAATTCATTTGTTGCAGGATTAAATTTAAGATTTTTCTGGGAGCAACGGAGCAGAAATTGAATTTGCCATCGAAAGGTTCATTTAAAATGCCTGAAGGAAATGAAAATGAAGGAAATGAAGAACCGTCAAATCGATCTCTTGTAACAATCGACGAACTACTTGAAACGATGTTTATGGATCTTACAATTAATCAAAAATTCTGCAAACATGTCGTCGATAGCGTTGTTGAAAAATTTTATAAATCCAAGGTAATGCCAGTGGAGAAAGAAACAGTAATTTTACCAGAAATAGTCACTTCTTGCACTGATAAGAGATCGGAAATAGTCGCTCACAATATTCGAATACTTTCAAGGTTAATTGAAACAGTTATGGAAACGTTTATTAACTGTGGTATGTTTTACGAAATATTTTTGATATATTTATTATTATATTGTTTTTTCTTTTTTTTCCTTTTTTTGTAAAAGTTCTTTGTTGAGAAAATTATTTTCAGCTGATTTATCGTTTTATCATACTGAATTTGAAAAGAATCGAGATTCAGCGAATCTTTTTGCGGCAAAAATTCAAATTGAACGTTTCCTTATTTGTAAAACTTTTGATTTAAAGCATTTTGAACAGATCATTCGACGAATTTCTGGTCTTTTGAAAATTTTTGTCATAAGAATTTCATCGTTAGTTTATATTTTTATTGAATAGTTTAATGAATTTCGTAAAATTTTGGAATTTTTTATGTCTTACTTTATTCATTGAAATCGATTGGAATTTTTTTGTGAGATGGGATGAGAAATTTTATTAAAATTATCAAAATGAATGAATAAGCTGAGAAATAGTTTGCTATTTTTTAAAATATTATTTTTTAGGGCATCTCATGTAACAAATTGTACGTATTTTGCAAGTTTTTTATGTGATACTCTTTACCGTTTTGAGGAATATTGCTCAATTCATATAAAAGGTTGTGAAGAAGATTTCGCCGCTCTGAAAATAATTATTGGCCATTTTTATTCGATAGTTGTTTGTTCACTTCACAATGTAAGTATATGCATATTTTTTTAAATTGAACACAATATTTTTAGTAATATATTTTTAAAGTTTTCTTTTATATAAAGAAATTTTTCCATAAGCGATTATATCTATAAACTGTGAAAATTGTGATTTTAGAGGGCACTTGCTCACAAAAACGCTAAAAAAGAAAGAATTTCTTCTCGTATTCAGAAAAAAAGTAGTGGACAGAGTCGTATTTTAAGACCACTAAATTCGACTAAAATGCATAACAAATTGAAAAGAAGACTTCCAGGTTTTTTGCTACCAAGAGATCTCCAAGTTTGTTTTGAATACAAATATTGATAAAAATAAATAACAAATTTTTTTTCCATTTTCTAATTAATATTAGTAAAATGACATTAATTTCAGAGGCAATTTTTTTTTGTGGAAGTTTCTCCATTTATTTTATACTTCTCCATTGATTGATAAAGTAGGACGTTCACTTAAAATTTTTTGAGATTTATCTAAGAAAAAAAGCTGAATAGCGAAAAGCTGAATTCAAAAAAAGAATTTGCAAATTTATGAATTTATGAAAAATGTAGTAAAGATAGGCATTCTTGACGAGGAAGTAGTGAAGAGAATATGAAGACCTTCCATCATATAACGGCATCATAAATCTATGTTGATAAATATAAAAATATGATTAAGAGGAAAAGAGCAGCAGTCACTACGAAATGTCAATCGGTTGGATGCCAAGTATGTGCGCCTCACAGAAGAAAGAGTGCAACAACGCATTTCTTACTTCGACCTCCATTATTGAAACCAGAGAGTTCTTCGAAAAATTTGACGATAGCATCTGAAAGGTATCGTGAAGCAAATAGGTAAGATATTGAATAATGTTGAAAAAAAATAAGGTAACTTTTAGTCATATTTTTCTCATTTCATTAATTTTCAGGCTAGCAAGGCAATTGACTAGTGAGATTGTTGACGAGCTGGCGAATAAGGTAGATCAAATTATAATAAGCAATTCTTAGTTTTTTATTTTAAAAAACGACTGCATGCATCCATTCAAAAAATTTTTTGAATGATTAGGTTTATTTCAATTTCATATTAAAAATAATCGTTATATGTTTTTTCCACTCAATTTTATTCTTATTTCATTATTTTTTATGAAATTGCGTTCCATTTAAACCATAAAAATAAACTTTTCAAAAATTTGAATTGATACAAAAAAAGTTTAGAATTTCACAAATTAAACTATTATTTGTTATTTTAGATGTTTTTGTTTTAGATTATTTTATTTTAGATGGATAGGGCTCAACAGATTTAACTTAATTAATTCTTCAATAAATTTATTTTTATGATTACAGTGGTACTGTTTAGTAAGAGTTACTGCATAATTTTAAAATACTGAGGGGCTCTGGTTAAAGATTTATTGTATCTTTAGAATCTTTGGTATTGAAATCTTTCAGCATGTTTCTTTTGTGCTCGGATTTATTAAAAATGACCTAGAACTATTGGTATCTGGTCTATTTTCTATTAATTTCGTAGTAGAAAAAAATATAAAAAATAAGAAGTAGGTGGTCAATTCATTTTTTCTAAATTTTGTAGGAAGGTCAGTTAACATGCAATACAAATGTTCAAGTGCGATTTGGTATTTTTATTTTTCAGAAGTGATTCTTTGGCGAAAGTCCTCTAATGTTGACTAAATTTCAAAGTAATTCCGCCTTTTAAATAGCTGAATAGCCAAATAATGGCCAAACGGCGCCCATTTCTTTATTTCGTTTCTGTTTACTGTTCAGTATGCAAATTTATTAAAATATAAAATTTTCAAATTCCTCTTGAAAAGAACATTTGACAAGATGAAAGCGTTCGTATTTTAAAGAGGATTCAATAAGATCATTTAAGAAAGAGACAATTTAGGAATTTCTGAAATCTCGAAATATCGTAATTCGAATAAAACATAAATGCTAAAGGGGAGAAATTCGTTTAAAAAAAAGAAAAAAGATTATAAAGGAAATTTGCTAATTTCTTAAAGAAAAAAGTTTTTCTTTATTAAATTTTCAAATATTTTGATAATCAAATTTATTATGCAATTTTCTAATCCAACTTATTAACAATGATTAAATATAATAATGATAAGATGATAAGATCATTCAGAATAGTTCCATTTGGCGAATTTCATCAACAAATCAAATCAAAGAAGCCACCGCGAAAAGTTTAATATATGTGTTTCAGGTTTTCTCTTCAACTCATACGGATGATATGATGTTATGTTATGAGTATTTCTCAACATTATACTTACTAAGAGTTTGAGGAATACTATGCTAGGGATGATAGTTTATTTGCTCATGTGCTTATGAAAAGTAGATTCAGGCCTCTTGATTGCATGTGATATAACGAGATTATCATTTATTATCATCGCTCGCCTAATGAAACATTAAAATTTACACCAGCTGCACAATAAAAAAAATTACTTTAAAAAAAATCTTAGAAGAATAATATCATATTAGCAAAAAAGGCACTGTAGAAAAAAACACATGGTGATAATTAACGTAGTATTAAATTTTGAACTGAAGCCTTTCAAGCATATATTTTAAAATTAGTAATAATAACAGCTTTTATGGTACCCAATCATTCTGTTTGAATTGGCGTTAATTTATTATTATTTACTTATTATAATCACTTGGAATTATATTGCCAAAATTTCGTTTCACATATGAAACATTTATTTGCTTAATATGCTTTTTGTTATATTATAATTTTTTTATTGAATTGTAAGATGATAAAATGATAAATGATAAAAAACATTATAGTTTTTATCAAATATTCCTATGAATTTGGATTGTTAAAGCATTACCTTTCTCACCTATAAAAATTATGCTAAAACGATTTTATTTGCTTAATGATTCATGAAAGTATTGACAGCATTTTGACATCGAACTAAACTACTATTCACATATTTAAACAGCTTTTAAAATAAGCAATCTTTTTTTTTTTTTTTGTTACTTATAATAAATTTTTATTTTTATAATTTATTTGATTTATTTTTATAAATTATTTTTTCTCGTTTTTTTTTTTGATGGGCAAATTTTCTCTCTATTTTCATAGATTTAATAGATGGTAAATGGTTATTATGATAAAACGAATGAGTTGAATATTTTCAAAAATCTGGCGTAATCTTTGATATTTCCTGGAAATTTGCCTCTTTCGCTTTTCTCCATAATAACCTTTTTGAATATGGATTCATCACACCTATTACACCTATTCAATCGCTACAATTCTTTTTCTTTATAATTATTGCCACAGGCAAAAATGATGACACTGCGAGATTTAGCAACATAAGGGCATTAGAAAATGTTGCATAAGAATTAATTCAAATGATAGAAAGAGATTTAACACGGTATGCACGGTGTGTTAAACAGCGATCGTCTTGAAAAACTAGTATTGCTTTGTTGGATATTTAATAGAGTTTTTCATGATATTTGACAGGTTTCGTGGCTTATGCCAAGAGGTGTCAGCATGACGAGTCAAGATTTTGCAAGCATTTAATCGATTTACTTCATACATACAATGTTCTTTCAGTAATTTTAAACTCCTCATATATTCCTTTGTTATCACACATTAACGTAATTTTATCATTTGCAAAGAGGTACTGAGTGGAACTAAACTAAGTTTGAGAGTTCGTTAAAAAAGTAAAATAAAAAAGCAATAAGAGCGCTCACCATTATTGGTTGGACTTGCTTCACTGATTTATCTGACCGGCCAAATCTTATCAGAGAGTCATTTAGCCGTTAAAAATATAAGTGAATCGTCAGCGTCATTCGATGAAAGAAGCTATGAAATTTAGAAAATTTTTTAAATTTTGACTTAAAATATTTTTGAAATTTTAAATTTTGAAATTTTAAAAAATTATTTTCGATGAAAAATTTTTGATCAAAATGATATTTTAATATTGATTAATATTTTATATTAATAAAATATAATTAATATAATTAATAATTTTAAATATTAATATTAATTTTATAATTAATATTTCTTATGTATTTTATATTAATATTAATTTTTTATCGATAATATTTAATATTATAATTCCTTTACAATAACTAATGTTTTATAATAAATTTTTACAATAAATTTTCTATACAATTTATATAAAAATTATTTTAAATATTTTATTAATATTTATTAATAAATATTTATTAAAATTTAATAAAATATTTATTAAATTTATTTTATTAGAATCAATATTGGATTATTTTGTAAGAATATTTATTTTTTATAATAATATTTGCCAGCACACTTTTTTTTACAATAAATAATAAATAAATAAATAAATATTACAATAAATAAATATTACAAAAAATATACAAACAAATTAATTTAAACTGAAAAAAAAAAAATTATCTCAATTTTTGATCACAATTTTTCGTCCATAAATTAACGAATATAATCATCATAAACGTTTAGCATTCAGCTAAGCCAATTTTTTTTTTATTTTCTTTATTTTTTGAGCTTTTTTAACAAAATTATTGTTTTGAGAAAGGATAGAATGACTTAGCGAATTGTTTGTTCTCATTTTATTTTATTTCTATTCCTCGGAGAAATAAAATAAACCTATTTTTTCAAAAAATCCATATATTATCCGCCAATATTTCTATCATTAAATGATAAGACTTCTGATAAGATTTATCTATTTCGATAAGCTAATCGAAAAAGCCTAAATTTGAAAAAATTTATACCCCTGGGAAGTTTCAATATCTTTTTATACTTTTACGAGTAATTTAATATTTCGTAGAATTTCATTGAATTATTTGAAAAAATTGTATGGATTTTCATAAATCGATTTGCCGTAAAGTTTTTTATCACATGAAACTATTGTTTTCTTCAATAAGTTTTAAAAAATTTTTTCTAATTTTTAATTTTTATTTTTAAAGATTTTAAATTCATTAAATTTTTCTTCACAAAATCAAAATAATTCAACTAATAGCTTCGTAACTTTTTTAAAAATATAATAAAAATAAATTAAATAGGTATAATTAGTTTTTCGGATTTTAATTTTAATGAATAAAGATATAATTAATTTCGTAGTATTAATAGAAGTGAATTGAATTTTTACGTTACTTGGCTATAAATCGATGCAAATCGTCAACATTATTGGCCCGATATTGTCTAAAAAACTTTGTCTATTATTTTCATAATTCTTCTTATATGCAATATGAAACGTGCACATTTTACTGATACAATACTATTTGATAATTATCACTGATCCTTTCACAAATATACTCTCTGGTATGGGATAAAGAAATATTACTAGATGATTGGAGCAAAGCAATTCTGCTCCCAATTCTCAAGAAAGGTGATAGAACAGACTGTGATAATTATCGAGGAATCAGCCTACTAGACATTTCAGCGAAAACTTTTGCTTCCTTTTAACTCAAGTTATGGAAGTACGAGATTGCAGGAAGCGCCCTAATCAAACTGGATTCAAACCGGGGCGCGGTTGTGCTGACCAGATATTCACGTTAAGAAGGGTATTGAAATATCGCCTCAGATATGCATCCTACTGTCACGTGTTTGTGGCTGCCTTTGATTCGATTGATAGAAAGACGCTTTGGAGGGTGATGGAATGCGACGGTGTATTCATAAAGGCATTTTATGGATGTATGTCGGCGCAGGTCTATGTATATATGGAATCCTTCGATATAAGAACTGGTGTCCATTTCAAGGTTGCGTCCTTTCCCTACAATATACTGTGCAATAGACTGGATAAAAGGCACCGCTTATCGGCACACAAGGAGTGTCCAAATCAGTCCAGAGCATCGTATCACAGATCTTGAATATGCTAATGATGTAGTCCATTTTGCTGTAGTTATAATGGAATGCAAATAATGCTAAATAATATGTCAGCAACGGGATCGAGAATCGGACTTAGGGTCAATGTAAATAAAACGCAAGTCTTTTCGTCTTATGTGCAAGAAGCTGATAAAATGTCTCTTTTTGTAAATTTATTGCCAGTTGAGGAAGTGCCCGATTTTAAATATCTTGGGTCCACTCTAACACCAAGTGGCTAGGCAAAAGGCATTACAACCCGGTTCACGGCAGCTAGAAATACATTCTTTCGGAACGAAACCTTTATGGAGCTGTCGTGAAATCACCATAAAAACGAAAGTCTGTATCTATATAGTCGTAATTCGTTCGATCTTGCTGTATGGCTGTGATATATGCCAATGGAGGATATTAAGAAGTTATCTGTCTTTGACCACTCTTGTCTAAGGTACATTTTACGGATCCGTCAAGCGGATAAAATCTCACTTGATCGCATCCACCTTCGTTCAAATACCACTTGCAGTTATCACAGAGCGTCGCCTTCGCTGGTTGGGGCACATTCTCCCGTACACCACAGGAGTTGACACATATTTCGTTATTTGCTAAGCCCTGTGATGGTTGGCGTCAAAAGCCAGGTGGGCCAATCAAAAGCTGTACTGATACGGTCAGAAAAGCTTTTGAACGTATAAGTGCCAGCAATATATGGACTTAGACGATGGAAAAAGGAATGGCTTCTAATACTGTCGGCGATGGCATCTGATCGCGCCGCTTGGAAGGGTCTTACCCTTGTAGCCGTTTGAGCCAGCCTAACCAGTAACTAGTGAGAATTGTTAGAAGAAGAAGTTAGTTATCACTATCGAAGAGATTTATGACATTTATCATTTTTGATAAAATATTATAATATTATTGCTTATTATTGCTTATTAAAATATTATTGCTTGGAAAATCAGCCTAAGCAAGAGAAGAAAACTTTTTATCATCGGGCATATCTCAATAAAGGATCTTTTCACTGATTCCTTTTCACTGATATCAAATCGTAAATTATTTTGATTTTGATTATAATTAGAATTCTCATTTTCTATTGATTTTTACATTTTTAATTTTTTTTTAATTTTCTCTTCGCGTAAAAATTTCCAATCAAATATAATTGTAATTTAAAATCAATTTTTTATTATATTTTTAGTATTAATTTTATTTATATTATTTTTAATTATTATATTATTTATATTATTTTTATTTTTAAATTAAAATTTTTCTTTATTTTAATTTCCAAAAATATCCAAGAAAAAAAAAATGTGAAACGAAGAAGAAGAAATGAATAGAATTTGATTTGCAATTATCCAAGTTTGCTTTCGCTTTTTCGTCGTATTGATGTGAATTAAATCAAAAAAATCCAATGCAAATTCTTATTTCCATAATTTTCGAATAAAATAGATTTAACTTTTTTAAATCGAATATAATTCCAGTAAGTTTATTGTAATTTTGCTAATTTATCAGTTTAAGAAAGTTTTATCAAAGAAATTTTATCAAAGACGATAGACAATACAAATCAACCGTTTAGCATCAGCGCGATTTTTAAGAGACAAATTTACTTCTAAGAATAGAACTCGAGCATCGGCGTACTGAATTATCAGCAATAATGCACTGAGCCACCTTATCACTAATTTATTTTGAATTTAATTTTTATTTCATTCTTTTATTAAAAAAAAAATTACCAATATTTGAACGAATTATTTTCATTAATCATATATGTATTGATAATTAGCCGACATTGTGTCATATCATATCAAATCATACCATATCATTGATTTGAAACTTTTTCAAAAATACAATAGAAATTTAGTAGAATAAAATTCCAATCTTAGCAAGCTTTTCAATCTGAAATCTAATCGTTTTTTTTTTGTATTTTTTTTGTATTTGTATTTTTTTGTATTTTTGTGTTTATATTTGATCTTTTCGCCTAATAAATATATTTTAGATTGTCAGAAAAAAATTTTTTCTTATATTTGCTATTTTATATTTTTTTGTATTTATATCAAAATTTTTGAATTTGTTAAAAATTACTTTATTATTATAAAATAAATAAATTTATAACTTTATAACTAAATAAATTTATATAAATTTAAATTTATAATTATCATTATATTATAATATAATCATATCAATTAGCAAAAAAAATAAAAAATGGACATCAATATGAATTTACAGATTTTCGATAATTTTGAAGTTATGCTTATGCTTATGCTGATTTTTATTCTAATCAGGCTTAATTATTAGAAGAATAACAATCATATCACTATCATAATCATATCACTAGCAGGTAGAAATGGCTCAATGAGTTCTTATTTGCATTTTTGGAATTCCTTTGTTAAACAGATATAAACCTGTTTTTCAAAAATCTAAGTGATGTTTGCGCCTTATTTGCACTTCAGATAACATACCATATAAGAAGAATTTGTCTAATCCGACAAGCAGATAACTAAGCCTAAGCGAGTTGTACCAGAAATGCTGAAAAACAAGAAATTCCTAGAATAATAATCCTTCAGTATTTCATTCAATATTATCTATTTTTTTCCACTAATTTAAATAGTCTTTTTATTGTTGGTATTTGAAAGAGCTTAGAAATGAAATATCAAAGTGAAAGTTTCTTAAATCGATGATCACATGATAATGATAGTTGTTAACTCGTCAAAAAAACGCTTTGTTTATGATTTGTAGCAAAGTTTAATCCTTATATCCTTGAAATAAAACCAAGTAAACTCCCTGAAATAAGGCCTATCATAGCCTAAAATAAGGCCTAGCAGAGCCTGAAATAAGGCCAAAATATAGCCTGAACTAAGGTTAAGTATGCAAAGAGTTTGCCTAAAACCTTGTGAAGTCCTAGCGAAAGTCTAAATGAAATACCTATTTTTCGATAAAATATTTTTCTTCTGCCAACACAATCATTAGTGCTTCGCTAAACACTAGCGTAAGATTTCATTCCGTAGAGAATCAGTTGAGAATAGAAAAAACATATAAGTCTTTCGTTTTTCACTTTTAACGATAGGCTTACTTGATTGAAGCCATAAAAATTGAGTTTAGGATACTCGATTTTAGCCAAAGCAACGTTTCGTTCGACCTTTCTAACCATACATCCATATTATCATATCTCATTGATTTTTTCTGTTTTTTTTTTTTGAAATTTTTCTAATAATTCATAAATTTTTCTTGATTTTTCTAGTCTTAAAAAAAGATTTTTAATGAAAATTTTAATTAGATCAGATAGGGAAAAAGAAAATAGCAATCAATTTATATTTATCATTTTATTATCATTTTATTTGCTTTATATTATTAGTATTATTTGTTTTTGCTTCTTTTTTTCAATAGTTTTTATTTTAATATTTTAATTTTTTTAATATTTTATTTTTTTACTTTTGAAAAATTTTTTTTTAGACGTTTCATTTTTTTAAAAATTTTTTTGGGTTTAAACATTTTTTCATGGATCCATGGAGCTTTTAAATATGATATTTAATATTTATAAAATAATATTTTAACATTAATAATTAATAATAATTAATAATTAATATTTTGACATTTTAAAAATATTTTTGATGATATAACACATAATCGAAAAAAATTTTTAAATTTTAAATAAGATTCTTTTTTAAAAATTATTTAAAAAAATAAAATTGTACTTTATTAAATAGAATTTTTAAAAAAAAATTAAGTGAATTATTAAAAAATATCTTCTAACACAGAATTATCAGTTTTAATACTTTTTAAATTTATTTATTATTATCAATTTTTAATACCACTTGTGCTTTAGTAATATTTTTTTTTTATATTTTGTAATCTTAATAAATCATATTAATATCCTAAAAATTTTAAAATTATATTAATATACAAAAAATTATGCATAAAATCAAATTAAGATTAAATTTAAAGAATAAATTATTAGATTAACGAGAAGATATTGATTAACTTATCATTTTATCATTATATTTCGAAATTTATATTTGCAAAAATAATTCAATCAAATAATCAAACAAACAAAATATTTCGCTGGTGGTTATTTTACGATGAAATAAAAAAATGACGAATTACTTCGTTACACCTAAGCTGTATGATTCTTGTCAGGAAGATTTTATCATATATCTTAACTTGAATGCGTTAAGATATCACCTCGCCTCTTTATCATTGATGGGGAATTTTTAGTCATATGGTTTTAATTATGCTGATAAAAAAATATGGCAAAGTGTATAAAGTATATAGATTATTACCACTGTCCTCGTTTATCTCCTGCTCTTGACAAAAGTTAAGGTTGTCATTTAATAACCAATAGCCAATAGCTTAATCGGAAATGGTTAACTGGTAAATCACACTTATTTTATTTATATTAAGCATAATTATATAAAATAAGAATAATAGAATTAGTATTAAATTTAAAAAATCCGAATAGCTTTCAGCTTTGTTAAATTTTAATTCTTTCCTAGGAATTCTTTGAAATATTTCATAAATTTATTGTAAACGATCTGTTTTTCTCTTTTTGAGCATTCTCTTTAGGTGATTATTTTTAACAAATTTATCGAAAATCTATCGATTGATCAATTAACATTAATAATCGATGTAATTATTACAAAAAAACAAGTGAAGAAAAATTTATATATTTTTGTTTTCTGCCATGAATTTTACCATTACGGGTATAGAATGGCTCAGTGGGGTTGTTGCTCGATTGGGAGCGCCGATGCTGAGGCTCGATTTCCCGCAGGAGTAAACCTATATAAAAATCCGGGTGATGCTGGCGACTCATCTATATTTCTATCGCCAAGGAACTCCATGACATATTACTCAAGCCAGTGGAGCGAATTTAACCAGTAATGATGAGGACTATCAAAAAAAAATTTTTTTCCCATTGATATTGAATAAATGATAAATGATAAGCGCACTATTGGTAGATTTGAAGAATTAAAGAATAATAAAATAATAATAATAAAATAATTCGAGAATAACTTATCTAAATGGTTACTCGGACTGGACAAATGACTCGGATGGCATATAATCCGTCAATCAGTCAGTCAATCAATCAATCAATCAATCATTTAGAATATTTTAATAAATATTTTTATAATTCTAAAATAAAAATTCTAATATATATTTTTAACTATATTATATTTTTATTTATATTATTATATTTTAAATATATATATATTTTGTGAGCATATTTTTACATTTTTTAAGCAATATCAATTCGTGGCTAATAATTTATTAGTGATAAAATTATATCAATGTCAGTGATAAAGAATTTAACCAGTTATGAAACATTGAAATTGTACTGTTTTTTCTTATGGTGCGTTTAAATTTAATGAATCAATTGTTTTTTAGTTCGTTCGAAATTTTGCGACAAAATTCTATTTATCGAACTTTCTGATAATATTTTGTTATAGTCAGTGGTAATCGTTTGGTGTTTGGTGTGTCTGATTGGTGTATTTCAGTTTTAATAATTATTGAATTATATATTATATATTATATTAATTATTGAATTATATATTATAATTGCAATTTTAACGTATAAATATGAAGCATAACAATACGAATCGAACGGATTACGAGAATACAAAAAATCATTTCTTGTCACGCTATGGATATTCTCCAGCACCATCCGCACCAAAACTTGAAGTCACTATTAATCAGGTATATCTATCATTTCATTTATCACCTTTTCTTCGTTATTCCCCTTTCTTCCAACTTATTGTTTCTGCTTTAATTTTTTTGATTTTTTCTTTAAATTATTTCTGATTGGATCGTATCCTTAGACAATTCTATTTCTAAAAGTAGCACTGCTCATAGGAAATATTTCCTTAATATCTTTTGAAGTTTCGAATTTGGCTAACTTCCTTGGCTAAGAAAGTTCTTCAGTAGAGAATCATTTGGGGACAGAAATCTATGGCTTGATCTTCTATGTATATTTTATTTACTTTTTATTAAAATTTCGGTATCAGAAATTTCAGAATTGTGATGCACCTTCGTATAGTCCAAAAGCGTTACTTCGTCCACCAACAAGCCCTCCACCGCCTCCACCATTTAAATCAGACTATGCAGCGCCAACTGAGACAACTTATGAACCACTATGGCTTGATAAATTTCCACGTCGTGAAAATAAAGGAATGTTTCGAGTTGCGCTCGTACAAGCACTTCTTGCTGGTATTTTTTTTTTTTATGGAGCCAACTAAGGTGGAGAAGCTATTTGTAAAATCATGTCCAGATTCATGGAGATCCTGTTGCACTCCCAAATAAGATTCTCTGGGATGAGAAGGGTTCTCATTTTATTAACCAGGAGAGCCAATTTAGAAGTGTTAAATGTTGTGAACTATGCGAAGTTTTATTGATAAAAATAATTTGCTTATCATTTGTGCAATTCGTCATAAATCTAGCTAATTGTGGCATCAATTTTAACTAATTAATGGATTTACATATCTAAAAAAATATTCTTATTGCCATTATTGTTATTTTTCTTGGCTGTTTATTATTATTATTGTTATTATTAATGATTATAAATTATTATTATTATTACTATTAATATTACTATTAATCCTATTAAATTGAGAAAACCAGCAAAAATTATGATTAAATTATGATTAATTATGATCAATCATTATTATCAATTATTATTATCATTAGTTATTATCATAAGTTATTATTATCATTATTATCATTTATTACTATTATCATAAAAATCTAAAAAATTCATTGAAAAATTCAGAATAAAAATGGATAAATAACTTTTTATATATGATTACAAAATTATTGATTATTAAGGAGTAATATTGGGTGGTGGAATTTGGTGTTATTGCGATACTCCAGATTATTGCCCATATTATTCGGCCATATGGACCTCATCAGTATATTTATTAAATGCAATAATTGGAAGTGCTGCTGCAAAAATTGGATCTATCAATCTTTATATATTTCATTTAGTTTTATCAATGATATCAATCACAACTTGTTCAATAAGTGCTATTATTTCAGCGAGGTGATTTTTTTTCGAGTAATTTTACTAAAAGAGAGTAGAATGGCTTAGCGGGTTGTTGCTATCATTTCGGAGCGTCTATGTTTAGGTTTCACTCCTAGCATGAATAAGTCCGCATTATAAAAATCTAATTGCTAACGACTCACCTATCGGTGATCGCCAAATGATTTCCTAGCAAAATTTGCCTGGTTCGATAAACCAGTGAAGTGAGCCTAGAAATGATCAGTGTAATTATAAAAAGGAGAAATTTCAGTGAGAAATTTCTGAGTCAATATTATAATTACGAAAATTATAAAAATTAATAAAAATTAATGACAAAAATAAAAAATAAAATAAAATAAATAACAATTTAAAAATAGAATAAAGAGGATATTGCAAAATAATATAATATAGTACAATTCGAAATAACTATAATCGGATGGTAAAAATCGAGATTTCATACTTCCTACATGATGTGAACTTTTCAAATAATGTCGTAAATGATATTATCTATTTTTTTTTTTAAAGATAGCTAGGGATGGCGCACAAGTTATGTCGTTCCAGAAAACAGTAATTTATTCCAGAAATTAATAGTACAAATAAAGAAATCATGAGTCCTTAGTTTAGTTTTACACATAGTTTTTAAGAATTTTAGCCCATTAGATCTTGTTGGATCTAAATTTAACCTAAAATTATAATATTTTGAACAATCCAGTTTAATATAATCATACAGAATCTTATAAATATAAATTAAATCTTATTTTAATTTTTGATTCTTTGGACCAGTAAGTTTTTTATTCATTATTACAGAAATTGGATATTAGTTGGTACCTATCAACATCCAAAGATTGATCGTAATCAAGCCTTTTGTTTAATCGGTGAACATGATGCTCCGCGGCTTAGCTACATTTTTAGTCATATGGATCAGTACGATTTTCAAGCTTGTCTTTTTCAACTAAAAGTTGGAGTTGCTGTGAATAGTGTGCAATTTGTTATAGCTGGAATAGAAGGTTTGTTTCCTCCACTTCTCCCCTCCCCCCCCCCTCCTCCTCCTCAAAAATAAAAAGAACACATCCATATTTTTTATATCTTTCTTAGCTTATATAAAATATATATATCTAAGAAAGTATTTTATTGCTTTTTTTTTAAAAAGAACAAAATATTCGTTGGCATAATTTATTTAATCCGACAAGTCAATGAGGCGAGGCTAACCGACTATGTAATATTCTTTAACAGTTAATATTTTTCAGCTTTATTGAACGTGGTCTCCGCATTTTTATGTTTCAAACGAACATGCACGTCGTCATGTTTCGATTAAAAAGCGAAATAATTATATATTCATGTAATAATAATTAGCCCAAAAAATGGAATTAGATCTGGATTTATCGAAATTAAATATATACCTCTTTCTGAAACTTTTCGTGATTAATTTCATTAGGTATTATTTGTAATTTATTAAATATTAATTTAATTTAAATATAACAAAACGCCTATTAATTTAATTATAATATATAATAGCAATATAATAATATATAAAAATAATATATATTTTTAGTTATCATACTTAATATATACTAATTGTTACTACAAATATAATAGAACGGCTATTAATTTAATTATTATTATAATATATAGTTTTTTAATTGTAATATTTAATAATAATTTAGTTATAAAATATATTATTTAAATATATTTAAAATATTTAAATATATATTTTTAGGTATAACATATAATAATCATTTATATAAATATAATAAAACGGGCATTAATTGTAATTATAATATATATTTTAATAACAATATATATACATATATATATAATTTCGTGGGCTAAAACAATTTTAGTCATAATAAATATAAATGTTACGAGCTACTCGATGTTCTCATTTTTCTTTTTGCCAACTATTTGTTTTTCTTCATGTAATTTTAATGCAAATTTTAATAATTGTTATTTCATTATTAAATTATTTCATTTTTGAATTTTTTTTTCAAAATAAAAAGATTTTTAAAAAATTAATTTGATCACAAAAAAAATGATAAATTAAAAACAATAGAAAATAATAGAACTAAAAATTTAAATGAAATGTCACATGGATTTTTTAATGAAACATTTGTTCTGCTGGATGCAATGATTGCATAAAACATGGATTTCGAGGCGCTTATCCTATTATTTGATTGGAAATCGAATTAGCTTCATATCTAATCACATTGAAAATGAGAATGCTATTCTAAAAGATTTTTGCGTAATTTCAAGAATAAAAAATTTTAAGCTATGAATTAAATGAGTTATACAAAACTTTATCAAGTTTTTATCAAGTTTTTATTATTCCTTATTATTAAAATATAATCTAATCTATATTATTAAATAATTGAATAGTTTATACAAAAACTAAATTTAGTAAAGTAAATAACTAAATGGAATATATCTGATTGACTCTTATCAGCAGTGCATTTGAGTGTTTGTTCCTTATCTTTTCAAGAGTTAGCCTAATCTTTTTGCATTTATCAGTCGTTATCACTTAGTATTATGCCGTTTAAATTATACAATATTCTTTTTTTATACTACAAATCTTTTATAAGTACTCTCTGATCAATCAGATATCGTGGTAATAGATAATAATCAGAAATCGGCACTGGTGATTGATATATTGATATCAAACGATAGGAATGTCGTAAAGAAGGAATATAATAAAGTAAGAGAAATATCAAGCGCTGAAAGAGGAATAAGAGAATATATAGAAAAAAAAAGCGAAAGTTATTCCAGTGATAATTGGAATACTTGGAATTGCAATCTCTAAAATATAAAAATGACTTCATTAGATTTCCAGAAATAATATTAGAGTTCTCTATTCAGGAGAGCGCAATTACGAACAGCTAAGAACTTTCAATCTCTTAGGATTCTGCTAGAGGACCCAAAATTGAGAATGACCATCCTGGTGAAAAAAATATATAATAGCTGGTGAAAAATAAATTTTTTTTCAAGTCTTATATATAAATAAAAGAGAGTTCAAGCAATAAACAAGAAATTGCTACCATAGCAACCATAGTCCGTTTCATAAATTTTATTAATTTTTTTACTATTTTTCATTCCAAAATTTTTTATTAATAGTACTTAAATTATTGACGAATTATTGACGCTTTAATTATTCATTTATTAGCGGTTATCAGTTGTTATCACCTCTCAATAGTTTCAATAAATTTTTTAATTTATCAATTTCTTTTTAAAATCTAATATTTTTATAATCGCATCGCTTTTTTAAATTATTTCTTCGACAATATTCTCGTTATTTAAAATTTAATTAATAAAGTAATAATGATTCTCAAAATATGTTATATGTTATATGTTTATTATTTAAAGATTATTTACCATTTTTTATTTTATCATTTTTCCAATCCTTTCTTTAACACATTGTGACGGATGATTTGATAAGCATCAAGCATGGTGAGTTCGGTCTTTCGACTGATCAAATCGATTGCTGTCGATTATCAATAAATATTCGGGTGCTAGAAAACCAGCAGTGATTCTCCTTTATCCTTTAATAATCTTTTAACTAAAAAAATCCAATTTTGTACGACTTTAATAGTAAATAAAACCAGAAGTAATGAATGCCATTAGAAAATAAGGAGGAAAAAAATTGATAAGGCTGATAAATATTATAAAAGACTAGCTAGTAAATTAAAAACATATTATTTGTAATTAAAACCAAACGTTCAAATTTTTTTATTCGAATTACGATTGGTACCAATTGATAGAATGAAAATGGTACTAATAGAGTACATAATAAATAAAACAATATATAAATTATTGATATTTTGTATAAGGCGAATCCTTCTGTACATTTTGTGGCACTTTCTAAACATGGCCTTGGAATAATAAGCAAGCTATTGTCCATAACTTTTCGCACACGAAGTCGTGCCTTGGTTGCCCACACTGACGTCTTTTCAAAAGAAGCCTCTTTTTTAAATAGAAATGCCTTAATGCTAATTTATCTGCCTTCAGTTTCCCGAGCATTCTGGAGGACTCGAGATTGGGGAAAATTAATGATACACCTAGTTGGAAAATTTTTATTACACAATTTTTATTATATATATAAACACATAAATTTTTATTATATTTTTATTTTTATTAATAATTTATAATAATTTATATATAATTTTTATTTTTATTAATTTTTATTATATAATTTTTATGCATATATTTTGATATTTTGTTGCTTGGCATTGCATTGTTATATTGATCACCACTGTTGAAACTTTATATATATATATATATAAATTTTATAAATTTAATGCGAAAAAGCCAAAGCAATCGCAGTGATAATTGGAACACTTGGAGCAAAGTGACACCTAAACTAGAAAAGTGATTTCAGCAGATTGCAGGAACAACATTAGAGATCTCTATCTTTGAAGAGCGGAGCAGCTAAGATATTGCGTAGAACTCTCAGTCTCTCAGACCTCTGGTAGAAGGCCTGAGGTTGAGGATGACTATAATTACCTATAGGAAGATGAGAGAAAAGTTCTTTTGATGACTAACGAATAAATAAATTTTATAAGTAAATGAAATGTTTATAAAAATTTAAAAATATTTTGATAAAATTGATAATGAAATGAAATGAAATTAATTGCGATTCGAAACACTTAATTAATTTCTTTCTTTGTACAGCAAAGAATGGCGACCGATGATATTTTTCAAAAATTTTCTCATAAACGGTGAGTTTCCATTCAAAAACTAAATTTTCTTGCAGAAATTACTCTCTTCCATGATTAAAAATTTAAAAAATTTGATAAAATTGAATTAAAAATTTTTTAAAAATAATTTATAATTTTGAAGTGAAAATAGCAAAAAAAGGCACTCTGAAATTACGCCGGAAAGAAATAAACATGGAAAAGTGATGGATGAAAGTGAAAGCCTAGCAAGTCGACATTCAAGCCGACCAGTTTGATTTAATTTTTTTTTTTAAAAAGTAGATTTAAATTTTTAAATTTTTTCTAAGTTTTAGGTTTAAGAAAGTAATATTTAATATTTTTTAAAAAAATAAAATTGATGAAAATGGTCAAAAATAATATTAATAATAAATAATATTATTATAATATCATTACAATAAAGCCAAAAATAAAATTCGAAACAATTATTGAATTTTAAAAAATTCGTTTTTTTTCCAAAAATGTGAAAATATTTAAAAAGAAAAAAATTTATTGAATGAAATTGATAAAGAATATATTTTTACAAAAAGTTTAAGTCAAAAAAACATAAAAATATTAATTTTTATTTGAATTTCTTATTTGAATTTCTTCTTTTGAAAATATGAATACTTTAAATTTTTTTTGAATTTAAACTGTAATATTAATTTTTATTTCAATTCAAAAAATCATTTTCTTAAAAAAATTATTTTAAATAATAAAAAATTATTGAAAATTTTTTAAAAAAGATTTAAAAATTTTTATTTAAAGTATTCATCACAAAAATTATCAAAGCGAGAAACTGAAAACGTGAAAAATTTAATGTCGCATCGCTATTCGAAATTATTTCGCGATAATTTTATGAAAAATAGCGATGAATATGATCGATGGAAAATTTTAAAAAAAACTTCATTAATTGATAACAATAATGATAATGAAAATGTAAGTCTTTTGTAGATTATAATAATTGAATTATTTCATTTAACAGGCATCACATAAAGAAAAGAAATTTCTTTAGATTAACAGGCCTTCATATCAATTTATAAGAAGTGATAAGAAATCTTCACTGGATAAACGACATTCATCTCAGATTAACACAAAAAATAAAGCCAATATCTCAGCAGATACCTCGAAAATATCTCATCAAATTAGCTCATCTACGAAAAAAAACGACTCGTTTAACCGGCTAGCAAGTTCAAAGCTGAAATCAGATAAATTAGGAAAAACACTTCAACCGAGTCCAATGATAGCATCAATTGAACCAGTTTCTACTGCACAACATGCAAGCACATCCAGGATAAATCCTGTAGACGAATACGTCTATGAAGTACGACTTTCAATTATTTCATTTTTTCTATACTACATATATTTTAAAAGCTGTTATAAGTTTAGATTATACTGGTTGATGGTTATTTAATCCGCTGAATAAATTTCCTTGCTATCGTGGAAATTAATAAGATTAATTGATGAGTAAATTAACAACTCATCATCGGTACTTTTATCTGTCGTCAAGTAACTCTCTGGTAAATTTAATCTGATTTGCCAAGCTAGCCGAGTAAGTCTAACGAGAAATGATGAGCGTTCTTGGAAAAATAATACCCTAAAAATAATAATGCTTTTATCGTATATGAGGTGTACCATTTTTCTATTTTACGAATCTTGCAACGTACCACTCTCCTGCTAGAAGAGTGATCCACACCACCTTTTATTGGTACCTTTTCTCATCCACCTCCTAGTAGATCCTTTTAAGGTTGTCTAACGAAAATCAGTGGATCAAGCCGAATCAAATGGTAAGAGTACCAAACAATAAGCTGATAAGCTCTATTTTAAGGCGGAAAGAATTTTGTCATTTCCTTAAATTAAATCAGTATAAAAATGAATAATATGTAATTTGTAGGATGATTTTGAAGAATACAGCGATGATTTCGAAGATGATACAGAATCAGATAATGAAGATGATGATAAAGTAGCTGAAGAAGTTATACAACTATCGAATCAAGATGAAATAAATGAAAGTAATGAACAATTAAGCACCATGAGAGGATCATCCTTAATGCAAAGATTAATGAGGCGCAATGAATTTGTAGTTGGACAATCATGGAATGACACTCCAAGCGAAAGGGTATCGTTTGATATAATTTAAATCAGATAGTAGGCCCAAAATTCACCCATCTTCCGTTCATGTTAGTGGGAAGATTTGCTTCCCACTTACTGGTATCTTCTTGTTGAAAACTATCTTGATAAAAGTCTAATCTAATAATCAGTTATTGACGTCTTCTTGCTAAGCACTTTTTCTTGCAATGAACCTTCTTTCTAGATAGTACTGTCCTGCTTTTTCTATTTCTGCAATCCTCTCATCTTTCTTCATCCTTCCTTTTTAATTGGTTTATTTTGTTATTATACAATTCTTTTTTTGTACTAAAATAAAGTTTCTCAAAATAAACACAATAACAAAATTTAATAAAACAATGATAATAGTGATAAAATAATAAAATGATAAAGGGGTCCATGTTTAAAGAATATGAACGTGGAGATCGAAAATCTCGTATCATATCGACAAATTAGCAATAGGATATGGTTGAACGCTTGTTATTAACCGTTTATTAATGCGGTTCAAACATGCTGATGCTGATGATAAAATAGTGATAAGCTATCATGAAATAATGCACATAAGAATAAGTTTTTAGAGAAATTTTGGAGTAACAGATCTCAATATCGCTGATAAAGAACGAATAATTGACTTCAGCCAAGCAAAATCATTTAATTATGAACGGTTCATGGAAGTGAACCATCGATATTCGGCACTTAAAAATCTAATAGGTATATTCATTTTTTTCATTTTACCATATATTTCATTTCATTTCACTTTCCATTTTCCTGAAATTAAACAACGATCCTGAAAGTTAATTCCAAGTAAATAATCTTGGTGCATTTTCAAAATTCCAAAATTCTTATGAGCATTTAAGAAATGAATAATAATTTAAGGATTAGAGATAGTTCGAATGGAATTTATTAATATACCTCCAGTGAAAGATTATGATTTTTATATGCAAATGTTTGGTGGTGATAATCGAATTCAGGTTGGACAACTAAATACCGCTTTTTTTAATCTGATTATATGAAGAAAGAAAAAACCACAATTTCAGGAAATAGCTAAAAGAAAAGGATAGAAAATGAGAAAAGCAATTAGGAAAAATGATAAAATAAAAAATTAATTAACATAAAAATGAATAATCAGTATGGTTTTTAAAAAAATTTATTATTATAAAGCTAGAGGATATTTAAAAGCAACTAAAAGCAACCAGTCAAGTACCATTTCCGAAAAAGTTATTTTGCCTAAATATTAAAGTTTAGAAACAAACGCAAACTGGCGACGATAATTGTATTCGCTGTATACAAACAGAAGAAATCGAAAAAGATACAAAATGGACTCAGCATCCACCATTGGGTAAATTCCCTCCGAGTATTTTAATCAGAAAAAAAATGAATATAAAACTTTTACTGATCTGTTTATTTTATATGAAAAATTAGGAATTTTTTTATCAGTTATTCAAAAAATTATCAGCCATAAAAATAGCTAAAAATAAATACAATTATTCATATTTTTTGATAATTTTACTTTTAAATCAATTTTTTCCTAATTTTTGATTAAAAAAATAATATTGATATTGATATCGATAAAAATTGATTAAAATCAGATGAGCTTGGTTGTGGATCCGCTATAAGTGGAAATATATCGAGGACAAACGACTGGATTGAAGACGATTCGGATTTAATTATCTATAAAGCAAATCATTGGCATTCAGCGAAATTGAGGAAATTTATTAGAGTTGCTGAAGAGGTACACTTTTGAATATTTCAAATATGGTTTCTTGCTAAAAGAACCAAGCATGAAGCGAAATATTAAAAGCAAAAATATTAATAAAATTTTAAAATTAACCAAATATGATAAAATTGATAAAATTGGTGATAGGATGGCTCAGTGGATTATTACTCTTATTTCAAGCAGCTGCTATTGGGGGTTTATCTCTCACACGAGTAAATTTTCCCTTGCAAAAAAATCCACTGGGTGATATTGATAACCCTTTAATATCGCTAAGTATCTCTATCAAATTTGTCGTTCCCATAGAAGTTCACCTTGCGTATCTATGCAGAAATAGTGAGTGTTCTCCTAGAACCAAATGATTTTTTCTTTACTTTTGTAAATATCTCAATTTCAGGTTTTCATGGAACTATTTTCCTCGCTTAATTCAACAAATGAAATTCTATCATCAAATACCAAGTCTAAATTATCTATTAGTGATTATTATTGTTCAGTATCACTTGCTAATTTAGCGAGTAATACTTTTATTTTTCTAATATACCTAATGTTTACTCATTTTTTTTAAAGAATACTCATCATTACTGTTAGACTCAGTCCGTTGGCTTGTCTCACTCAACAAATATGCTATAGATCCCCTTACTGGTAGAATTAGGTGAATCGTTAAGATCACATGGATTTTTCGGACACTCTCGCCTAAAATAGAATCTCAGCATCGGCGCTCCGAATTGGGCAATCAGGCGTGGGTGGATTCGATTCCAAGCCTCGATAATAATGTTAATAATAATAATATTGATAATAAAAATAACAATGATAATAATGGTCATAATAACAATAACAGTAATAATAAATAATAATAACAATAATAATAATTAATAAAAATAAACAATTAATAATTAATAATAATGGTGAAAACTAATTATATTTATATAATTGTCAAATGCTATTTTAATTTTATTATTTTTATTTAATACTAAAAATTTTTTTTTTTAGAATCAAATGTAACAGCAATTGTTCAGAATTGCGATCGTCTTTTTGTTGCATATTTCATCGAAAATTCTCTTGCAGATGATATTATATCGAAAAGCCTTTTAGTCGAATATAATATTAATAATAATAATATTAATTCACCTCAAAGGTGATTAAAATTATGGTTACTTTAATAGTTGCATTAAACGATAGGATAAAGTGGCAAAGGATGAGTGATGATGGCGTCTACTCTACTACCTCTACTTCGATCCTCACTTGGCTTCGTGGCAAGATTTTGTGTGGCGCTACAAGTCAAATGAGCAAAATGAGCCAAATCGGAGCCAAATAATGGGAAGCTTTTAGAAAAAAAGAAAATCAAACGATGGAAAATAATGCGAAAAATTCTTTCAGAGTTATGATTTGTGATGGAAATATTCGTTGCTTTTGCCTTTCGATTGATAAGAAAAATGCCATTTTCGCGGGTTTGGTAATTTTTTTAAAAAATTTTCATGAAATTTTTTTTTTTTTAACAAATAATTTCAATAAAAATAATGAAATTTTTATTGGAGAAAATTTTTTTTTTTTTTTTCAGAACGATGGTAGTTGTGTGGCATTCGATTTAACCGAATCGGATTCATTGTTTAAATCCACTTTACCTTGGCCAAATATGAATGATGAAGTAAAACTTCGAACAGCTGCTTATGATACGTCATTTAAAGGATTCCTTGAATTCGATGAGAAATGTGATGATCATCAATGGCCCATAATTAGTATTCATGCAATTGGAGATGATAGTGCCAGGTTAAAAATTATTCCTAATAAAATAATCTTAGGTGCAGAATGGGTAACGTTGGCCTAATGCTGATATTCTATTCCTAATAAGAGAAAACCGGGCGTTCGAAAAGATTTTTTGCTGCTGGCAATCGACCTATAATTTTTTCAGTCTTTAACAAATTTTGCTTGTTTGGCGCGATAAACCATCGCAGCCTAACCAGAATGATGAGCCATCTATTGGCCCAAAATGATAAATCTACAGTTCTTGAATAATTTTATTATTTTTTGATGAACTTAACAATCTATGAAATTAAGCAGTAAATGATTTAATTTTATGAAAAAAAAAGTTAATTAAATTCTTATAAGCTCTATGATAACAACTTGCAGTGATAACACTTATCAAGTAGTAACTATTAATGAAGTTGGTACATTAATAATTTGGTCTATAATTCAAAGTGAACTAAATAATGACAATGATCTTGGCGTACGACCTGGTGCTAAACTAAAAATGAGCCAAGCTGCTATATTACATTTACATCGGACCATTGAGAAGTACCATTTTTCTTTCTATAATTCGTATTGGTACTTCCTTCTTTGTCAGATAATGTGATAATTATTTTAAGTCTCACGATTTCTAATCCACGACTGAAAGTGAGCGCAATGGTTACGAATCCTTCAGATGCATCACAATTCTTAATTGGTACAGATATTGGCCTCATCGTAAACGTTTCAAGAATTAGTACATCAGTAAATTATGCTGGGCCTAGGATTTATAAAACCGACGACGGTATTTTTTTGCAATTTCTAACAAATAATTTTCCGGATATACTTTCTATGGGTGATAATAAAATAAAATAACTTAGAAACATCTAAAATTTGCTAAATTTGTAAATATTATTATAAATTTATAAATGAATAATTTTTTTATAAGTTATAATATTTATTTAATATTTATCTTTAAAACCATTATTACTACTAGCGATATCATTGGATCGGGCAGCATTTTACTCTTGTAGCCAGCGGAGCTAACCTAACCAGTAATGGTGAGAGCTTTTAGAAGAAGAAGAAAACCATTATAAAATAATATTTCCCTTAAAAGACTAATTTATATAAATAATAGCTGAATTACTTTACTATACAATTTATTATTTCAGATTTTGCCAATAGCATCAATTGCCTTAAATTTTCATTACTCGATAAAACAACATTTCTAGTAACTTTTTCTACACCTTTGCAAATAGTAAATAAAATAGTAAGTAAGAAGAATTTTTATTTCATTAAGTGAAGTAGTGAAGTAAATTTTAGAGTATTGCAAAATGGCGAAAGCAAAAAAATAAAATATCAAATTGAGCTGAAAAAAACTTAAAAAGTTTTATATTTTCAGGCTGGTTTTTCAAATGGTAACATACTGCTTTATAAATTAGGTCAGTCAAAACCGATTTCCACTTTTATGTCTGCAAAATACTCGATGAAACCCGTCACACATATTGATTTCTCCCCTTCGTAAGTTCCAAAAATACTTTATTTTATAGAAAATATATTCTTTTTCTTTTTTCAACTCAAACCATTAATATGAATTTGATTCTATAGTTGATTCTATAAACTCAAATAAGATTGAAGCTTTCCTTTTCTAAGCCAAAGACATAGTCTTTAGATCTGTTATAAAGGCTAGAATGGTCATATAAAACATATTAATTCAACTAAAATTGTGAATTTAATTTTGACAAAACCAAATCCATCAATACAAATGAAAAGAAAAATAATACACCTGAGGATCCACATTTTGTCCCAAAGTAATTATCTTGTAGATACACCTAACAAATTAAATCTAAAATAGTGATTGCTCTTATAAGAAGCGGATGATTCAACTGATAAAATCTTTAAAAACTGATAAGATTAAAAATTTTCTCTCAAAATTCAAATTAATAAAAAAATTTAAATATTATAAAAATTTTAGCTTTACAACAGTATTTTATTCAATACATAACAATAATATTATAATTTATTGGAATTTTTCTATAAATAATAATCCAATAAAAATATGCGAAATTAATAATAATCAAATGAATATTTCAACAATGAATTTATTTAAACAATTGGTAAATAATGAAAAAATTATTTCATATATGGTTAGTTTACATTATTTATATTATAATTATAAATAAAATATTAAATACTATTTATTATTATTATTATCGAAGGAGCCTGAGGGCGAATTCTAAAATTCTCTTCAAGCCTCGTAGCATTTCCGAATATAAAAGAGGAAAAAAGAAATTTCCTCAAAACATAGATTTTTTTCTTTAAACGAGATTCATCGCTTTGGCAAGTCCGCCAAATCTTTAAAATTCTTTCCTGAGGGACTAAGAGAATGAGAAATAAATTTAGAGGAGATGACGAGTCGGTGAAATTTCGAAGACTAAACGAAATTTTTGTGGTGGAGAGGGTAGTATGAGCGATTCAAGGTTAATGCTAAAAGAGTATAATTGAACAACCTGAAAGAATTTTAAGATAATAAAACGGTTTAACGGGATTTTAGAAAGTATTAGCGGTTCAGCACAAGAAATCACCGTTATGCTATCCTTTGAGATTAATAGGAAATGTGCACAAGGCTCTGGGAGAAAAATAGGAGTGAGTGATATTAAATGTTACATTTGGTTCTGAGGGTAATTTAATAGGATAATACGGCTGATAAAGTAAGATAAAGTAGTATAATAAAGTCTGAGCGAGTATTAGGTGAAATCACAAGGGTATTAATAGAAATTAACGGTTCTCACATACAAGTTAAAGTGTACTTTTAGGACAAAGAAAGAAAATAATGAGAAATAATTGAATACAGGAGGGGGAGGAAGGTAGGGGGGGGGGGGGGGGAAAGGGAATGGTAAAAGATGCTATTCAACGGAGATTGAGAAAGCATTCAAAAATTTGGTCGGTTTTATAGGAAATAAATTTTATTATTTTTTTATTTCCCGGGCAAGCATAACTTATACTTACTATATGCTTACTAACATTATATCAACTAATTATATTAAACTAATTATATTATATAATAATAGATAAGATAAGAAGAAAAGATAATCATATATCATATTTTTATCAAATTTATCAGGAAATTTTTTTTTAGATTTTAGGATTTATCGATGGCGAAGTACAAATTCATCGTTTAAAAGACGAACCAACAAAATAATTTTTTTCTGATTATCATATCTATATTTCAAATTTGATAAAAATTTTTCTTGTGAAACTATTTTTTGATATTAAAAAGAATAAAAATTGAACGATATATAAAACAGAATCGCTCAGTAACTTATGTTGTTCTCATTTCGGAGCATCAAAGTCCATGTTTTATTATCAAATGACTCTTTGACACTGGTCCGATAAGCCATACAATCAGTAACAGCATATTAATATCAGTGATAAAATTTAAATTTCAAAAATCCACGTTTTATCACCAAATAACTCTCTGGCAAAATCTGCCTGGTCCAATAAGCCATATAATTAGCGATAGCATATCAATATCAGTGATAAAATTTAAATTTCAAAAACCCACGTTTTATCACCAAATGACTCTCTGGCAAAATCTGCCTGGTCCAATAAGCCATATAATCAGCGATAGCATATCAATATCAGTGATAAAACTCAAATTTATCTTAAAATTTTTGAAATAATTCAATTCGTTGAAGATGTACTTCAATGACTTCAATGTTTATCACCTATCTAAAAGTGAACTGCAGTCGTTAAAAATGAAATGCGAGTGGTACTGAGGACGCATATAGTATAAGTGATCTTTGACCATTAAGAAATGGTGAACGGGAGAGTTTGAGAGGCTCAATAGGAAGATAACTGGTTTTTGATCTGCTCCCAAAGAAGAGATTTGTATTCTTCCATATCTTCCTTCCTTATCATTCCATTATTTTAGGTGCAATTACCATTCTGACTATTGCTCACCCGTTACGCACTTTGTTAGTCTGATCAATATAACCCCTATTATCAAAAGAGTTATGTGATGATACGATACAGTTCAAATTTAATCATATCTACATATCAGCAATCGCACGCTAGCAATTGTCATAGAACTGGATCTTATCAGTGGGTTATCTAATTTCAGGATTCAAGTTGTTGGCATTCACTTCGCCGCTGTAGTAAACCTGTAATCACTATGATGCTAGACAACTATTCTATATTTCTATCACTAACTGAGCGCCTGGCAAAATTTCCCCGATCCGATAAGCCAACCAGGGTGAGAACTCTTCGAAAAAAAAGAGTGCTATTAAAACTCTGCTAATTTAAAAATTGGCGGTGATCCAAAACCTATTATTGTTGTTATCACTTGTTTTTTTTTTCTGGTTAGGTTCGTCCAGGTGAATTGTGTTTGCCTAGACAGACAGGTTTTTCTAGGAGATTACTAGGCGGTAGAAAAACGGGTTTACTCCAACCTGAAAATAGAACACCGATATTAGCGCTTCGAAATGATAACGATAACCCACTAACTTACTAATTTTTTCTAAATTTAGTGATATTTTTAATTTAGGAAAAGGCTAATGGATGATGCCAATCGTTCAGCACAAAAAGCTGTTGTATTTGATAGGAATGGTCGACGTGAAGCCGCTATTTATTTCTATTTTGTTAGTTCTCGCTATTTTTCGCTATTTTTTCGCTATTTTGTCGATTATTCTACACTTCGATTTTCAAGCAAATATTACGCATTTTAAAATTACATATGAGAAAAGTATCTCAATTCTTCAAAGATTTAAAAATTTAGTTTAGAAATTATCAAAATTACGAACGCCGCCTTACCAAAGATAATATGATAGAGAGTCTTAAAAGAGGCGAAATGGATTTTTGCTAGTGCACTGATTAATATGCAGAATTGGTCAGGCTTAACAGTTTTTCGGACGAGTTCGGACTGGTCCGATGCTGAGTAAAATTGTCCAAAAATACAGGTGACACTGGCCACTCACCTGCACTTCTGTCAAATCAAAACATCTCTGGTACTTTTATCCAGTGGGAGAAGCCAACGGAGCGGAATCTGATTAATAAATGATGAGGGCTCTTGAAAAAAAAAAAAAAGAAAGGGCTCTGATTTTGACTAAATGCCATCAATAATGTTGAATATGTGGGTCAGCTAATCGACAAGTTTAATCCTTTATTTTTAATGCCATTGATTTTTAATTTAATTTTATGTTTATAGTTTTATTATTTAATTAAAATTATTATCCACTAATTTTTCGCTATATTTTTTTCTTATTTTGCTTATATTATGTTTTATCAAAATTTTCGATTTCTTTTTAGGTAAAACTGTATTTAAAACTATAATTGTAGTAGCTGTATTTTAGCAAAAATAGCTCAAGTAAAAATAGCTCTATTATCAGTTATCTATTATCAGTAAGTAACTATATTTTAGTTGTGATAAATGATAAAAACTTTTGTAGTTATAGGATGCTGCGAATACTTTATTGGAGTTGATTGCTGCGAATAAAATTTCGTCTTCTTATAAAGCAACTGCTGAAGGATATATTTGTCGTGCCGAAACTCTCAAAAAACAAAGTATAAAAATTTTTTTATAAATTTTTTTCTAAAAAATTTGAAAAACAACTGGTTGAACTCAATAAATTTATTATTAATTTTTGAAAACTTTTTTAAGAAATTCTTTCATCGTACGCGCATCGTTTTATGATAAAATTTAAAAAATTTATTTAAATCAATTTATATTTATATCAAATTAAAAATATAAAATTAAATATCAACTTTAATATTCTCAAAAATTAATTTTTTATAAAATAAAATTTAGTTTTGAAATTTTTAATATTTATCAAAACATTTTTTAAATAAATAAAATTTTTTTGAATTAAAAATAACAATAAATATAATTTTAAAAAAATAATGAAATTTTTGAAGAATAAAGAATTTTCAGATATTTCACGAAAACCGTCGATAAAAACTGAACATCAACTTAATTTAGAAAGAGTCGAATTTTTGCTAAATCAAGCCTTAGATTATGATGAAGAAGGTTGTATTAATGAAGCAATTTCATTATATTCGGAGGCTGTTGAACTTTGCTTAAAAGCTGTAAGTTACCGACTTATCAGTCTTATCAGTCTTCATAATTAATTAAATTAATTATTCACTTATAGCAAAAGATAGGTTCACTATAGTTGTTCGTGAAAAAAAAACCAAAAATCTGAATATGTATATATATTGTCAGAAATATATTATTCTTATATTATATTATTATATATATTACATATATATATATAATATTATTATATTGTTCTTTATTATATTATTATAGAAATATATATTATAGAACCCTTCGTGTGATACTGAAATTAGAAGGAAATTACGAGAATTATCAAGAAGAGCACTTGACCGTGCAGAATCGTTAACAAAATTGAAAGATGAAGCATCAGGCATGATCGAACTGAATATACCGGAGCCTTTAATTGATGGTACTTTCTCTTTTCAATTTTTTCATTCAATTTCTATTTGATTTCATATTTTTCATTTTTGAATTATTTACTTCCACAATTTTTATATTTTATTAATTTAAAGCAAAATTATTAAAATAATTATATTTAGAGATATCAAATCTAACACTGTCTAATGATGTCACATCACCGCAACGTGCCATTACGAAACAATCAAATTCAAATTCAAATTCAAATTCTAACTCTAAGGGACGACTGGAAAAAGATGAATTAATGGTTTTATCGGCTACTTCAAATATTAACGGTCGTCTCTATGTTCCTTTTTTAAATGTTGATCTCAAAGAACGTTTTGCCTTTCCTATACCTTACACGTAAGTTTATTTTATTTTTGATAAGCTCTTTGTTATTTCAACTTATTTCTATAGTAATTTATTATTTCTATTTTTTCATTTTTTTATAACCAATAATTTGCTGCTTTTTTTTTCGAATTTTTTATTTTATTGTTAAATATACATTATTTACCTAAAATATATAATAAAATATAATCGAAGATCTGAAATAATTTGTTAAAATAAAATCTGAAATTTGTTTTCTTAATATACTTTATTTAAATTTAAATTTTTTTGAAATGTTCAGTGATAAAGACGGTATTCTTGCTTTATCAAATAAACAGAAACAGTGGCTTAAGACTTGGATGCGACCGGATGAATTTATGGAATCGCCTAAAGTTATTGACGTTGTTGATTGTGGAACAATTAAACAAGTGAGTTATTATCTTAAATGAGCAAAATATTGAAGAAGGATCATTATCATTACAGTTATTTTCATTACAATTGTTGATAAAGCAATAGAAATAATTTATTTACCGATGATTTACATAAAAAAATCCATTTTAATGATGAGCAAAAAGGAAAATGAGAAAAGAAGAAGAAAAGCTGGTTGCAATTTTTAAAAAAACAAATTTCATGATCTCATGTGAAGGCCGCTTGAGTTTCTCAACTTTTGGATCGTCTTTTGAGATCACTAAATTGTGATTATTCATTATCATAGCATTATCTATAACTTTACATTTTTTGCTACTGGAATTTTGAAAAATTTTAAAATTTAACGCTTTTGGGTTTATGTCTAGGTAAGCGGTGAAGAATGAGTAAATATTTATATTTTCAATTTTATTTTATTTATTTATGAAAGAAATAGAGAATGAGTGAGTTTTTTTCTTATTATATTAAAAAATAAGATGGAAATCTCTAGTTCTAAATCAGGATTTCTTATTGAAGCACATGGTTTTAGTCGATTGTTTCGGATTGTTCATTTGTGGCTTCATTGGCTATTTCAGCCAGGTATGAGCGCCGTTTTGGTCGACAACTTGTGACAAGGTATAAACCGAGGTTTTTTTGTTATGTTAATGTTAATCTTCAATTATGCTTATGCATTTTGAATTCTATATACGTATGAACAATAAATTTTGATCTTTTGAATTGAATTGCGATTTCAGTATAATATATCCTCAGAATAAACATGGTCAACCAGTTTACAATCCTTGTGGAAAATATATGATTAAACTTCATATAAATGGTGTGTGGCGAAAGGTAGGTAAATATATAAAATTTTTTTTTTTATTTTTTTCATCAGATAATTATTATTACGCTGATAACATTTAGTAATAGCAAATATATTTACAATACTATAAAAGTAATTTTTGCAGAATGCCAACATATACGCATATATTAAGTGATTTAATTATATTTAGAAGCAAAGCATCCACATATAAATTTATCATTTTTATCAATTATCATTTAGATATCTCAGTTATTCTCAACTTTTCATTATCATTATCATTTAGGTTCTAATTGATGATCGATTTCCTGTGGATGAAAATGGCCAATTACTTTGTTCATATAGTCAAAAGAAGTAAGACTTGCTTCTCTGAATTATCGTGCGCTATTCAATTTCCTAAATCATTTGCAGGAATGAAATTTGGGTTCCATTACTTGAAAAGGCTTATATGAAAGTTATGGGTGGTTACGATTTTCCTGGTTCAAATTCGGTAATTTTTATTATTTTCGGAAATTTTTTAAGCAGTATTAAGCAATACTTTTATATTTTACTTTATTTTAATATTGGCTCTACTAACTACCAAATTAATTTATTTAAGATTCTTTCTGGATTAAATTTAAGAGTATTGATATGCATGCGTTAACTGGTTGGATTCCTGAAAGAATTGCTCTCAAAAGTGAGTGCAAGGAATTCGATGCAACCACTGTTTTCGAAAAACTTTGCAGCAGGTTAACTTTATTTTTTTAATATTGGTTATATTTTTAAAATTAAGTGAATTTTTTAATTTATATTTTGTTATTACCATATTATTATTTTTATACAGGTTTCTACAGGTTTCATCAGGGTCATTGTCTTATCACTCTTGCTACGGGTAAAATGAGTCAATTTGATATCGATAGAACCGGTCTAGTTGATGCACATGCTTATGCTGTTTTAGATTTGAGAAAGATTCAGGTTCATCATTTATTTTATCAAAGGCAGTTTATTTTTCCAATGAATTAAAGTAAGTAGTGCTCTGATTGCCTTTGCTGCTGTTTTATTTCTGGCAAGAATAAACCTCTCAATCTTTCAAAAATCCTGGTTATGTTTGTCACCTATATTTCATCTATATTTCTTTTGTCAATTGACTCGCAAAGTTGTCTAGTTCGACAAGTCGTCGGATCAATTCTAACCAAAAATAGTTACAATCTTAAAAAAGTACAGATGAGGCATGGTAAATTTATTATAACTAAAATACTTTTAGGGCAAACGTCTTCTACTATTAAAAAATCCTTGGACACATTTGCGGTGGAAGGGACATTATTCCGATAAAGATAATGTAAATTGGACTCCAGAATTGTGCAAAGCACTTGATTATAATCCTTTAGATGCTCAACAGTTCGATGACGGTTTAGAATTATTGAAGCATTTTTTTCAAACTTAGAATAAATATATTAATAAAATTTTTCATAAAATTTGTTGTAAAATTCCTTTATAATTATAATAATTTTTTCATAATGTTTAACTTTTTCTAGGTGTATTTTGGATTGATTACGAGTCAGTTTGCCATTTTTTCGATGTATTCTATGTTAATTGGAATCCAGCAATTTTTCCTCATACCTTCGCTTTACATGCGTTCGTTTTAAATTTGTCTCATAAATTTATGAAACTAACTAAAATTTTCCATTTGATTTGCATATACCACACGTAAAAAAATTACACAGCGAAGGAATGACTGAGCGAAAAATGGCACAAGGAAATTATATACTAAAATTCTATTTTTTTTTTTTTGATTTAGAAGATTTTTGGTGAAATTTATAAAATGGTCCGAAACAGATTAAAGGTGATCAGATCTATATTTATCTATATTTTATTTTGCTATTCCCTATTAAATTTCTCTAATTATCCTTGATAATCCATAGAGTTCCTGCTAAAACTCTGCAACATTGTAGCTGCAATTTCACAATTTTGGTGAAAGATTCTGCGATTCTTTTAGAAAGCTTTCAGGAATGAAAGAAGAATAAGCGTTGTAAAGGAAATGCAACTAAATTTGAGGAAATGCAAAAAGAAGTTTAAGATAATATTATTAATGGGTTATTCGAAAGAGCTTTGGAGGCATTAAAGATATTTTTAACAGAATTTGATTTTTTCACAAAGATCGAGATTTCGCACCTGGTTATTAGATGGCATCAGTGGGCTTTTAACAAAAAAGCACTATAGATTTTGGCAATATATTAAGGGATCATGTAAAGATAAGGAACCAACATATTTTACCATAATAAAGTATGAAGAAGTTTTAGGAGGCACTTTAAGGAGATATTGTTTAGGTTTATCCCTGCAGGGAATAGAACTTCACCATCGGCGCTCCGAATTGTGCAACAACCCATTGAGCTATTCTAGCAGTTATTTCTGGTTAATATATAAGATAATATAATAAGTTAGGAATTTTTTGTCCAGAACATTCAATAAGATAGCACGGGACCTTTTAATGGCAGATTAACTCCCGTAGGAAGCAGGAACTGAGCTTGCGTTTATATGATAAATAATCCGTTGTCCACGTTATTCCATTCTAAAGGTAGTTTAAGGGTGAAATGTTGCGATAAAAAGTGAGATGTATCAAAAGACACGTAGCAAAATTTTATGGAGCTTTCAGGCATACAATAGGGTTTCAAGTCGTAAAATAGGATTTGTGAAGATTATCATGAAACTATAACGAGTTTTGAAAGGCATTTATGCGCTCTGAAATATGTTTATTCAGAATCGAAATGTGTATTGTTGTTGAGTTAGGATGAATACTGAAGTCTGACGTAGAGGGGAATAATGGGATTTTGGAGGTTGTAAAAAGAGTTCTTCACTTATACACTTATTTTCTTAGGCTATGCATTTTCTTTCATATAATATGATTTGTTTTTTTACCAAAATTAGGTGATTTTTATTCTTTCTTTCTTTTAGTATGTGGTCTGCTGGTGTTGGTCCAGTTAAGGACTTATATAGTGTTGCCGACAATCCACAGTTTTTGTTGGAAGTAAACAATGAACTTGCACCTTGTGCTGTATGGATTCTTCTCACCCGTCATATCACTGAAAGGGTTTGATTTGTTTTATTTTAGGAATAATTTCTTAGTTTTTCGTGAAATTTTTTCGCTCAAAAAAAATCTCAATTTCAAAAGTTTAAAATTTGATAGAAAAATGGAGAATGCCCTATTTCACTGATTATTCTTATTGCAGTATTTATTTATTCAGGATGACTTTGCTAACAATCGAGAATATATAACTGTTATGGTATTCAAATCGGGGAAAAAGATTTATTCGCCAAGTAAAATTAATTTTTTAACATTTACATTTTTTTTTCATAAATATCGTTACCTCAATTTTATTTAGTTACTCAGAAGCCAATGATGGATGCAATTCGAATAAACAGTCCTCATTATCTTTGTCAGTTAGTAGTTAATGATCCAGGAATCCAAAAATACACTCTTGTTGTTGCTCAGGTAAAATTTTTTTTTTTCATAATTTGTATTTGTTATTTCGGGCTGTGGCGTGTTGGACAAGTTAACAAAGCGTTCATTGCGATGCACGATAAGGTAGATATAACACAACGCAATATCAATAAAAAAATCCGCAGTCCTCTGGAACATAATAAGGTTATAAATATATATATCCTGAAGTTATTCCACAACAATAATATATGAATGGCTCCAAATTACATTACCATAGGAGCACAATGATCAACACATACAAAGACAAGCATCAATAGACATCCACAGTTATATAGGTTCATAGGTTCCTCTAATATTGAACTAACAGAAAGAAATATTGAAATATTATCAGTCATCTTTCTTTGTACAATACGATAAGTATCTGACCATATAAATATTAATTTTATAATTTCAAATTTATTTATGAAAAATTAATTTTCAGTACGAGAAGATGAATACGATATATTACACATTAAGAGTTTATTCTACAGCAAAATTTAAGCTAGAAAAAATTAAAGTGCCCTATACAGTGAAAAAAAAAGTTTGTTTCAAAATCTATATTCTTATTTATTCTTTTAAGTTATAAGCTTTTTTGGCATTTTATCATTTTTTGACATTTTATCATTTTATCATGATATTGTTTTCTCTTTAATCAAAGATAATTATGACCGCTTCAGGAAACAGGTGAATGGAAAGATAAAACAGCTGGAGGCTGTGGAAATGGGGCAAGCAGAGAAACTTATAGGTAGAGCTTAACAATTCTTTTGAAAAAAAAAAAAAATTGCTGCATTAATTTCCGCTTAACAGCACATACTATCGTCTTTTTATATCTTTTAATAATTCTGAATTTTGAATATTTTTTAGAAATAATCCTATCTATCAATTATCAATGGATAGTATTAGTGATGATAACGATTTACTTATTGAATTAAAAGGTCCTAGAGAATATAGCGTTGGTTTTGAAGTAAGGCAAATTTCTTCATGCAGGAATAAAAAATTTGACACAAAAGATTCCGGTGCATTCAGGTTTGTAAAACCATTTCTTTAATCATTATTTGCGAATTTATTACAATACTTTTTTAATTTTTTTTTTGAATTTTCTAAAATAAAATTTTTTTTCAGACCTGGTTATGCGTTTTTAACGCTGGAATCCGTGCCGGATGGAACCTATAATATTCAGCCGATGACTTTTCTTCAAGGACAAGAAGGACCATTCTTTTTAATCGTACATTGTTCTTGTTCTTTTATGCTGAAAAGAATACAGTGATGTTTATGTATTTAAAATTGCTATGATAATTTATTGGTTATTTTTGTATATATAATTTTTTTTTATAAATCCTCCAGTTTTGAACAAATAAAAGATGTGGGCCCCAAACAGATATCGCTCGCTCGGTGCTTTTTTGCTCGATCATGAAAACGGCGGTTTTAGTTGCATAAATCGTGGATGGGCAAGGGTTAGAGTTAGGGTGTGATTTTGCGCTTTTAAAATAGAAATGCGAAAGGGGATTGGACGGTTGCCAACTTATTTCATTCGGGTACTCGATAAATTTTGGATGGGATCGAGGGGTAAGGATGGGGAGGAGGTTGGGGGTGTGGGGGAAATGAAGTTTTAAGGAATTTTAGAGTTCTAGTTATGTTCGAAGTAAATGGAATAAATTTCGAATGGAATTTGCCAGTCTGTTATTGATTTTATGGCAAACAGCTTTATTTTTTTTTTTGGATTATTATTATTATTATTATTATTAATATTATTATTATTATTAATGTGGAAATTGCAATTATTTACGTGAGAATTGCAATTTTTGACGTGGAAATTCCACTTCACGTGAAGTGATTAATAAAGGGATGTGTATTTTAATTTTTCTATGATTGACATTCACGCTTATAAAATTTACTTTAAAAAATATTCTTATTATAAAAATATTCTAAAAATAAAAAATATTCTTGAGGCAATTTGTATGATCGAACTTAAATTAAGTTTTGATATAAACCAGTTATTATCTTTTTCCTTTTTTTTTTTTATAGATTTTTTAAACTCATTGCTCATGATTGTTAATTTTTTTATAAATATTCAATAAATATTCTCAATTTAATATTCATTTTCTTTTAAGAATTCCTTATCATTTATTATCACTTGTTCTTTTTAGAGGATTATTATTATTATTATCGATATGGCATAATTTTAGAAAAAGCCAAATTCTTCAAATCAAATCATTTTGCTTAGTAATTCTTTAAGATTTTCTAGATTATTCTTATGAACTCTCTATTTTTTCTAAAATTCTTTGAAATCAAGGGAAATTTTTACTTTTCCTATCAAAAAACGATGTGACCTTCCTTTTTAATTTACAGTTAATAAGGAGTATTTAAATTTTCTTGAATGTTTTTTGTGTTTTTTTGTAGTTATTAGTGGTTTTACATTTTTTTATTTTCGCGAGAAAATTTTAAAGCTTTTAAATTTTTTTCCGAATGTTCGAATTCCGAATTTTTTTAGTTCTTTTAAATGTTCTCTGAAGCAATTGACTCGTTCCACTCGTTCTTTTTATTTCTTTTTTTCTGAGTTTTTTTATGAATTTCAGTGAGATTATTTTTAATTTCAGGTTTCATTTCTGGTTGTTAATATATATTGTTATATATTATTACATTATTGTCGTTATCAATGGTAAGTTCTTTGTTATATTTATAATGAATGGTTCACTCATTTAGATGTCGTTATTTCTAGAATAGAGAAGAAAAAAATTGTAATATAATTTGAATTATTCTTCATTTGATTCCAAAATTTATATATTCTATTTGATTAAGTATAATAAATATTTGAAATTTGCTTTAGAAAACTGATTTTGAATTCTTTTTTTTTTTGTGGAGCAGTCTCTGAGATTCTATAAAAAATTATATTGTTCTTTTTTTTTGTAGGCTCGTCGTTACGATACACGAACTACAATATTCTCCCCCGAAGGACGACTTTATCAAGTAGAATATGCAATGGAAGCTATTTCACATGCAGGAACATGTTTGGGAATTCTTGCATCGGATGGCATTCTTATCGCTGCAGAAAAGAGAAATATTCACAAATTATTAGATGATGAGGTAATTTAATTTATTTTATTTAGAATCATTTTTTTAAATGGTAGTCTTTATTTGGTTATTTGATTTATTAAATTAAATTTTTGAAATATAGTAAAGGATTTGAGTGTTTGGTATTATTATTTTATTGGCTTATTATTGACTTTTATGGTTATTATTGATTATTTGTATTATTATTTAGGTTCTTGCTGAAAAAATATATCGACTTTCTGATAATGTAGCTTGCACAGTAGCTGGTATTACAGCCGACGCGAATATTCTAATAAGTCGTCTTCGTTTTTGGGCTGCTCAGTATGAATATACATATGGTGAACCAATACCCGTGGAACAGTTGGTTCAAACATTATGTAATGAGAAGCAGAGATATACTCAAGTTGGAGGTTTAATTTCTTCGTTAATTTTTGAAGCCAAAAGCTATAATCTGTACAAAAAAATTTATGTTTCTTTCATTTTCATTTTAAATTTTATAAAAATTTTCACTATAATCAAAATATTTTGCTTAAAGTTTATGTAAATATTTTGGAGTCTGTCACATAATTTTGTGTGTGTCACATAAATAAATTTGAAGTTTAAATCCTAATATCTTATGGTATATCTTTGTAATATTCGTAGCTCCATTTTTTTTATACCCATTTTTCATATTTGTATATAATCTCATAATTTATAAATGCACCAGGTTGTATGATATTAAAAAGAAGAAGCATCGATCAGAAAGTAGCACTAATACGATTAGATTTTTATAAGGTCAATAATCTATGGCATTCGACCATGGAAAAGGGAGCGGCTATGAGCGGTTATTTTCTAACATAGCAGTGTGTCGAGAGACTTCGAAATGTTTCATCTTTGTAACTAGCAAATGTTACGAAGCTGTATGCAAAGATCAGGAAGTAGATTGCAAAATTATTAAATTATGTGGTAAATATTAAATTAATAATAAAAATTTTATTGCAGGCAAACGACCTTTCGGTGTTTCTTTACTTTACATGGGTTGGGATCAACATTTTGGTTATCAGTTATATCAGTCAGATCCTAGTGGAAATTATACTGGTTGGAAAGCTACATGTATTGGCAATAATCATCAGGTTTTTCTAAATTCTATTAAAATCTCTTTATATATATTATATTTTTAACTTAACAATCTTTTTTTTCGCTTATTGAAGAAATTTATTTTAAAGGTGGCTCCCTGTTTTATGGTGGTTACCTGGAGAGAGTTCTTTTATTTCAGGCTGCTGTTTCTTTACTTAAACAAGATTATAAATCACCAGATTTAATAGAAGCGAAAAAATTATCGATGAAAGTACTATCAAAAACCTTGGATGTTAAACTATCAGCTGAAAAAAGTAAGACGAAATATTTATTTTCATTTGTTTGCTAAAATATTTTCCAGTATGAGCAATCGTTTAATTTTAGTTGAAATGGCAATTTTGACGAGACGCGGAAATAAAACTGTGATCGAAGAGTTAGGAAATCTAGAAGTTTCGCGTCTAATTAAAGAGCACGAAGAAAGAGAACGCGATCAGGAGGCTCAGACTTCAAGTTAAATTGTGGATGCTGCTTTTTATTTTTTAAATTAAATAGATTTTCCACTTTTAAAAAATTGATTAAAAAATAAATGGCTATCATATTACATATTTATTGTTAATTTAATTTTTATCATCTTTTATCAAATGAAAAAAGAACGATAATTTTATAAGAAAATTTGTATTTCTCACATACCTATTTTTTTTTCTGTTGAATTTGCCTTTGTTTTGTTATTTGCCTATTTCAAATTAAAAAGATGAAAATTTTTTTTGTCAAGAAACAATGCGAAGTAATCAATCTTTTATTATTTATTGTTTATTTATTAACTGTGATTAATTAATTATATTTTATATTGATTTTTGCATTTTATCACTTTTCATATTTTTTATAATTTTTGTAATTTTTTTATTTTTATAATAATATTTTCAACTTTGAATTAGATTTGCTAATTGCAATTATGAATAAAAAAGATAATGCCAGTTATTCAAATTTAAATTTATCTATTGATTGATTTATCTATTGATAAATTTATCTATTGATTATATTTAATAAATTATATTTATATCCAATATATTTATTTGTGTATTACATTATATTTCAAATTGTAAAGTAATTAATTTTTATATATTATTATTTTATTTTGTGAAGAATACGAAAGAATCGGAAAAAACTTCTTTATTTTAAAAATATTTATAATATTTGTTGCTCAAAGAAATTTTCAGGTGGAATTGGTGGAATTGGATTTAAATAATATTTGAAGTCAAATATTACACAAATCGATTTAATTTTCAATATGAATGATAAACGAACGATTCTGTTACAGTTTGCAGTTCATTATTAATTTCTACTTTTCTTTTTGCAGCGTATGTTTTTATATTTTTTTTTAGAAATTTTATTTTATAACTGCCATTTTTACTACGTTCCTTTAATTGCTTTTTTTTTAATGTAATTTTTTAATAAATTTGTCCGGCATATGTTTGATTTTGTGATAAGTAAGTATTAACATTAATATTATTAATAATATGCATATTAGTTGTAATGAAACATGTTTAGTGGATTTTATTTCACTGATGTTTGCTAGAATGCGCGAAGTCGTCGTGAAGAGAACAAAACAAATAGATAGCTGTGAAAATTAGAATGGGAGTTGTGACAGTTGACGAAATTAATTTCCAACGTTTATTGGATCGAAGTAAAAGACTTTGCGGTGAGAATCTTGTTGAAAATGTGTTCAAGCTTAAAGCAGCTCTCATTGAGCTGGAAGCAATTTTTAGCCGCTTGCAAGATGATCGGTTTGTTTTTTAGTATTCTGGTGAAACAGATTGAAATTTCATTTCTCTTATTAGAAGTTTTTCATTTAACTATTAAATGGTTAATTCGTTTTAAAAAAAGTAATCTTTGTTTACTTGCCTTATTTATTTATGAGTGAAAATCTGGTCGTATAAAATGTAATTTTTTTTTTAGAAATCTTGATACTGATCTGTTGATGCAATATGGCAGAGATATGCATCAGTTGAAGCTTCTCGTAGAAGCTGAACAAAAAGTCGGTTTTGTTTCAAATGTTTCATGAAAAATTTCATGAATAATATTTATCTGCATTTTTTGCTTGGTGATTTTGATTTTTTTCGTTTTCAGCTTCATTTTCTTATTTTTTAAATTTAAATTACCAATTTCACATTTAGAAAACACCTGAAGAACGCTTGCGATGGATTGACATGCTTCCATCAGTATTTCCTCCATTTAACCCATCAACAAGTTTATCAGATGATTGTAACGAATCACGATTTGCTTTTACTAATGGCAATAGCAATAGCAATAGCATCGAAGGCTTAAAAGCAAAAAATAAAGCTGTTTATCGTGCCGATCTTCGTCAACAGTTGTTAGGTGGAGGAACACAAAGGTATTTTTAATTCGATTTTTGTTCAATTTTTTTAAAAGCACTCATTACTGGTTAAAGTCGTTATTTTGGCTTGTCGCACTGGGCAAAGGTGCCAGGTCCCTTAGCGATAGAAGTACAGGTAAATTAAATTGAAATATAATATATCAAAAATGATATATCTACAATCAAGAATTTGTATTACTGCAGCTATAATTATATTATTATTACTTCGACTGTTTATTCAGTAATTTGGTCCAATATAAAAATTTCTTGGACAAGGACAAGCCAACTGTACAAAAATTATTGTTTGTGGCAGAAAAATTCGTCTTAGTATAATATGGAAAGCAAATAGAATACTAATATAATTCCAGGCAATTATCCGAAAATGTTAATTTGGACGAAGTGATTCGTGCGGAAAATGAAAAACAAGAAAAACTTGCCAAAGATTTATTAGAAATGGCGATTCTCATGAAACAAACATATACTACAGCAAGCGTTGTTCTACAAGATGATAACACTGTATTTATTTTAATTTAATATTTGTTATTTTTATAAGAAATATTTTTTCTTACAATTTTATTCTTTACTCTATTTTTTATTATAATTGTGGGTAGATTAGCTGTTATAAAATTATAGGTTCTATCACGACTACAAAAAGCTGCCGAAACCAATAAAATGAAACTTGAAATTGAAAGCCGTCGTCTTGAAGAACATGCTTATCGCTCTTGGTGTGATTGTATGTATCTTATCGGTATTTTCATCATTATTTCCTCGTTTATTTCAATGGTTATTGTTATGAAAATGTTTTCGAAGAAGTATTGAAATCGATTTGAGGAGACACCACTTTCTTTCAGTCTTAGAGATGTCAGTTTTCTTTCCTTTAAATCTCTTGTCATTGTTCATATTGTATAAGTGTTTTTGTTCATATTATTATTATTATATTTATTATTTCGGCTGTATCAAACATCTTTAGCAAGCTCATTTCATAAAGTGTCGCAGTTGATAAGATTTCAGCAAAGCCACCCTCGTCAAGACTTCTTTCAGTTTAATCTCGACTTTTTCATCCTAAACAAAGTAGCTTGCCTAGCATTGTCGAGTAAGTATTGCTGGAAGCTCGATAAAGTAAAAAAAACTTGTGAATTGATGTGTCATCTCCAAAGAGTAACCAAAGAAATCTTTTGAAGAATTTTAGAACAATAGATTTGTTATAGCACATTACCGTTAGCAGATATATTTTAATGTTTTCATTTTTTATTTTCATAATTGTTTTTATATAATGTTTATTTAGAGTAATGAAATAGATGAAGTTATCAAAAGTTTTTCTAGTTTTTCACTCCATTTTGATGCTAAAAAATAAAGTATTATAATGTATATTTAAATTAAATTAACCAAATACATATATTTAAATTTAAAATATTAAATATATTAAATACTAAAAAATTGAGTTTTTTTTTTAATAAGTGATTAGTGCTCAGAGCCATTTAGGCCTTCTAATGGTTGATTTACTCCTTTAGAAAGCAAGGTTTGATTTTGGAGGGGATAATCTGAGCAATAAGATAATCTACGGGTTATTCTACCAAAATCTATGATATACCATTAAATTTTTAATAATCATTTTAATTCATCATCATCTAATTACTTTTACGTAAAAGTTTTTCGTGATAAACCACATATCAGTCACATCGGTGCTATATTTACTTTTTTACTTTTCCATTGTTTTTTTTGCTTTGCTTTCTTCTTGAATTCTTTTGACGCTTCACTTATTATAGTTGGTTATAGTTGGCTATATTGATTATGACCTTATTCTTCCTTATTTGTAATTGCATCAATATTTTTTTATATAGTAAAATTTAATATGGTTAATTAATTTCTGATTATCACTAGTTGCAATTTTTATTTAGTTAAGGCATTATCTATCAGTTCTATAGCAGAATTTCTATAGCAGCACTTTGAAATCGTTTTGTTTAAGAAATTGCAGAGAAACAGGCTACCAAAATACTAAAAAGGAACTCAACAATAAAATAGAAGGAGAAATTAAGTATTTAATTATAACTTTAAGGCATATCGAATTATCAAATAATTGATTAGAATTTTATCATCAAAAGTTTTTCTAGTTTTTCACTCCATTTTGATGCTAAAAAATAAAATATTATAATGTATATTTAAATTAAATTAACTAAATACATATATTTAAATTTAAAATATTAAATATATTAAATACTAAAAAATTGAATTTTTTTTTTTAATAACTAAAAATTTAATTCTTACAAAAATATATCGCAAAAAAAATTCTAATTCTTTTATTTCTTTGAATAAATTCATAAATTTTTTTAGAAATTCAAAATGCGACAATTTTCAAATTTAACGACAATTTTATTTAACGTTAAACAACTCGCAAAATTCGATCTAAATTAAAGTTAAATTAAAAAAACAAGTAAATCAATTTAATCGTTTGTTCATTTTATTTCTTATAAATTTTCTAAAATCGTTTAGTCGATAAGCATAATTATTATAATTAATTTTTATTTTGATGAACTATGTTCAATTAATGAATAACAAATCTTCGATTTCTAACTGACAAATATTATAAATCGCTATTATCGTTGCTATTAAAATAACCAAAAATATTGCATATTTTACATAGAAATAAGGTGGATAAGTGCGAACAATTAAAGCATTCCTAGTTATTGTCGTTGTACTTTCCACTTTTCTTCTTAGGCTTACCGATTCTGGTTCGATTCTTTTTGTTGTACGTTTCGATTTCGTTGTTGTGCTTCTCTTAATTGTTGTTAATTTTTTCGTAGTCCTACGTTTCATTGTTGTTGTTTTATTTTCCTTCGTTAATTTCTTAATTATTTCTAAATATATTTTATATGATTACTTTGCAAGCATTCATGCTTATAACATAAATAATAAACTAGAAAATATTTCAGGGCAAATAAAATATATTGCTGCGCGATTTGTTGTGGTTGTTTGGAAATCATTAATCTATTAATAATCGGTTGGCTCATTTAAAGAGAAAAATTCAGTGATCTTGGCTATCGCTATTTATATGCCTAATTTTTGAATGGATGGTCTAAGAAAATGACTGTGTAAGGAAATTATGTTGAGGACGATCACTGAATGGATGGTCTAAGAAAATGACTGTGTAAGGAAATTATGTTGAGGAAGATCACTGAATGGATGGTCTAAGAAAATGACTGTGTAAGGAAATTATGTTGAGGAAGATCACTGAATGGATGGTCTAAGAAAATGACTGTGTAAGGAAATTCTGTTGAGGAAGATCACTGAATGGATGGTCTAAGAAAATGACTGTGTAAGGAAATTCTGTTGAGGAAGATCACTAAATGGATGGTCTAAGAAAATGACTATGTAAGGAAATTCTGTTGAGGAAGATCACTGAATGGATGGTCTAAGAAAATGACTATATAAAGAAATTCTGTTGAGGAAGATCACTGAATGGATGGTCTAAGAAAATGACTGTGTAAGGAAATTCTGTTGAGGAAGATCACTGAATGGATGGTCTAAGAAAATGACTGTGTAAGGAAATTCTGTTGAGGAAGATCTATAAAATCTCATGCAAATTCATCCATACTGCGCTGTATATCATCTAGACAAACTTATAAAATAATCATGAAACATGAAATTTGCCTAAATCAAGCCATTCTCAAACGCTCAGATGCAATGGTGCATATCTTGCGATAAACTAAACCTTATAACTGGCCAATCGCGATCTAAGCTGATCTATGGCTCAGAGAAACAATTTCAAAACGGTTTCTCATAGAAGATCGCGAATTTTTGAACGTTTCTAATATGAAATATCGCGAATCAATTTCATTTACTGTTTAGTTGATGGTAAATTTTATGGTACCAATAAATTTTTGTCTAAAGGTTTTATTATTTTTTTCAAATTATATATTTCATATTTTCCTACTGCCTCTTTATTTCCTCTGGAAACTTTTACTATTTAATATATTCTTTAAAAAAAAATTTTCCCATATGATCGAATCGCAAATATTTTTTATTTAAATATTTATTTATATATTTATTTGTTTTATGTATATATTATTATTTATATATTTGCTTATTTTATTTTTTAAAATATTTTTGATGCAAATTTTCCATCTCTAAAATCCATTTTTACCACTTTATTTTTTCGTAAGCACCTATTCCAAATATCCATTTTTTTTAAGAGCACCATTGCTGGTCAAACTTGATCAGCTGGCTTATTAGACTAGGTAAATACGCCAGAGAGTCTCTTTTTTTTTAGAGATTACCATTACTGGTTTGTCGCATTGCCAGGGAGTCCCTCGACGATAGAAATACAGATGAGTCGCCAGAATCACTCGGATTTTTTTCAGATTATTCCAGTTAGAGCGCATCAGCGCTTTAAATCAGGAGCAATCTCATGAGCCATTCTATTTTCGTTTGCTTTCTCCACTGGATGACAGTGCTGCCATCTAATGAAATGTGATACGTCGGCCAGATTGAAACTAAAGCCTCGTTTTTGCCGGAAATCCACTCCATCTTTCCACCGATCCACCGATGCGCCACATATCCATATATTTTATGTTTAATTTCATCATTCCTAATCTTTTTATCTAATCATTTTTTAATTATTCTTGTTCAAGTTCAAGTCGAATTATCCAAGCCAAGTTTGAAAAGGAATTGTACAACTCTAACGTTGATCTTATTAAACTATTAAGGAACCATTGATGAACATTAGCTCATCATTACCATCAATCAGTCCAATCAATTTTCATTCTGTACGGTATTACTTTGGAAAAAAATTAAAAATATTTTTTTTTTTTCTAACTTACTTCCTTTGAAAGAAAAGTTGTAGTAAAACAAAAACATAGATGTTTCTCTGTAAGGACATTCCTTCACAATAACGTGTGATACATAATTTAAATTTATCATTCCATTCACAACATTACCATTCGTATATGTTAGGTAATTTTTTACATATTCCGATTCAACGACTGAAAAATTTTTCCTTCAAATTTCGAATTCGTAGAAAAGCAAAACGAATTAAAATTAAAATTCAAAAATAATCCACAATTCATATTTGATTTTTTCATTTTTTATTCTCTAAAATCTAAAATTTTTAAATTGGAAAAAAAAAGAAAAAGAAATGAAATAAAAATGAAATGAATTATTTTTTTTAGGTGAAAAAAATTTTGCTAAATTTAAATATTTACTTAAATATTTGCCATTACTAATCATTGGAATTAGATGAATTTCACGATAGAAATAAAAGCATTTCATCGGTGTACCGTCCGGATTCAATTTACTCCATCCATGCGGTAAGAATTGTATTAAAATTGTATTAAAATTGGAACTAGTAAAATATTGATATCTCATATCAAATACATATACACCAGTAGATTGAACCTCAGGGCGTTTATCAAATGCAATATCAATTTTATGCCATCGTATATCGATATAGCATTGCGAAGTAAAACCTCTCGCCTCATCTAGAAAATAAAAATTAAAAATTTCATTCGTCAGTAAAAATAATTTTTAATTCTATTTTCATTGGTACTTTCTTTTATAATTCTTATAAATTTTTATTTGAGTTCATCATAAATTTTATATAAAATAATAACCTTTAAATTTTCTTAAAATTTTCAAAATATTTTTTTTTAAATTAAAATTTAAAACTTTCGAAAATTTATGATAAATTTTATAAAAATATATAAAAATACGAATATATTTATTTTTATATTATTATCATTATTAAATATTATTACTATTATAATACTTAATATTATATAATTATAGACATAACTTTTATATTTATTTTATAGATATCTTAAATTCTTAATTAAATTATTTATATCACTAATTAAGTTATATTAATAATAATAAAATAATGTTGAATACAAGTTTCATTTATAGCCTTTAATTTTACTGGTTCATCATCGCTCGTTTGTATTATTTCTTCGGGAATATGATAAAAACGAAAAAATGTTCTACCAGCCGATTCTATCATAGCGGCAATTAAAACTGTACTTATTTTACCATCCTTAAATGATTTATAGCAAAAGTTCAAAATGAAAATCGTATAAATCAATTGAAAATATTTTTATGGAATATTACAACAACAATTTCGAATTCTTTTTGTCCCTTCCTGTTGAGGGTCTTTAGGCGAGGCTTTCTGAAAATTTCTAGCCTTATTCCGTCCTAGGCTTTCCTAGGCCTCTCTAGCAGTGAATCCGACGAATAATAATTTTTACTTTATATAAAATATATTAAAATGAAAAAACGTTTAGCGTATAATTTTTAAGCGAATAATAAATTATTATGAGAAAATATTTTTGCTAATGAAATTTTATGAATCTTATGAAAAATTGAATTACCACATATGCATAGCCAATTTCAAAATGTTGCATCACAAGATTACAAAATTCTTTCATAAGACAATCATTTAGATTTACACAAATTCTATTTTCAGTCGGATCGAACAGCTGAAAATTGAATTTGAATTATTGAATTTTATTGCTAAAATTACTATTGCTAAAAAAAAAGAATTAAAATATTTATTATTGTAGAAATTTTTAATTTATAGCCGATTCGATTCCTTTTATTTTTCTAAATCTCTGTTTGATTTAGATTAATTCGGAAATATTTTCCGAAAATCATTCACAAATTCCACTAATTTATATAAATAGTTCGGATAAAAAGAATCTAAATTCGGGTAAAAAGAAAAAGGTCGATCACCGGCTCAATCGACCAAATACTCGAATTCTATTGCTCTGAAAACTTTGATTAGATTACTTGAAGAGAGAATTTATTCCGTATTTTTATTCCATTAATTAACTATACTACATTTATTTAAAGTTAATGATAAATAAAGTTGACGATAAGCGAAATTTTAAGGAATAAAGTCAATCTGAAATAATTTGAAATAATTCGATCTGGAACTTATCGTTTAACAAAGTGGAATAGCATATGCAGATAAAATGTTATGACTAGAGCAATTCGACTATTATCAATTATCAATTAGAGTGATAATTAGATTTTTCTTGTTAACAGATTTCGAACATTTTTCTCAAATATTGGCGAAAAAAGCTTATTTGAATTTCTCGTCTTATCAGCTAATTTTGACGAGATTTCTAAGATTATGAATGTTTTACATAGATAATTATTTAATTGTCTAAAATGAAACACGAAAAAACTTCTAACTTCAGCGAATTTTTTATCCGGGCATTTTTCATAGCTTGTAAGATGGCCGAAAGATAGATTCCCGGTAGGCAGTAGAGCAGATTTATCTATTTGGTTTGTCAAGCAAGAAGGATATAATGATTGCCATAGATCAATTTCATAAGCTGTTTGTGAAGCAATTTCTTTAAAATAAATTAAATTAATAAAAAAAAAACAGTGGTACAAGAAAAAATTTTTGTTAAAAAAATCGCTATGGATTCATTAAAAAAATTAAAAAATTGGAATTAATTGTAAATAACAAAATTATTTATCTTTTATTTATTCTAAATTATCATATCATTTTTTCCTGTTAAAATACTTATTTTATAACTTCATACTTCATAACTTTACTTTATACTTACTTATTTAATACTTCATAACTTATTTTAGATATAATTTATATAAACCGAACTTTCAGATAGGAGTAAACCTGTCTTTCAAAAATCCGCGTGATGCTGACGGCTCATTTATATTTCTTATCGCTAAATGACTCCAAATTTTAGCTGGACCGACAAATTAGCCGAGAAAATCTAATCAGAAATGATAAACGCTCTTAATAAAAAAAAAATCTAACGTGAAAAAAAACTATGAAGAAGTATAATCAGCGATAATTTTATTGATATTATCATTATTGTGCATCGCCTGTAAATTTATTATTTTTTATTATATGTTCTTATGTATTACATTTGTTAATTAATTATATTTATTTTCATTATCCTAAAATTATTTTAGTTTAATCAACATTTTAACAAATATTTTTAATAAAACATTCTTGTTTTGTGAAATTTATTATCATTTTTACAAGTTTGAAAAAAAAGGCTAACTTTTGAGGAAATACGAATAAATGGAATATAAATAAATTCGGGAGATAATGCAAAGAAGAAAATGAGATTCGATAATTTTTTGAACGACTGCTTTTAAAAACATTTACCAAAATTCATTAAAGAATTATTTCATTAGTATCGAAAAATTTATGCAAAAATTTCAAAATCTTCAAAATTTTTAAAGTAAAAATTTTTCTAAATTCAACAAAAATTCAACAAATTTTTGTGGAAGAAAATCTTTTTTCTTTTTGCTAATATTTTTTCTGATATTTTTTAATTTTCAGAAAAAAAAAATTTGCTTTTAAGAAATTTCTTTTTGTTTTGAAATAATTTTATGAAAAAAAATTTAATTTGTTTAATTTATGTAAAATTTATTTGATAAGAAATTTTCTTATCTTATCTTTGTTGATGCGAGTCAAATTTTTTTTTTTAAAGAGCCCTCAAGCATTACTGGTTAGACTCGCTCCGCTGGCTTATGGCATTAGACAAGTGCGCCAGAGAGTCCCTTGTGGATAGAAATAGTGGTGAATCGTTAAAATCACCCAGATTTTTTAATAGGCTAAAAAAACCTTAATATCTAGTGTTTGCCTTAGGATGCAAGAAAAGCCTTTGCGGTGAAAAGCCTCTTGTTTAAAAACATTTTTAAGCATGATAATGCATTCATTGAGCTGAAAGCAAGATTTGTCTACTTTAAGCGAAATGATTTATTTCAGTTTTCTGTTGAACTAAATTGAAATCGCTCGTATAAGCGAAGTGGAGCTTTTTTCTTCGTTCAACTAAAAGCTTTTTTAAAAAGGTCTCTTACAAATTTGCTCACAATTTCTACATTTTAGAATTTCATATTTTTCTACTTCAGATTTTCATTCTACTTCAGAATTTCTACATTTCTACTTCAAAATTTCATAGACTATGATATAATTTTTTTTTTTTTATTATCAGCTCGATTTACATATTTTCTCATGCGTAAACGGCGACAAATTTCACATGTAATTTTACATGTGATAAAATATCTTAAGAACTCAATAGAATTTTCGAATAATTTCATCATTTGCCTACTAAGAGGTACTGCTGGGATGCAAGTGGTGCGCTCCATGATTTTGCATTGAACAAAATCCTATAGGTGATTATAAGAAGATAGAAGAATGGGAATTTTATTTCAGAGCAGCTATACCTCATAATTGAATTTTTCATCTTTCGAAACCTTAATTCGAGAAATAAAAATGACAATCTGGCCGAAGCAACGAAACAGAGAACCATTCTCGATATTCGTTAGATTTCCTGACGACTAGTCGAGTCGAATATTCATTTCCTATTCTGGTTACTACAAGCGTTAATTGTTTCGTTTAAAAAAATGAAGGAAAGAAATTGGAATAAAATTGATGTTTCGCTATATCAGTGGATGTATAACAGTTTTTGTCACCTTAAATGCTTTTAGCATCATTGAAGCTGAATTTTTCTTCATGTGGGAATTTTTTTTTTTTTTGAAACCACTAATCATTACTGGTTCGATTTACTCCTCTGACTTGTCGCATGTTCACTTTTCACCAGGCAATCCTTTGACTATAGAAAAACATCATTCGTGAACCATATGGGAATTACCGTATTTTAATCGCAGAATTGTGAGAAAGGCTGATAATTTGTACTATATTTTTTACTGCCTTGTAGACGTAGATTTGCTCTCTCATTTTTTATTTTACCCATTTCCATTCCTTTCAGATTATTAATTTAAATAATTTAAAAATGATTGCCGCATCGTTGAATCGTCCGATTTTTATCGAAGTAAAAATATTATGTCAATGGAAAGAGCTTTGAATTATTTTCATAAAATTCCAGTTGTACATCTAAATATTTATATTTTTATCGTCTATCTAATATTTGCTTAAAACTTGGTTCAGTCTAAGAATTTCTTGGACCAGCCAATTTGCAAATAATTATTTATTTGCACAATGCGCAAGAAAAACTTAGCTTATAAATTTATGCTAGGCAACGAAACTGGTCTCTTAGTGAAATTTTCCAGACAGTTAATTGTTAAGTTGGATAAGTTATTGGTAAAAAAAAAAAAATGAAAAATACGAAAAATTTGCCAAAGAATTATGAAAAATTGAAATTGCTTTTTAAAAAAATTTTTCATGAACAGTTATTTTGTATGCAACATGGAATTTTTCTTTTTTAAATCTTTCGTAATTTATTTGAGAGATAGATTATCCATAATAAAGTTCCTTCTGGGTTATAAGAAGTTCCTAAAACCAATAGTTGGAACTGAAGCTTGAAACTGCCATTCAGAAGAATATGTTTGGTGTCATGATGCACATAAATTTTATCGCTATGATCGCTATTTTATCATTATTATCATTATTTTCTACTATCATTGTTTTTTATCATTATTTTCTCTTTCATTTCAATGGTTATTGTAAGAAAAATATTTTGAAAAAGTACTAATTCTAGTTAAAACAGATTTGTTGCAAGAAATTATTAATGTTATCAGTTTCTGCTATTAGTTTATCAAAGATATCAGTTTGAATGCAATTAGATTAGTCGACGAATTAGTAGAATTTAATTTTTTATTTTTTAAATGGCAATTATCTTTTATCCTCAACTAATATTATTATTAAAATATTATTATTATTAGCTTTATTGTAGTAAATTGCTGTATTTTTACTTCTCATTTTTTCTAATTATTATAATTTTTATAATTTTTATGTTCAAAGTGGTGTAAAAAATTTTTAAAATAAGTGCTTAATAATCAGCATTTTTTAGATTTGTTGTCTTAATCGTTAATATGGTAGAAAACTTTTTACCAGAGAATCATATAAAAAGGATAGAAATAAAGCCAATGAGATAACTCCTCAAATCATTTAATGACTCTCTAGAAAGCAAGGTCTGAGCCTTTCTCGATTATGAGGGGCTCAAGGCGATAATCTAAATGCAACAGTTAACCCCGCTTTGATATGTGTGACAAGTACCATTAAGTTTTTGGCCATTTTTCATGTTAAACCATTCTTTAACCATATCAGTGATTATTTTTACTTTTTTAATTTTCCTTAATTTTTTTGCTTTTTCTCTTATTTTTTTTAATTTTGAGTATTTTTTAATCAAAATTACAATTAATTGCAATTACCTATTATATATTTTACTATTATGCGATTTATTGCACCAAGATTTTTTCAGATAATGCGATTTTAATCATAATTAATTATTTCCTAATTATCACCGGTTTCAGTTTTTATGCCTTATCAGAGATAATCAGCTCATAATTCTTATTTATAATGTTAACCAATCATTTTTTGAAAATTTTCGGTTTTTTCTTGAGAAATTGCAAAAATAGTCTAATAGTCTAAAATAGTCTAAAAAAAAAATTACAGAAA